GTTCCAACTTGTATGACACTTCACAAACAAGTTTCAATGTCACAAAATGACTAATAAATTCAAGGTTTAATTTTGGTGTTCCTACAAGAGACAAATTTGTTGTAGATAGCCAAACCTGATCTCCAACCTGAAATACTAACTCCCGATGATGAACATCAACATGCTATTCTTGTCAAATTTAAAAAATCAACAACTTTTCCTTTGCTTGATGTAGCACTCGATTGATATCTTCCACAAACTTGTTGATCACGGCTACCTTAGTTGAAAACTACTCTCCTTTTGAAAACTTCATCAAACTTGATGAACTAATGAAATTAGCACCATACATGAGATAAAATGGAGACATCTTTGTAGATGCATTTACAGAATTGTTATATGCAAATTTCACTTTTGTTATCCCACTTTTTTTCTCATCTAATGTGAATGTACGTAGTATATACTCTACAATTCTATTGGCTATCTCAATTTGACCATCACTCTGAGTATGACAAGCTGTTGACACTAATTTGATTTTGAAAAAACTAAACAAAGTTTTTCAAAACAAACTAGTGAAATAAGTATCTCTATCAGTGATTAAGACTTTGCTTAATCCATGATTCACAAAAAAAACATTTAAGTATAATTGAGCAAGTTGTGAAACTGTCACTGTTTTTGTGGTTGGTTTGATGTGAATCATCTTGCTCAATTTGTCCAAAAAACCACTATTGAATCATTTTCTAACAAAGTTTTTGATAACTCACATGGTGACATGTTTCCATCATTGTTTGAGAATAGGAAGAGCCTGTAATAAATTCGTTGGTTTTTTATTACTTGTCTTGTTTTGTTGACAAACAACACAACTTCAAACGTAAGCCTTCACGACCTCCCGTAGTTTGGCCCAAAAGTAAACTAGTTGAATGTTCTCCAAGATCTTTACCACTCTCACATGACCTACAATGGCTGTATCATGATTTTCTGATAAAATCATCGTGCGTACCTCTGGATCTTGCGGAATTCATATACGTTGTTTGTAGAATGCCAAACCTCTAGCCTTTTCCGCCCTTCCAGCTTGTAATGTCCTTATGATGTCTTCATACTCCTCTGTGACATTCACATCTTGCTCCATCAATTTGCTTGAATCTTCATTTCTGTAACATTTTGAAGCTTTGGCATACAATTGATTGTCTCTGAAAACTTGAAGTTCTTCTCGTAAAATAACTTCTATGACCACTCTAAGTTTTGCTATATACCAATATATCATCTAGAAAAACAATGACAGATTTATCTACATAATGACAAAAGATATTGTTCATCAATACCATGAATGTAGCTGGTGCATTTGTGAAATCAAAATGCATCACTAGATACTCAAAGTAACCATACCTAGTGCGAAAAGGTATCTTGTGGACATATTCATATGTAATTCAAATTTGATTGTTGCCGCTTCTCAGATCTATTTTGGTGAAGTACTTTGCTCTTTGAAAATAATTAAACAAATCATCCATACGAGGTAATGGATATTTGTTTTTCAGTGTTTGCTGATTCAATCCTCGGTAGTCGATGCATAGTCTCATAGATCCATCATTCTTCTTCACAAGAAGCATTGGAGCTTCATAAGATGATACACTTGGTTGAATGAATCCCTTGCTGAACATCTCCTCCACTTGAGCTTTGCATTCTTCCAATTCGTTTGGAGCCAAACGATATGGAGCTTTGCAAGTTGATGTACTTCAATCACCTCAATCTTGTGATCTACTTATCTCTTTGGTGGTAATAATGCAAGATCATTTGGAAAAACATCTTTATACCCCATAAAAATGTCGTTTAAGGACTCCAGGATGTAAAGTTTGTCTGTGAATCCAATATCTCTTATAACTCCAAGGAAACATACATCATCTTTAACAATGCATGTTTTATCCAAAAAAAAAGGGGTAAATTTCTATTTAATTCTATTTCCATAGATTTTCCAACCACTACTTGTAATCACTTTTCTTCTCCAATCTATCTCTATTCTAATCTTTATATAAGTGTTGAACCAAACCCGGGCGGGTGGTTTGTGATTCAAATCCATGAAACATTCAGTATATAATGTATATGGTATAATTTCAAGTTTCTTTAGAACAAACTATTGGAATAATTAGTGGCACTCTTGACTTCATCATTATAGTAATAAATCTGCACCCAACAAATTATAAGGTACATTCAAAAGTGATGTTTCTTCATGCAACAAAGGTGAATATCGAATAATTTAAGAAACGGCCAATGTGGTATTGGATTTTTATCAAGTCTATCAAAATTTGCAAAGTCACAATTTTTTTCATTCTCCCTTGTTCTACATGCACATCAATGAACTCCATCAACCTCTATACAATCTCAAAATTACATTCCACCATCATTCACTTACTACTCCATGAGGTATAATCTACACTCAAGAAAATAGTAAGATCATTTTGTTATCATTGTAACACTAGGGTTTAGAAAGAAATTCACTCAAAAAAAATAATATAAATTTTGAAGATTGAAAAATATCAACAATGGTTATAATCTTTGTTATATAGATCTTACCAACAAGTACAAGGAGATAAAATTTCATCTTCTTCATCCAATCCACTCCTAGTGGATTGGATGATGAAGAATACATCAAATATATCTAAAGAATATACAAATTGCTTGCGTGTAACTCCTAACTAGCACATTCAATCATTACCTAACAATCACACGAATTGAGGATGTGTCGTTTCCAACTAACAAACTATCTAGCACATTGATTGTTGACGTGACACTCTAAATATTACACTATCATATACTCTATTCAATCTTGAGTAATCTTTACTTTAATCATAACTAACTAAAGATTGTTACAATAATTTGCAAGTGCGTGATCTAACATTATGTCCAGTTGCTCGCAGCGAACACATCACCGTTGTCGTCGTTGTTGAACTTCAGCGTGCTCAAACTCGGAAGTCAGTCTGCATGTTAAATTTGTCGATTGACCAAGTGTTGGTAAACGATCAAACAACAACGCGCATTAAATAACGTCACACGATCATAGGATGAGGAATAATTATCATAAATACAACGATAACTAGCTGTTACCTAAACAATTTTATTTTATGTTGTAGAAAATCAAATGTTTATTTTATATTTTCTAAATGTTTTTTTAATGAATTATCAATTTGATTCTAGCATACATATTTTATATTAACAAAAAATTTTCAAAATTTATGATAATATTTGATAGTATGGAATTTAATTACTTTGATTTGAAGTTATTGAAATTTTAAATCATCTTAAACATATACATAAAATATTGAAAATAAAATAAAATAAATTATATTGATATATACTTTTTTGTGAATAAAAAAATAATTACAACTTCTTTTAAAACATACTTTGAAAGATTCATATTTTTATCATGAGTTAAAAGATGTAGTTTTCATTATATTGGTATTCAATTATTACATTTAAGATTTTATGTAAATATATTTTAAATATTATGCATGGAATTATTACTTATGTTGTCATTGTTTTTAAATATATTTATGAAAATTTTTCAAGTTATTTCTATAGATTCACATTTCAAAAATATGTTTCTGTTTCTTTAGATATTTTATTACAATAGTATGAATTTAATTTGTAAAAAAATTTGTATGTTTACAGTGGTGTAAAATAATGTTTAAAAGATTTGAAAAAAAATAGTTTATTGAAAACGATGAAAGAATAAGTGTTACATGTTACTCACCTGTCCGTCATATGAAACTCAGTAAAGTGGACGTCGGAAAGAGTTTTTATTTTTTTAATTTTTGAGTTGTTCAAATTAATCCAGATTATTTGTTGAAAAAAGATCAGAATTTTGGTTTTTACCGTTGGAATACATCACTTCAATGTATATAGAAAGTATTGTTAATAGCCAATCAAATGATTAGTTGATTTATAAAATATATAACCCAAGTGATACATTTTAAATTTACAAATTAGAATGTAACAAATCTTGGAATCTATATATTTAACCTGTTAGTCAATATCATTTTCAAAGAATGTCTTTCAAAAAAATAATGATTTGAAGAGAAATTTTGCTACAATCCAAGTAAGTGAGGGATTGTGGAAAAGGAAGAAGATTTTATTCGAAGAAACGTGTTGTACTTGATTGCGCTTCTTTCAGCTTTTTTAATCACAGTTTGTGACGTTGATTTGACAACTTCAGTCACGCAACAAAATGTGAACATTTTTGGAAACATTTAACAACTTTCTTTCCGCTAATCTGAATGAGAAAATGCAAAATTTTGTCTTCCACTATTTGGGAAAAAGTCATAGCTAGCTACAAAAGGAAAGAGCAAGAGAACTGACGTGGGTCAGAGGTGGTCCCTTAAAGGTGATATTGTGCGAGCATAATCGAGGGAATCCCAAACACGTTTTCGTTCGAAAGAAACAAAAAGCAGACGGGGAATAGCAGTGACACCACCTTTTGCAACATGCAAAAATTACCTCTGGCTGGCTTTACGCATCGCTGGGAAATGCTGCATATTCTCGACCGGGACTGAAGAGCGATGGGCAAATGGAGCGGGGCAAATTCCTGGCACCGCTGGCTTTAATCCTGACATAGGAGAAAGTTTCGTCTGACGGCCATGCTCGCGAATGGCGAAGCAAACACGGAAAATCTGGCCATGGGCAAGGAGCGGGCAACGATGAAAGAGTGAGCAGGCGCAGAAGGGAAGAGAAGAGAAAGGGAAGGGAAGAGACGAGACGAGGGCCGGAGCCCAAGGCAAAAATATCCGAAGGTTAAAATTAAATGAAGGTGGGGAGAGGGAGGGGAGGGTAGGGGGGAGGGAGGGAAGGACGGGGGAGGTGGGGCCCGCCGGGCGGGTCGCTGTTGCGTCGATGTGAGGTTGGTAGGGAAGAGGGAGCAGCGAGGAGATGAGGGCACGTGGAGCCCGAGTCGCGAGCGTTGCATCGCCCCCCTTGCACACACGAGAGACCTTGCGTTCGCGGCTGGGGAACCCGATCGAAGAAAGCGCCGAGGTCGACCAGACCAGACTAGACCAGCCCTCGAGTCCTTGGCCTGGGGTGTGCCCTTGAGCGCGCGGCGATGCGGTCCTTTGCCACTCCCACTCACTCACTCACTGGTGCCAGAGTTCTTTCTTGTGAAGCCGGTATCATTCTCCCTTTACTACTTTCACATTTTTCTCTTTTCTCCGTCTCCAGATCTGTGCCGTGATTCTTGCTCGTGGGTGCGATCCATGCCTGCCCCGCCCTGATCTATCATTCGGCCCATGTTTCTTTTGCCGGTTGATCGTTGAAGGTCGGAGAATCGAAACAAAGAAACAAATTAGGGGAGGCACGGATTGAGGGCGGAAGAGGAGGAAGAGGAAGAGGAAGGAGGGAGGGAGGGAGTGGAGGCATGCGGAGCGGAGTTGAGCGCTAGCCATCTCGTCTGTCTGTATTGGCTTATTCCGTCGTTGTCGTCGTCGTCAGCTTGGTTGGTGGCTGGGTCTTCTTCCTGGTTGAGCAACTCTGCGTTATCCATCGGGTAGTGCGAAGGCCGACGCTCGAGCATCTGTCGAGTCTTTCTTTGGCGGTGCGGTTGACTAGTGAGGGAGAGACAGAGGAGGGACGAAGTCAGAGGCAGAGGCTTTGCCGACGAAGAGTTTTCTGCGGACTTGTTTTTGGGGCTACAGTGTCCTGTAATCAGCATCAAGGAGAGCAAGGGGAAGGTTCATGCCGCCTTGTCCGAGGACTGTCTGAGGCCGTTAGGTCGGTTGGCTTGAAGCTTTGCTTCTCCTCCATGAGTATTGCCTCGGTTTTCATCGACAACGGTGACTTTCCTGTTTGATTTTGTCAGATACCTCGATAGAGGTCGATGCCTGAAGGAATGCAGCTGCCGTCGAGTTGCATAACCATGTGAAAGAGATTACTATAGAGGCGGGAAGAGCTGATCTGCGGCAACCTAGTAATGGGAATACTGCCCTGTGCATGTGAAATTCTGTACGAGTGTCTTAGAGGCGGCGAGGCAAGTGTTCAACTCCGACGAGATCGGCAGCCGCATTTGTCATCGGAAGGCTCTCTTGCGGTGGTAGATATATAGGTGAAGCCTATCCACACTTGCTGCTTTTCTGATCGTGAAGAGTTGGATACCAAGGGTTTCATGCTCTAAGCGCACGGCCATGGAATATGGTGCGAGCAGTAGTCGAGGTCTTGGGGATATGCTGGAGAGTGTCAAGCGTCTGTGCTCGTTAGATTCCGACCTCGGGGAGGAATTTGGAGTCCTCCCTGGGTGTGAGTCGGAAGAGCAGGTTGAAGACAACAACTATTTGGATCCAAACCTGTGGAAGAACCTTCCTGATGATCTTCATGCATGGGTGCTCCAAAAACTGCCGTTGGAAAGCCTTGTAAAGTTTCGCATGGTTTGTAAGAAGTGGAATGCTTCCATTCTATCGGTCGATTTTATTCCTCCACCGAATTTGGCTCGGAAGTGTGTGCCCATTTACTTCCATGATGAGGTGCCCTCCACGGTCTACAATCGAAGGAGAAACTCGTGGCAGCAGTTGTCTTTCTCCTTCTTGGAAACTCCCAGCACCTTTTTGTCCCTCCTTGTATCAGCTGGAGGATTGCTCTGCTTTAAGACTGGCATAGCCGGCGAGTTGATAGTTTGCAACCCGATCACCAAGCAGTCCCGACGACTACAGGTGCCCTGCAGAATTCGCCATGACGCTATCACTCAAATTGCCGGAGAGAGTGAAGTGGTTATTTATGAAAGTGCTCATTCCACCCGGAACCTAAAAGTGTATCATCTGTCTACCGGTTCTTTTGACAAGGAAGTCGTCGTGGGAATGGTTGTGGAGCATGGAAACAGCTATGGAAGTGGCTACAAGCTGGTTGTTGCCGGAGTGACGCTTTCTGACAACTCTTCTGAGAGAACAACGCTGGTCTATGACTCAGTCACTAACTCCTGGAAGAAAGGGGGTGAAGTTCCCAGAGGAGTGCGGTTTTGGAGATCTGGGAAACCAGTCTCCAGCAAAGGATACCTGTACTGCATTACATACAATGAGCAGGTTTGGAGAGAGAGAATGGACCAGGAGCGGCCGTGGAGTGTGCTTAGATATGATTTGGAACATGAGAAGTGGAGTGAGGTGAAAATACCCAGGAGGAATTCTATCCTCCATCAGCTAGTTGAGCACCAGGGGCGGATATTAGTAGTACAGAGACGGCCTATCGACCAGACTCAGATGTTCACCTCTGAACTCAAAGAAGATGGCGAAGTGCGACCCTACAAAATGGCAAAAATGCCCGTTGAACTTTTTCCAGATGCTGTCAAAAGAGATTTAGTACTTGGAGATTGGTGTGTGGGCCAGGGCGATCGGGTATACATTGCAGGTGTATATCCCGAAAATAGTTGGCTGGATTCCATCGAAACCAGCTGCTATCGACCAATCTATGTGGACAGAAGCCTTGGATTTGGCGTCCTAACTCATAATCCTACTGACAATACCTGGACTCAGCTTCCAGACCTATGTGGTAGATACTACCCTGAAGGTCTCTACGCTTTTGAGCCATCGCTGGCTCGAGTGTAGACGTGATGTTTCTTACGAGGAAGTTACATTTCGTAAGTTGGCCACCTTGTCGATGATTCTGTTGTTGATGCATGGGAGGCAAATCATGAGAATTGGCCTGCACTGTCCATCTGCTGAGAGTGGGATAGACGACTCAGAGTAGGTATAATAGACGGTTGTTCCTCTGTGAAAGACCCAAGTCAGTCCAGGTAAGAGATACTGTGTTTCTATCATCAACTCAAATCCTTTTTTCCTGTTAGTGTATAGGGAGGCATGTTCAATCTTTTGGGTTATACCCCTTTAGAGTCACTGTAAAATGTAAATCTGTAGAAGAGGGGTTCTGGGGAAGAAGAGGTAGCAATTTTCTGGAGAAGAGGTGGAAAATTTTTTGCAGTTTGTGTGCCTGGAGAGTAACTTTGATTTCAGGGACATGTGGCTACCTTTCAAGCTGTTGTTAGAGTCTACTCTACTCGCGAGTGGAGAGGCCATCGGAAATAAAAGCGTTCTAGAGTGTTATGTTTGTCCTAAGTTGTATGGCATTGGAACTCTGTGGTATTTGAAATCGTTTTCTGGATTTCTGGCAAGAACTGTGAGGCGGAAGGGTATGATGATTAAGTTTAAGAAATTCCACAAGACCCGCGGTTTTGTATGGTAGAATAGTAAAGTAGCCTGCGATTTGTCACTAGGATGTCAATTACACAAGTGTACATATGTTTACATCGTTAGCAGTTGCTGAGTATCTTTAAACCTGCTGTTAGTAGATGGAGAGAATGCTACACATTTTTGCTCTTACGGGGAGGATTTAGGACAAATGCTTTAGGTAGCACTTTTTACACAAAGACCCCAACACCCGTTCACCGTTGCTACTGTAATAGAGCGGTAAGAGTCGTTTCAAATATTACTGAGAAGCAATACATCTATGGTGGAAGTGTAAGAAGTAGAAGGGCATCGCAAACTGCGATGCGATGCCCTTCCGTAAACTGCGAAGGGGAGCGGCTACTTATACCTCACTTAGGGCTAATTAGTACTCACTCTACTATATGCAATTATCTGATTGGTCCATGGAGCGGCTAGTTATACCACACTTGGAGCTAATTAGCACTCACTCTACCATATGCAATTATCTGATTGGTCCATGGAGCGGCTAGTTATACCACACTTGAAGCTAATTAGCCCTCACTCTGCAACATGCAATTATGTAATTGGTCCATGCAGGGTTATAGGGTTTGTGGATGATTAGCAACTACTTTCAAAATAGGAGCTAATTAGCCCTCACTCTGCAACATGCAATTATGTAATTGGTCCATGCAGGGTTATAGGGTTTGTGGATGATTAGCAACTACTTTCAAAATAGGGTGTTTGACCAATATGAGATGAGGTTACAGTTATTATCCCTAACTAAGCCCTCCCACTGTGAAGACATTGTGATACGGTTATCTTACAGTGAAGCATCTACAAATGCAGGTACATGCCAATAAGTTCGGAGCTGAAGGAAATTTTCCCACTTATATGTGAACCACTGTCAATGTCACGTGCAGTAAAATATGCCACATAAACCCTTCTTTTTGCTGATGGAAAGTCAATGCATGAATAGTATCAATTTGTGCACTCCGAGCTCATTCGGCTGAATTGGAAATTGTCAGTTATTGCAGCTTTTCTGTGTCTACACATTAGTGGCAAGACTGTGATTCACAAAAGCAAGTGGTATTGCCTATCACTGTGATGTCAAGTTGAACCCAAACAGTGGGGCTATAAACATGAGTAATAAAATACTTAACACTGCAGTTCTAAATAATATCAAGCCATCTGGAGTTACATCCTAAAGTTTGCTCCGCAAGGTGGACTCAGAGTATGTTATTCCCAACGTTTTAAACCCAAGATTGAAGAATGGCTACTCTTGACGAGAACTGTTATTGCAAACTACATGACTCAATCCGACTTATTCTACCAGTTTGGAATACAGACCCCCCATATCATACCTCGTTATTACTTGTGCCATACATGCTGGTTTATAAGGCTGGCCTTTCTAGTACAAGGAAATGCTTTCTGATCCGAGATGGTCCCTTTCGCAAAAGCTATATCTAAGATTCTAGGAATGCATTAAAGAAAGATTGCAGAAAGATGGTATTTCTTCAAAACACTACTCTAAGCAGCTGTAATGAAGCATAAGGCTTTTATAAGGCATGAAGTCACTTTTATTCTTACAATATTGTTTATTTGCTGGTTGGGCTTGGCCCGGATCTCGATCAATGTCAGTGATCAGCAGTTCCTGGATTGTGTATGCAACCCACCCGGCCCAAAACGACAAGTACTAGAGGGGTTGGACGGCGGATCTGGGAATGTGGATGAACGAAGCATCTCACGGTCAGAAGGTCAACACTGTCAAGTCGTCCGAGGTCTAGACTAGACTACAAATGCGTGAATGTGTTCTCTTTCCTGCCACCCAAATACCTATCTTCGCGCATTCAGCACAAACAGCAGAACAATCTAAAACGCAGAGATGGCATCGGGATCTATGGGAGCTGGAGCTGTTCGACACATTGTAATGTTGAAACTCGGGGATAAGGCCAATGTTGGAAAAGTCGCAGCGTCTTTAGGAAAGCTCGGGGATGGAATTCCAGGCGTCAAGTGGAACAGCTTCAGCCTGAACACTGATCTTGGTAGCATGCTTTTCAACAGAGCAATTTGAAGTTCAATTTGAAGCAACAGACCTAGCTAGAATGAATATCACTATGATACAAACATCTCACTATATAAATTCCTCCAACTTCCAAATGAAGACTCTGCTCACATATGAAATTCTCAGATCTTGTCTCGCGTTCGCACACATGCCGCTGTCCACTGAGAACAACACAGGCATATCGGCAGAGAATCTGCACGTTATGATCTCATTTTGCCATCTTCCTTTCGAATTGATCTTGCGAAATGGCTGCATCATTATCGAGCCTAGACTCTCACATTTTATTATTGATTCGACCTCTGTGTTCCTCGCAGGTCTTGCTGAAGGAAACTATGATGTGGCGCTCACAATTGAATTTCCTGACAAGGAAAATTATCTTGCGTATGCGAAGCATCCGGAGCATGTTGCCGCTGTCCAATCGAATTCATCCATGGTAGTTTCACGCGCTGCGATACAATTCTCACTCGCACCAAAGTTGTAACCGTTTATCGTATTTTCATCATAGCCTAAGAAAACAATATTTCAGATGAAACTGACTAGTACAACGTGATAAAGTGTATTCTTATAAATATGAAAGCAAGTTTGAAGGAGACAGACTTACCATCTGTTGATAGAGCAGCAGTTGGATGTTTGCAGTTCATCTCATCCACTTCTGAACCATGCGGATTTCGTGATTTCATAATTTCGCCTTGAGGAACAACTTTTGACAGGTAGAAATTCCGCTTTGCAATGGATCCAGTCTGTACTGTAAAATTGAGGGGTCTTTGTTTACCCTTATTTCCTCAAATCACGAAATCTGTGAAAGCATTTGGAGAGAGAGTGCTGTAGATCTGAGTCTCTTCTTCACTATAATCTGGACAAGTCACTGCTTTATTTGAAAAATAACTTGGAGAGCGACACGTAAGCAGTGATAAAGCACAAAATACGCCAAACCAGGCCCAAGGTGACCCGGAAACTTCAGATTTCGACGAATACGCAAACAGCTCAACTGTCATGTCAACTACACAAGAAATCCTCTAGTGATATCTACTGTTTTGAAAGTACATCGAGTACTGCCTTCGAAAGTGACTCATATTTCGGCAGATACTATTGATCTGGATTCACAGCTTGCTCCACCATGGTCTTGTATTTCAGGAGCAAATCGCTGTTAAAGACAAGAAGCTGTCAGAGTTGGGAAGAGAGTTCGTAGCCCCCGCCGTCATGCAAACCACAGCAACTTGCACTTGCACTGGAAGTCAATTAAAAGTTGCAACCATAACGAAAGACAATCTTGTCCAATTTGTTATCAATTTGGACAGAGGAAGTCTAAAAGACCAAAGGAACATATTGTTGAGAAACAGATTTTACCTCCTTATATTTAACTGACTCTCGTATTCTTCCAGTTTCTGCTTCTGCCAACGAACTGTCTGCGCTCCCGCGTATATAAAAGCATTAGGGTTGTAGTATAATAAACCAAGAATTGAATTCCTGAACTACTGATAGATTGGTGTACTATTTTCTGCTCATAGGATTTAAATGAAAGGTGAGTAGCTATATCAAGAGTCTTGTCTAAAGTACCAACCGTTCTTCAACAATGTGATCAAAATAGAGGTTTAGCTTACGTACCATAGGTTTTGAGTTAGCTGTAACAGTAATGTTGTTCAGCAACTGCTGACATCTTTCGAAACGGGAAGCAAGATCGTTCACCTGTAAGGTAAGAAAAGTCAAGTACCGAAACAATTGGTTCTCTGAACGCAATGTTTTCAGGACAGAGATTCTTCATGTCAACATCCAAAGCAGTAACTTCTATTCTCTTGTTCACATACCAGCTCATTCACGTGTTGGTCCACAGCTCCTCTCTCCATAGCATCCGCTAGAGACTCGATAAGCTTGTGCCATTAAGGACCACTGACAAATTTCGAACTTTGTTTGTTGATCAACAACAAGATATATTCCTTTTGTGAAAGTGGTGCTTAGAGACAAAAGCTTTCTAAGTCATTGTGAAAAAGATTTCTAGTTTGAGTACAATCGACGTCTTCCTGAGTAAGAAGGTTTTGACTTATTCGAAACTGACACGAAGGGAGCAAAAATTACAAGGATGACCGTCTGTCAGAAAGGGATTTCGAGGCTGTCATAGAGCGATTGGAGAGAAACCACATTTCATTTCAAAACAATCACTTAAACCCTTTCTCCATTGGAACAGGGGGAAACATAAATCCGTATGACTCTAAGCTGCTAAAATCCAAAACCCTAAACCACCTTTGTCACGTTTCACATGGCTGGAACCAGTCCACAGCGTTTGATCTCTTCGATGAGCAATTCCCAGAAATTTATTCAAAAATATGATTTTAAAGAATCCCAAACTTGCTTGTCATTTCTGTGCTGTTGAGAAGTAAAACTCAGGTATGATGGGAAACAGGGCACTAAATACAACAGCTTTCCACTCCACGATAGCGAAATTGTAACATCGTGCCAAAGAATCAGAGAAACAACGTAGTGTGCACCTAAGTCAAACGCCGCAATGGAGTAGAAACTGATAAGAATGGATACTGGAAGCAAATGAAAGTGAGAGGCCAGGTCCTGCTGCGGTTGCTGCTGTTGCTGATGCTGAGGCTGGCTGTGCTGTTGCGGTGCTTGCCACGCCATCATAAAAGCCTACATTCACTTGCTTCTTCCCGAAGAACTCAGCCAGGCCAATCAGATCCTCCACACAACCTTTTCCTTTCTCTCACCAAGCGCCTATCCCAACACTCACCCCTTCCTCGTCGCTAATCTGCTTCCACTGCCACTCATAAACCTTGCACCACGCAGCAAGCGAGAGAGTTAAGCTCAACTCAATCCAAATTTGTGTCAAAATCCACGCTCATCCCCACCGGACCTTGCCCGCAATACAAGGCACCACAATCTACAGGATCCTCGTCAAAATCTCGAGGTTGTGGAAGCTCTCCTGTCACGCCGCGTTTCAGCAAATCAGTGCATCAATTGAAGAACGCTCGGAGGAATGTGAGAAGAAGGAGAGAATGAGAGGAAACGAGGACACTTCGAATGCCAAAGATTCTCCTGTTTCAACTCCCCGCATTCGTCCTTGCAACACGTGTCAAGACCCTGTGAGTCCTAGGTGGCACGGCAAGTAGACTGTAGCACTTGTGGAATTGTATTTATACATCGCTTGGTCTGGTCGTGCTCGTAGATTTAATATGCCTTCGATTTTAAATATTTTCAAACATTATGATTTTCTAATAAAAAACAAATCCTTCAAATTTTACTCCGTACTCTCCCCAGTTTGGCACTCCATGACCTTGCTGGTACAGTTGTTCCGAACGCCGAGAGGTCACCATAATGGCTTCCCATGCTGGGACTGACAAGTTGAGGGGCTGGCCGGAGACCACCAGTCCACGCTGGGGACAAAACTTCGTCGTTCGAGTCTCTGCCGCAGGAGGCTTCTGTGCAGCTGTGGTAGCTGCGCTCTGGTCCATACCCTAAGTACCGAGGACACGTATTTTGATAAATCCGAATTTCAGGGTTTTGCTTCTAGAGGTGGATGGAAAGGAGGAAATTGAGCAATTGCTCGACGTTTTGGTAGGGGCAAGGGTTTTGGATTATTGTTGGCGCCGTGGGTCGAGAAAGTTTCAAGAAATAGGCGTCGGAAGGGACATGTCCCCGTGAGAATTCCGGAGGTTGCAAAGTTGCGCAGTGAAGGCAGAGGCTGGAATTTGTGAGTGAGGCAATATGGCTGCTAGCATGATTGCAGCCGTTTGCTGGGTGCCTCGTGGAGCTGCGAATCCGATTCCGCTGAAGGCTGAACCTCCTGCTGACGATGAAATTGAAGCTCTGAAAATTGCCCACGACTTGGAGGTTCATAGAAGGTGGGTCAGCCTCGTTGTTGCAAGGAGTGCAGGAATGGAAATTTTGAGGAAGCGAAATTGTCAAATTTTATGGTTGTGGTTTAGAGAGTTGTTTTCCTTTTTCTGAAGATTTCTTGTTTACGCAGTTCCGATGCAGAGGATGATCTCTTTGAAGACGATGATGAAGATATGGGTGCAGATAAACTGCCTGACCCTGTAGCCCAGGCAATTGCAGCTGCCCAAGCTCTCAGGGGCAGCGAAGGTCGTGCCAAAGGTGTTGATAGCCTTGTAGACGACCTCGCAGAGTTGGATATGGAACACTATGACGATGAGGATGAGGGCGAAGACGCAGGTATGTGGGGTAGCAAGCTTCGAGTTATAAACGATACTGCAAAGCATTCTATCTCATGCTTGGGACATCTCACCTGACGTCACAACACAGGCGATCAAGTCTTTTGATAAAACTGTCGAACAAGGCTTGACTGTTGACTGTTGAGCTTCAGTTGAGATTATCAAAGTATGCACAATGAAAAGTCGATTTGAAGGGAGTTTGAATGAACCTTAATTTGAAGAGTATTATGGCCTTGTTCGATGTAGGTGATGCTCCCCCGTACGTATGCAGGTCGTGTCCTTTCAGGCCAAAAATCTTACTGCTGCACATTATGTTGGCATTTACATCTTTGGCGCAGTTATCTTACGTGCCGTTATTATTTTGATTATTGATATGACAGGCATTCAACTTTTCGGTAATGGAGGACTGGGTGCTGCGTATTATGCTAGTAATGCTGAGGATCCGTACATCGTAAACAAAGAAGTGAGAAGCTGCTGATTTTCTTCTCTGCTTAGAATCGCTTATTGTGGAATTCATAACACTTGTAGTACAACCACTTGACCAAACTATCTTTATTCCTCAATCTTCTTTGTACCTTCCAACGCATTCTTGTTCGATTTCAAGAATGAGTTTTTACACAAGAATGCAATGTGTTCTATAGATTCCGACCTCCGGTTTAATCAGTTGTAGTGTTGTATTGACTAAAATGCCGGTATGGTAATATTCCAGGAGGATGATGAAGAAGATGAAATAGAAGATATGACAATCAAAGAAAGTGATCTTGTCTTGTTAACTGCCCGAACAGAAGACGATGTCAGCCATTTGGAGGTGATTCCAAATCATTTTTCCTACAATTTCCTATTTGGGATCGAGTTGGCTTGATTAAGTAGATGCCTTTTGTAAGGTCTTACGAAATTATTTGAGTATATATTTGGGGAGATGTTTACTTTGCTGTCCATTTACATCACTCATGTTCCGGATTAGTAGTAGTTAGCATATTGTATACATGCTTTTGTGTCAACTTTCTCCCGAAATGAAGAATCTTTGTCATTAGTTGTGGAAGTTCTCACAGGCTCTGGTTCCAGTTTATACAGTTTATCCAGTCTCACAGTCAAGTGGATGGCTAGAATGATCTTCTAGTTTTTCCCCCAGGATTGAGGATGTCGTCTTTGCCTTTGCAGGTTTGGGTTTACGAAAGTGGGGAGGTAGATGAAGATGGAGCTAGTAATATGTACGTCCATCACGACATCATGTTACCGGCCTTTCCTTTATCATTAGCTTGGCTGGATTGTGGACCTATTGGCAAAGAAAAGGGTACGTACGTAGAAGAGCTTTCTTTGTTTTATGTGGAGAATCTGGGTTGTGAGTGGTTTGTTTTAGTTCCATCCTTCAGAACTTGAAAGTTATGATTTGCGCGAATGGATAGATGTTGTTTTGAATGACAGATATTGTGAAGTGTCATATTTTCTAAGATGAAGTATGATGTGTTGAACTTTGTTTTTTCAGGAAACTTTGTGGCTATTGGTACCATGCAACCTGAGATCGAAATATGGGATCTTGATATCGTAAGTAGTAGATTCGTCAACATCTTCCAACGTGGATTTTGGTTGCAAGAATAACCACCTTCATATAACTTCAAATTCATTATTTTAATGTAATCAAATAGTCGTTACAGTAGAAGGTAGTGCTTCCAATCAATATATCAAAATTATGCTCACATTTTGAATGGGATGACTTGTCTTGGTGCAGATTGATGAGGTCGAACCTGTAGCTGTCTTGGGGGGCCCTGTTATCTCAAGAATGGAAGAAGAGATAAAAAAGAAAAAATCAAAGAAGAAGAAAAAAGAAAAGGTGCGCACATGTCCTTGGTTTTTTTTTTTTTATCTCCTTGACGGCTCTAATGGATGATTAAGTAACTATGTTGGTTCAAATCTATGCATCATTGTCAAGGTCTGGATCACGTTATCTGTCTTTTCCTGGTTGGCGATTGTTTGCTCCAGGCCTTTACTAATTGCTAGAGCAATTCTGCTTTCGATGACAGAAAATCAAGCTGAAAGAAGGTAGTCACACTGATGCTGTTCTTGGTCTAGCATGGAACCTAGAATTCAGGTGTGATTCCTTACCATTTCTCCAAAGTCTGACACCTGTAATAGGTCTGTTTGTACATGAGATTCCAGTCTGCCTGGCAGTTCAATACAATCAGCTCTCTTTCATTTCATTTTTCGTCCATAGCAATCTGTTTGAGCAGTCCACCGGAGTACATTTTCAAAGTTCCTGCGGGGTTCTGCCCAGACTTTTGTGTGGACTGTATATAGGCCCTTGAGTCTTATTCGTCAATTCGAGGAGTAGGTGTTTACCTATGTGACTGAGGGACATTGCATGCCTGTCTAATTTCCGAAAGCTGCCAACAAAAAACGTGACAAAACGACGTCAGCCTGGTTAAACACATTGCTCTTTTTCTTGTCGTTCCTTCTAGTTTTAAAGAAACAGCCCTCAGCTGGCAAGAGTTTTCCAACCCTTTTCGTTTAGATACTTCCGTCTTTGTCAGTGTCTGAAGAGCATGTCACGGTATTATTCATCCATGCAGGAACGTTGTTGCTAGTGGAAGTGCTGATAACTCTGTGAAGATCTGGGATGTTGTTACTCAAAAGTGCCAGCACACTGTTCATTGTCACAATGATAAGGTGAGGCTATATGTCTCTTCATCATATTATCTAATTTGTGTGGCATACTTCGAGCTTGTTTCTCAGAAAGATGCACAAGCGATTAAAAAAAGGTCAACATTATGATGTCCGGAGATCTAAGCTCATAAACCTGTTTTTAGAACTGTGTATGATAATTATGCCTGCCAGTATTAAAGACGACGAGTATGACGACTACATAGTAAGAAATTATAATGAAGCTGTCACAGTTTTATTTACCCGCGTATGATTTTTATCAGGTGCAAGCAGTTGCTTGGAATAAGAAACAGCCGACTGTTTTACTCAGTGGGTCATTTGATCGTACCGTGGCAATGGTAAAGATCTGTCTTCACAACTTGTTTACATTTCTTTGTCACTATAGCATTCTTTTATTCCCTAGTTTAGTTTGGTGTGGTGAATGCTTGTGTCTGAAGAGGCATATGAATCTCGAATGCTAAACTGTTTTTTGAAATAGGTGGACGGACGAGCGCCCGATCAAAACGCTATATGGTGGGGCGTTGGCTCGGATGTGGAGAGTCTGGCATGGGATCCGCATACAGAGCACACTTTTGTGGTACCTATCTGAAAAACTCGGGCTCAAAGTTTCTTCATCAACTCAAGTGTTGGAAGAAGTGCACTATTGATTGCAACATATTTTCATACTTGAAGACTCAACGAACGATCAACTATCGGTTCCTGTTGATTACTAATAACTTCAACAGGCCACGAGCATCTAGAACAACACTTAGCACGATTAATCCTCAAATTTATTCTAGTAACTCATGTTCATTCTATCTGTTTTTTAATTTTGTCAGGTGAGCTTGGAAGATGGAACAGTTTGTGCACACGACATAAGGAATGTGGGATCAGTTAGCAAGCCGGCTCCAGGCACCACTTCGAAGACTTTGTATACGATCCATGCACATGAGAAAGCCGTTTGTAGTGTTTCATTCAACTCGGCTGCTCCCAATGTACGTAAGCTTTTATGTTCGCATCGGAGTTATTGCGGAGATTATAAGCGGACGATAGTTCACGTTTGAAATCTATTATACTTGGCATTGTGCAAAGGCTCTTTAGAAGCCTTAACTTTCTTTTTAATCAGTTTAGCCACGAGCATTTTAACCTGAAGCAGATCAACTCTGGATGGTAATGTAGAAAGTACTGTAGTGTAAACCATCGATTCTGACGATGTTATATGTATTGGTTGACAATTGTCCTCTCAATCAGCTATTGGCAACAACTTCCACGGACAAGACGGTCACTTTCTCACCTCAACTCTTTATTGATTTCACAATTTCCAGGCTTAGAATCATGTGTATATACGACTTTGCCTTTCGGAGACATAAAATAGAACAGTTCACTCTTTTTAGTTCATCATTCGTCTGGTCAAGAACTAGACATGCAGTAGGAGTTTTACTGCGAGAATATGACGTTTTTTTAGGTGGTCCACGTCTTCATTTGCTTTGACACTAGATTTTTGAGCTAATGAGCAGGAAATAATTATCATCAGGCTGCATAACCTCATTACATGCGTTTTTTTATGAGGTTACCTGTTGGTTGAACCCCTCCTTATCCAATCTTGCAGGTAAAGTTGTGGGATCTATCAGATAACCAGCCCACATGCATTGGTTCTGTAAATCCGAAAGTGGTGAGTCCTTTTTTTGCTTTTCATAATCATGAAGCCTTTTTGGTTGAGATGCTCGAGTTGGAGTTTAGTTCCATCCGTCTTATTTTGAATTACCAATTTAAGCCTGACTAGAAGTTACCTATACCTTGCTGTTGTTTCCTCAGGGAGCTATTTTCTCATCAGGATTCTGCAACGACCTACCTTTTCTGTTGGCTGTTGGTGGTTCCAAAGGCAACTTGCATGTAAGTTGGTTGTTTCGTCACTTCCATTTGTACGGAAGGGTTGCAAATATATTTCAAAGTTTATTGGATACAGCTACATGTGGGGAGGCTACCTCGGTAGAGCAAGACGATATATTTCTCATCAGGGCTGAGGTTCTTACTGTTGTTAAGAATGTCGGGAAGTGAGGGTTTTTCTTTGTTTTTTCTTCTAGCTCATCAGAAAAAAATAATTGTTTGACGAAGTCAAATCGATGTTCTAATTCATGATCACTGCTTACGAGCTCGGACATCATATGCGTAGATTCCACTCTCTTTCAGATCTATATTAGCTATTACCGTTGATTCGAATGGCGGACATGTTGATCGGTTTTGGCAGGTTTGGAACACTCTTGAAGTCACAGAAGTTGCCAATAGGTTTGGGTCGTTCGCTTCAGGAATCAATCACAAAAAATGAGTCTTTGGGTTAAACTTTTGACCCTGTACATCATAGTGTTTTCAAGGCCTCAGCAACTGGCCTTCGGATGAAGTATGTATTGAACCCCATTGAGTTGTGAATATAAATGGATGATATGTAGTAGGCTACCTTTAGGAACTAAAGGGCACTCTCATGCGGTTTGCATCACTATGACGCCCTTTATATTGTAGTAAGAGATGATAGGTAGAGCAAGCAATGAGTAGGATGGTCTTATACATTCAGTGAAGATTTTGATAATTGGAGATTTCAGGTTTAGGTTAGATCGTTTGTGCATTTATGCTGGAAGTTAGTTCTCAGTGTAATTTTGCAGTTTCATTTTACTGCGAAGCCAGGGGATATTAAGAAGGTGCTTTTCCACATGAGATTTGAATGAAAGGTGGAATCCAGAAGAGTTGGTCTTCCACTCTCAATTATCTGAGAAGAAGTACTACTGTACTTGTGCCCGTAGTAGTGACTCTCTGTCCAAAGTCTTCTTGTACCGTGGCTGAATAATCCTCACAAATTTGGCGACAAGAAATGGCCTTCCGCTGTCCAGAACAGGTCACATCTAGGGCATCCGTTACCTACATATATTGCTTTAATCCTTAGTCATGTATCTGGGATCAAGGTTCTCACCGTCCTCATCCAACATCCAACATGTTGAATGTATTTGACGGTCAAGTGTTTTCCTCATTGGTTTTGTTCTTACTTTGTAGGTACTGATTCCAGTGCGTGTTCAGTGAGAGTTTTTTACTGATGACTACTTATGATTACCAAGCATCATACATTTGCATTTAGTATAGTGGGGCACTACCCATGACTGCATTCTAGGAAAAAGTGGTAAACAGAAGTGTTGTAACACGTTAGAACAATCAGGCAGGAGATGGGGCGACGTGTAATTCCTTGCTTATTAAGAAGCCATACATAGAATTGCACTCCTCCTTACCTTACTATTTTTTTGATGATATAAGATATTTTTCTGGCATCATCGACTTGTCGAGCAGGTTTCATCAGTACTTGCTGGGTAAGTATGAACTATTTAAACTTTATCAACGATTTAAATTTTCAAGAAATTCGCTTCATTGTTGAAGTCTTCTAGAGTGCTAGGAAAGTAGCTCTCATGTGGTAATGTATGTGAGATGCGAACAGACTGAAATTGATAATAGAGAGTAAAATAACCTCGACTGTTAAATACATAATGTTGAACATTGTACTGACCCAGTCAAATACCGCATTCAGTTTTGTGCTACTTCCATCTGGAGTATTTTGACAATGTCATTTTCACCAGGACTTCAGGCATCTGAACATTGTTTGTTATTCCCACTCGAAAGCTACGCATCCAACATTGGACTGAACATTCTATAATTATTTTCTGGCAACTATCAAGTACGCAGTTGACTTTTTTATATACAAACTAGTTCATATAATTGCATAAGAACCGAATGATAATTCTTACATGCTTCGGTTCTCGAGCTGAAAAAACTTTTCATGAAGTAAACGTTATCTCATGATGGGGGAATTCTCACTTGCCAAAAGTGTTAATCGATACAGTTACCTTGGTTGTTCGGAAGAAAAGACTTACAAAGTTGATGCCTCTAGGTACACCCTCCAAGTTATGTGTTCTTTCAGATATTATATGTTTCGCATTACTGCTCCGTACAGAATTCCACACAGAGGTTCTAAATGGGCAGAGAAGCTCAAAGTATCTCATAGTCTTTAGTTTCTCCGACGACCACACGATATTCATTTACGTGATTCTTGAATACACGTCAAACTTCTGACTAATTAGATAACAACTTCCTTGCACGATTGAAGATCAAGCTGTCATGAGTGCTTCGCTAACCATCAAGACATGATCTCACGGTTTAACTGATATCAAACCTTTTATGTATTATATTTAGAATAAGTGTTCATATGTAGGTAAACAAAAAATTAACTCAAACTATATGTCTTGTATTAAACTTAATACTCAAAGCAAGCAAGCACTTTCATAACAAAGATGATATTAGCTCGGAGGCAGTTTGCAAGGTACACTAGTGTAGAGTTGTAATCGATTGAAGACAACCTTGTTAATAAGAATGGATTTATTAATGTATTCTTGGTGTCTTTAGTTGATCATCCTTCTTGCTTTAGTTGATGATGTGTAAAATTGCAGGATGGAGGAGGATGAATCTGAATAGAGTACCCGCTTTGAACGTGTGGGGATAATTTACATTAAAGTCGTGGATGGTGAAGATGCCGCTTGAACTTGCGTTGGGAAGGACTGTGAACTCTACGTGTGTCGTGAGTTGCATGACACCGAATGAGAGCATACATGTAAGGTGTGCATCATGATTCGTAAGGAAAAGCGCCCTTTAATTTTGTGCCAGGAGTCAAATCCAAAGGACTTGGAATATTTGGTACAGGGAGTGTTCGGGTGAATGTTGGGCCCACAAAATGTTGGCAACAGTAACATAAGAAGTAACTTGCCAATGGTTGTCCTTAACAAAAGATTCTGTACCAGGTTTAAGTCGAGACTACATCAGCGACTTGCTGGGATTGCAATTCTTAAGTAGATATAGGTGGAGAAGAATAAAAACCAAAGCCTTGGCATTCATTGCATGGAACTTTGAAACTAATCATATTTATGGGCGTTTCTTTTGTAGGAGGAGAGAGCAAGTCACGTGATTGCAAGTTAGCTTTCTATATACTCTAATCTTGATAATCAATCATATGAGCACTTGAAATGTTAAAACACAATTCATCAAGATTCCTTATGTGGAGAAAGGAAAGTGAGAAAGTAAAAGTAAAAGTCCTTGTGGTAATGTTTCACAAATATGTGTCACACGTAGTGAATAGTTGGAACTTTCTGACATCACTTACATCTGATGCAATCTTGACATGTGATTACTTCTGCAGAGAGGTTCTTAAACTCGGTACATTGGCGCAGAAGATAATGTTGATACTCATGATTAGGTGGAGAAATGAAGAAATAAAATAAAATATTAGCGGTCCAGCACGATTTGATATAACAAATCAACTTGGAAAAGTATCAATTACGAAAAGTTAATTTCTCGGTCAGACCTCATATCCAAGATGAAGCCACCAGCATAGTTTCGTCTTTGTAGAGATGTTAGAATATGGCAATTTCAGTGTTGTTAGCATACGATCAGATTCTTGCGTCCAGGGGTGTTGTTAACAACAAAACCCCTGGACACATATTCCAAAACTTAGTGATCCAAGTTGGCGTCTGCAAATAATTTGGAAATTGAATCAAGTATTGGAGATAGAAATGCTTAATTGAATTTATTCCGGAGATAAAACTGGTATTTCAACTTTGGAGCCAGATGTTGATGATGAGGTGAGATGAGAGTCAATTCATGAGGAGAGATGTGAGGACATTAGTAGTGTCTCCTATAGGTTCAGAACATGTCAGTAAGAGTTTCAGCCAAATAAGGGGCGATAGATCCCCTCCTTCCTTTTCGTCCAAGTTTCGAGACAACTTACTCAAAGTCAATCAATCGATATCCAACCCTAAATTTCGATTCATGATCTTGAAGGTGCAGAAGATCCACAAAATCATGGTCGGATCACAATTTTGAAGTATAGCTATGAAACTTCAAAGTAACCAACATACCTTTCTTCCCATATGGTTTCTTCCTCACCCTTCTTGTAATAACATTTGTTATTACAAGAAGGGTGAGAATAAATACCAAAACATAGCATAATGATAAAGATACGATATCACAAAAAAAGAAACAACATTAGAGATTCAAGTACTGTCACTAATTAACATTCTATTGAATAGTTTTACTTCTCAAGCACATGTCATTCCAAGAAATATCTGTAATTGCTAAGGCCGAAGGCGACACAAAAGCAATATGAAATCACATCCAAATTCTGAAATTCATCCAATAGACTCCACAAAAATCGCAAGCGACTCTACAATTGATATTCAAGGATAAAACTTCCCAAGATTACACGCTCAGCCAGCTGCACCGAGCACCCAATGTACAGATTTTCTTAAATTCTGAGCTACACTATATATCACTCAGAATATCCGAATTGAACTCTCTACTTCAGATGCGATATCTTCGACAAACTGAAGCAATCTAACAAAACACACAACTCGCGAACGTGCGGAGGAATGTAGACTTAAAATTGAAAATTGACTCATGGAAAAGCCCCCCAAAGGCAGAGCCTTGGGCCTATTTATTCCCAACGAACACTCGGAGGCATCAGCTGCTAGCTGCAATCCATCTCCCAATTCACATAATCGCGAAGACATCGTTCTACTCTAGCGCGCAAACCAGCATTCGTCTGTTGTTCAAGTTGTTGGACAATTGCCTCTGTCTCCACCAATTTTGCTTGATCTACGACCAACTACTCCTCAACTGTCGACAGTTGATATCGCAATCTGCTGCAATCTGCGTTCAATTCCTTCCCACGCTCTAACTCCAAAGTTTAAAAAGCTTCCCAATCAACCATTTCCTCCGTCTAGAAGTAGAGAGTTCAATATCTACTTCGGCAGTCTATAATTGATCACGTGCCACTAGAGTTGCCGTCATCTCTACACGACAAGATTCCCCCTGAAATCTTGCTGGAAACAATTCCAATTTGTCCTGGAGCTCAACCGTCACCTTCTGCGCATTGCTAATGTCAACCCGAAGGTCCTTGCATTCTAGCTGCTTCTGCGTACGAAGGCTCTCCTCAGCCGTTAGCTTTCGCCAAAGTTTTGCACACTCCAACTTTTTTGCCCGAAGTTGTTCTTATTGCTACTGCAAGGTAAGTGTCATGGTTGCGCACTCATAAGTAAAGCTAGCAACTCTTTCTGCTACCTTTGCAGTTGTTGCCACATTCACATTTGTTCTTTTACGCACTAACTATACATAAGATACTGTTGACTCTAACTCCGAGTACTTCGCCATCTTCCCATCTAAGTACTTGATTAATAGAACTATACTATCACCCAAAATATCATCTACACTAAACTATGACGTCTTCGGCTCCTCGGCCGCAATACCTTCTTCTTCAAAGCCAAAGGTGTCAAAGCCGAAGTCCCAAGGCCGAATGCCCTTCTTGGTCTTCGCCTTACCATGTCATCCACTTCCTACTCCTATAACTCGGATATACTCATCCGTTTCAGGCGTTCTTGAGCTCATTAGAACGAGCACGCACAACTCTATCTATCAAGATACTTCCCAAGTCAAGTCGCCATTAATTGAAAAAGTTATGAGGTATTTAATCTATCAGATCATAACCCATCTAATTTAACTTTATTGACTGCAAGTAAAAACACCAACTCGAGCAGAACGATACCTAACATGGATTTCAACTATTCCTAACTTGGCATCTACTTCTAATCATTCTTATCCTAAAAGTATAAATTTCTATTCATCTACTCCTCAAACTTCATATTTAGTTAAAAGTTACTTCCACCTGAAATATAGGTACCCAACACATGCTGGTACTTCTCGTACAATATTGGATACTTAATGCTAATCATTCCTTGTATGGAGTCGGTTGAAATTGGAAAAGGATGTATTCTTAATTCTATTTGATCAAATTACATTAATTAATGATAGTAAGAATTTTGTGAAAGTTATTTTTCTATGCTGGAATATTTATACAGATTGTGATGTATTTTTGACAGTTGATAAGATGATGTATATTCTCAATAAGCATTTTGCATTTGCATCAAATGATAACTATTGAACAATATAAAAAATTTATCAAGCATCGAACATTCAAAGAACGAATGTTTTGAGCAATATTAACATTGTTTATGATTCATCTGCGCATTCTGTGTTTTACTTCCAAATCTTTTTGGAAATTTCACAATTTGTAAAACCTCAAAGCATCAAACAGGTGAGTTCTACATCAATCTAGTTTAGAAGTGATTATCAGCTCGCTGGTTCTGATTATATGTCTTCCTTCTCAAATCTTTGATTAAATTTTCAAGGTCAAGTGTTACTATCAAATTTTTGGACTTAACATACATGTGAGTTACACCAATCATTCACAAGAATGAGATTAGTCAACACGTTCTGATTTGATTCATTTATCAGTCATTCAACATATTTCCAGGACATATTTAACCTTATTTGTCTACATACAAATTTATTGAATTTTCCTTATATAATATTTGACTTACAGTTTTTAGTATCATTCCAGCTCACATAGATCTTTTCTAAATAGTGTGATATGACTGTTAGAGTCTTATATCAGCTTATCCAGGCTTGGTTTACAAAGCAATAAGTACCTCGCCTAGCAAATATGTGTTCTATAAACCTTAAAGACAAAGTTTAGAAAAGGTTTTATGTTGAACCATCTTGTGAGTGTAATTTACAGTCAGTTTTCTTGTATGTAGCTCAATGAGGAAGGGATGTGTACATTTTATTACAAGGTTTTTTTGATAAAATCATCACACTCTATTTAAAATTAATTAAATTTGAATATATTTAGCCTATATTACATTTATGTCTAAAGTATAGAGCAATTCAGTGAAGAGGTTTAGATTAACGTCCATGATCAAATAATTTAAATGTAAAGATTATGTAGTAGCAATTTTTATAATAATTATAATTTATGGAAACAGATTTTTGCATTTATTTTATGGGGATATAAATCGTTTTGTAGCAGAATCAAATAAATTTTAAAATTTAATTCTAAGATTTTTATTTTTTTCTATTTTTAAATAAATTTTAAAATTTTTTGGGAAGTTCTTTTTAGATTGATCAACTAACACATATGTTAGCTAGTCTAATTTTAAAAATTTAATCGAAATTATAAACATATGTAATGATAAAGGTTAGCATATTTATAAGATTTACTTTTAAGAATCAATGAATTTTGTAATCTTTCTTTCAGACATATTTTTTCCAATTATTGAATACCGCGTGTGAATTATTTGTAAAAATAAATGTATTCGTAATTTTCCCAGTAAATTTTAATCCCTGGACGTGCCGGAATAGCCACCGGTGAGGACGTAATGCGATGAAAGGCCCGATTTCGTTCTGCCGGCCAGTTCTCTGCCACGGAAAGGCTTGCGCTTAGTAAACGGGAGCGACGAAGTCGGCTCTTGATTACAGACTGAGAAACCAAACAACCACGCTGCAAAAGCTGACCTCCTCCTCTGCACCTGCAAGGACACCTAATCTGACGCCCTTTCATTATTATTATTATTATCCAGTACTTGATGACATGCGTGATCGTACATTTCACCCCAACTTCTGTGTACTTTTGACGGAGCGAGGAATTACCGTACGTACGGAGGTAAGAAGGTATTGAAGGAAATTATTGGATGGCGCGAACCGACAGACGGACATGTTGTACGTACGGTACTTGCACGCAGTAGGGAAGCACATCCGTAGGTCTAGACCCTGTAGGACCGCCGGACTGATTGTCCTCTGTTCTCTCTGCGTGACCACTGAGGGTCCTTCCCGCATGAGAATCCACCAGTCGCGCATTTCTTTCGATAAATAATTCCACTGGTCATGATTGATTTCGGCACTCAGATCCGGCGATTTTTCACATGCAGAAATGTGTGGGCCTCAAGTTCCCAGATTCGAATCAACAGATCTATGTGAGATATACCTCTAGGCCAGGCGCAAAAGTTTCCTGCGGCAGACCAATTCCAGCCATGGGTAGGGAGGAGCATCGGCCCTTCACCTTGCGTAGCCGAGATGCAGCAGAGCACGGTGACGGATTCGTACGCAGCAGCGTGTGCCATTCAGCCCTCTCGTGCTCTGGACACGAGGAACCCAAATGGAGGATGAACTCAAATGCGTTACGGAGATGAACCCAAATGTGGTCGTCTGCTGACAGGGAACTCGTGAGAAGCATCGCTGGAGGTATGCCACCTCTATATGGAACAGACTGCTCTATATGGTGACGTGGCATCTGAGTTGGCACATTTGCGTCGTGGCAAGTCAGAAGTCTGTATTTTGAGAGTGAGCAAGTTCTCGGGAAGATTCCGGCTGGAACTGTGATTGTGCACATGGCCAAAATTGAGCTCAAGTCTAACCCGAGAGACAAGGCCGCCACCAGACGCAGGCACAATTCTTCGCAGGTGGAACTCCGCTAGCACCACAAATCTTTTCTATCTCCTCTCTGAGATGCGAATTGTACTGTTCCAGCTGGAGAAAGCACAACGTCACAAGATGTAGACTTTGAGGTCTATTTTTATTTTTCCAGTCCGGGTGGTACCTGCAAAGGCAGCAGCGGTAGCCAAGGTACAGTTTTCATGGAGCGTTAGGGATGCTAGGCAAGAACACTGTACTTATTGCAATGTTATGCAATAAGATTCTAGGCCTTCATGCCACCGTCGAGTGAGAATACGGAGTGTCTGAAGTGGCTCACAACACCACTGTTGAGTACCAAAAAAGCAAGGAAAATGGGTGGATGCAGCTAAATACCGTGCACGTGAATCTTCGTCTTCTCTCCTTGCGTTTACCTATGGATGACAGATATATGTTACGACACTACCTTCGGAGAGGTGGGTCCAGCATAGAGAGAATACCTGGGAGTGACTGGGACGAGTCCGCGCGGAAATGACCTGATTGACTCGCAAATCAGTGTATAGAAGAAAGGATAAGGAGGGCCCTGACATGATATCACATGACCTCTGCCATGCTACAGAGCCTCTCCAATTATTCCAGAATTTTAATGCATTCATTATACATATCATAACAATTTGTCCGGAGAAAATGTGAGATTTCATCTCGCATTTGTCACATTTTCCAACGTTGAATCGGATTGTGCTGTTAACGAACCGGCCAAAGAAACGCTTCCATCATTCATCCGAATCGGGTGTCGACATTCATGCTTGACTCTGAACGTTTACACTTGACTCGAAACAATCCGGTGTCAAAGAAAACCTCTCATTCATGATGTATTTTGCTAGTTGATTCTTCTTCCCTGTAACGTTGACTGGGAAGGTCTTTGGTCTCTCCGAATATTCTTGCACAGTTGGTGGGAACGAGAAGAAAATTTGATACCTCGAGAAATATGTGAGGGGAAGAAAGAGATGCAGAAGGATAGAGAGTGGAAGTGAGTGAGAGTAAGTATGTGTGCTCCTTTTTCCAATGTCCAGTGCATGATCCAATGCATGACTGCGTATCACTTATGCATGCATGCTGCAAGTTATTTCATCGCAACAGCTGCCGATACTTGACTGTTGCTGTGATTATCCTCTTTCATGCTTGATGGCTGGTAAGAAATAAACACAAACTGGAGCGAGAGTGAATGATAACAGTATGTTTGATGATCAGCTCATTCGGACTCATCAACTCCCTTTTAATGTGCCCTGTGCAATCTGCCAGCGTTGATGACGAGTGTGCTTCATACTGTTCACACGCATATTGACTAAGCTTGCAAGCAATAATGATATTGCAAACACATGGAAGATTGAATAGATACCAAAAAGCATTTCTGCACTGGAGGTAAGTTGAAGGGAGATGGTAGGAATTTGGAGTTGTACACAGAACTGTTGGAAATTGGAATCTGAGCCATAATTTGACCCGAGCTTTTCCATAGGCTCTCAATGTCAGGATCTTTCCAATAAACTATTACCATGAACCATAGTATGAAGTCTAGCATGCCATGATCACTAGAAATTATATTTGCAATTCCTGTGGACAACTTTCCTCTAATCCACTTAATGTAAACGGTTAGAGGGGAGCTACGACTTGCCTGTCTGACATGAAAAATGATCACATTTTACTTTTACGGTGTTCCAACAAAAAAAAAGGAAGCAAACTATTAAAGAGTATTCTTAGTGAAGAAATTATCTTGATAAATGTTTGAAAGATGTATGTTTTCGTCACCAACGTATTTATCCAATGGCAAATGTCAAGGTAACCAGTCCATCAAGTATCTTACGTTTCTAGTCCCTTCACACAATATGCACATTCAATGTTAGAAGGCACATGAGACACATGTGGGAAATTGTCTTGAACATTGACTAGAAGGCATCACTGACAGTGAGTAATGAATGCCCTTGAGGTTCTCCATCTACTTGATAGAAAGACCAGGTTAAGGAAAATCCCCGTCAGGCCACCGGCACACAGAGGAGAAATTGGCAGTCCGGTCCTTCATGTAGGAACTCTTGTAGAAAGGATGGAAGAAACTAGAAGCAGAAAAAGTAACCTCGAGAGAGAAGCGCAGAGGTTTCTTCCCTCGGATAAAACCTCCTCTGCTGGAACACGTGGTGAACAGAAAAGTACCACCAAAAGTAACTGTGTGGCTAAAGTGGAGGCACTGAAGGGGCACGGTGAGGGCGGAATCCGTAAGAAGGGCAGGGCAGGGGACCAGGCCCCAAGAGGCATGGGAGATCGTGGGACTCGGTGAGAGGCGTGGCCGCAGAGTGCTGGAATGAGCGCGGATCGCCGCATATTCGTGCGGAGAAAGCAGCATGGGCAATCCCCAGCCACACATCCGTATGGACAAAACCCAGGCAGAGAACTGGAGCCTGACAACCGGTCGCTGTCGGTTTCGGGTTCCGTATCTCACGAATACGCCGTAGAAAAGTGCACCCGCATACGACAAAGCCCGGCTAGAGAGAAGCATGGCAAGACTAAAAGCGCAGTTGCAATCCCGGCTCCTTGGACAGGGATTCTCTGCGCCGTGTCTCGCTGCCAATCCACGCCGTCGTGATCGAGTAACCACGGTCAGTTCCCGGCGAGAAAGGGTTTCGGGTAATATAGCGAAAAGGACGCGGAGACCCCATCACAACGTCCCTCCCCCCTTTGTCACTACTCTTTAGGAGTTTGAACTGATCACCGCCATTTCGGTCGGCCTTCCGCGGCTGTACGCGGCCTCCCAGCGCGCCTTCCTGGGATTGAGGAGACCTCGGCAGCGTCCCCACGTCGCATTCCTGCCCAATGCCGACACGCGCTATGGGGACGTCGGCATTGTGGGAGTCACGAACTCTCCGACGTCAGTGCGCAGAAAATCTCTGATTTATCTGTTACTTCGTGCGGGACTTCTTTTCCCTTTCTCTCTGCGAAATCATCGATAAAAACAGGGTTAGGTCAGGTACTAACCGATCAATCCGGTTGAGAAGACGCTACAATTCTTTCCTGATAGAAACCAGGAGTCTTCTTCCGGAACTCCCGTAACGAACGGAGGATGCGAACTAAGGAAGGGCCCAGACTTTCGGCCTTCTGCCTCGGATTCTCGGTATGCAGTTTGTTGTTCTTGTAAGAGCTGATGGACTTGGTGATCTGATGTCTTGTTTCTATGTCAATCTGTAGGATAAAAGAATGGACTATGAGTCTGCGAACGTCTTGTGTACCTCGGTGCTTACACTTTTCCCATCGAGGACACACGAATTTCGCGGTGCAATTCACGATAAACGTTCTTGCTCAAGATTGAATATCCAGTCAGAAGTCTCGATGGCTTTAGAACTGAGCCATGAGAATTTAGAGTCAGCTAATGCAAAGATTGGGTTCTCTTCATGCAAGGTTCTCAGCAAATATCATGGGGATCGTGTTTCTCTGTTGAAAACGTTCTCTTATTTATGGAAGATAGTTGCAAACATTGCCACGGAACTGAAGAAGTAGAATAAGAGTCCTGTAACAGAATAGTCTCCGAGTACACAACGTCAGGTCCTTTTACAGGCATTCACAATTTACAACTTCTATGATATTCTAGGAGAAAATCACGTCGAATTAAGAATTTCGGAACACAAGAAATTTACTAATGAGGTAGATATCTGAATGCAACCTAAGTATTAACATTTTCTTGTAGATGTGATATTACGTCCTAGCAAACATTCATTGACGAGGGGATTTGTTTGAGACTTCAATCATAATCTTGTCAACTAGATGAGAGCTATAGACTTGATATCTTTTAAAAAATAGTATAATATCGTTAGCCTATAATTGCTAGGATTGATTCTTTCGACTCACTTTAATGAGAAATTGAAAAATACAATATACATTTATATTTGTGATTGAGGTGATGCGTTGATACCAGAATCACTTTTGAATTATTCTGCGTGCTTCGCTCCAACGAGCTTTGTCTCTTATAGTTTCTTTGCTTCTAACGGTGATTGCAATGTTCCATATCTTTACACAGTACTGATGAAAGCATCTTCGTAGAAAGGACGAGGATTGATGATTATTTTCGTATACCATGCATTTATCATACAGATTACAAGCGGTGGAGCAACGACATTCGAGTCAAGTACCCATCTGCCACAGTAGTCACCAGCATCCCACAAAACACACATTTGAGTACTCTAAGCTTCCAAAATCCAGGAGGAAAATCGTCCTGTTTGATGTCAGAATACTCTCTTCTTGAAAAGATTGTGTGACTTGAAAAGTCGCATCAGCCGAAAGCTCAATATATGTCAAAAAAGCTTTGGTAGCCGTGAGATAAGCCCACCAACAAAATATTCCCTGGTACAAGAACCTAAAGAAACATGGTCCTTGATGTGTGTTGTGTGGATGAACGATATAGCCAAACGCATGGGAATACCCCGCGGTGCAGGGATGAAACCAATGAAACCAAAAGGGTAGCATGGGTTAGGCTAGGATGTGGGATTAATCAGAACCAGCTTCCTTAAAGCTGGACGATGGGTCCAACTTCACAAATTTAGATGAAATGGCCAGAGCTCCTTCTTTATTCCCGATCTGGTCGTTTATTCTCTCGGTCTTCGGCACGCCGGTCACGTTGGCGGCGGATCTGCCATCGGTCAACGAGGCGGGACCAGAAGGACGACAGATATATCCATCGGGTAAAAGGAGGCAGACTAACTGTCACTGCAGTACGTGATTTGAAGAACATCATCGGACACCCTCCTCCTCCGCGGGCCGGCTCTCTCTCCGGGCGCCCGAGAGCCCGGGCCGAGCCAACCGTTGCTCTGGAACATGCTCCAGTACCAAGTGGGAAGGATGGTAGTTGTTCAACAATCTCATGAGCGAGCGACATCCACGTGGTCGGCAGCTACGGGTTGTGACCTAGGAGGCATAGGTGCGAACCAATGGAGGGAGGCGCCTCTCGAAAGCCTGGGCTGGGACCGGTTGGTGCAGCTTCCTGAACATGACTGTCTCGTCCGGTTGGTGCATTTGGACGCTTCTCCACTTTGCATGAATCCCCTCGCCTACATCTTCTCGGACCGCAGCAGAAACGAGGGCAGCGCAAGCAAACGAGGTCCCAATCCAAGGACAGAGGAAGCGCAAGCGAGGCCGACGGAGAGCCTGCTGCCAAGGCACGGAAGAAGGGAGCAAGGCCGCGAGAGCAGCGAGCGAGCGAGCTTGTCATCCTGCCTGCGAGTTTGAAACCATCATCCTGCAATCAATCAATCGTCCGCTGTGCTTGTTCTCTCCCCATAAACCCGATTGCAAGTGAGCGAGGGTGGCACTCCGCGCTCTAGAGGATCTGGTCGCTGAGAAAGCGCTTTTCAAGAGGTTCAGCGGCAGAGCGGGTCGCAGCGTTGATCCTGATCTGTGTGACAATATCATGGCCGGTAAAGGGGTGTTCAAAGATCTGCTTGATGGGGATGTCTACAAGTACTATGCTGATGGAGAGTGGAAGCGGTCCTCCTCGGGCGCCTCCGTCAACATTTTGAACCCTTCTACCCGGAAGGTTCAGTACAAGGTTCAAGGTGAGGCTTTGCTGCGTGACATGTACCTCTGACTGCATTGCTGCCTCGTCGTGGTAGTTGATGTACGTGTTATCGATGTGTACGATTGGGCGAGTTCGGTAGCATGTGTTATGCCCTTTAGTGGCTCGCTCAATTCAGCAGATCGTCGTTCTACATCTGCCCTCGGAGCGGATGTACTGGATGTCAATAATATACGGTTGTGGGCAGAAGCGCAATCGGTCTTCCACGCTTCCTTCCTTGTCTGCCTTGTCGATTTCAACTGCGATGTAAGCTGAAGCTTCGACAGTTCAGCATGTACAAACTCACCCGATTGTGCTTGGACATGCTGCTTTTGTTAACGGATTCCGACGGTGCCCAGCTAATAGTTTGTTGTCCTTGCACGTGCCAATGCAGCATGTACTCAAGAAGAGGTGAACAAGATTATGGACAGCGCAAAAGCAGCTCAAAAACTGTGGGCCAAAACTCCTCTGTGGAAGAGGGCCGAGGCTCTGCACAGAGCAGCTGCTATTCTGAAGGAAAACAAAGTACCTATCGCGGAATCACTCGTTAAAGAGGTCGCCAAGCCTCAAAAGGATGCTATTACAGAGGTGAGCATCATTGTGATGTCCCATGATTAGATTTTATTGCCGCCTGTCGACATCGAAATGGAATAATGTTCCTCTGAAGTCAACTATTCATACTCTGAGTGCGATGTTAGCAAGTCGTGCTCGTCCGCTAGTTACTTCGGTCTCTCTCGCTGTGTCCACAGGCGTCTCTGCCTTGCGTAAACGTGAGTCATCAGGGAACTTGGAAGGATGCTAATCTTGTGTTTCTGTTTGCAGGTGGTACGTTCAGGGGATCTCATTTCGTATACAGCTGAAGAGGGTATTAGGATCCTCGTGGAAGGTAAATTCTTGGTGTCAGACAGTTTCCCAGGAAATGATCGCAACAAGCTCTGCATGTCGTCAAAGGTAAGACTTGACATACATAAGCTTTCAAAATCCACATATATTATTGATAACATATATCATCAACTATGTCTGCATGCTACCCGAACACTTCTCATATGCCTTTCTGTCCGCTGCGGCCTCCTCTGAGGAAGTAGTGATGTTAGTATGGCACAAACATGCTTCTATGAAATTCGCAGTAGACTTTTATCGCGCAGAGAGCCTCTGATGTCATAAGAAGTACACGTCTTCACTGTAAACCATAAAAGTCGGTGCCCTCGTCGTGCGTCCTTCGCCTGATTGCAGATTCCTCTCGGAGTGATTCTCGCAATCCCACCATTCAACTACCCTGTGAATCTTGCCGTCTCCAAAATTGGACCTGCACTCATCGCAGGAAATGCCCTCGTGTTGAAGCCTCCAACTCAGGTAAGGAATTTGGAAATATGTCTCCATGTTTGCATCATCGTCACAGCATCATGCAGCTATCTAATTTTCAAGGGTACTATTTTCACATACATTTTAAACAAATTTCTGAACAACGTTTGTTGCATTATGGCAGGGAGCTGTTTCGTGTCTACACATGGTGCACTGTTTCCACTTAGCTGGATTCCCGAAGGGTTTGATCAGTGCGGTTACAGGGAAAGGTTCTGAAATTGGAGATTTCCTCACGATGCATCCCACCGTGAACTGTATCAGGTACCAAGTCAATCTCTTGTTATGCCTCCGCAACCTGAGATTAAATTGGAGACATCTTCTACATGCATTGTAAGCTGCGATTAAAATTTCATATCACGTAGACTAATTCCAGCTCCCTTTCGACTACAGTTTCACCGGTGGAGATACCGGTATTGCTATTGCAAGAAAAGCCAGTATGATTCCTCTTCAGATGGAACTGGGAGGCAAAGACGCATGTATCGTCCTCGAGGATGCCGATCTTGATTTGGCTGCTACCAATATCGTTAAGGGTGGTTACTCTTACAGGTACTGTTCACCATCTATGTGATTCGAATTTCTCGCTATTCGTAGCAAATCAATAGAATCATCATATCTGTTAGATCACTGTGAGGTTGACATTTACAAATATAACGAAGTTGAACCAGTGGCAATTGGTTGGTTGTGCAGTGGACAGCGATGTACCGCGGTGAAAGTTGTTCTGGCATTCGAGTCCATTGCCGATATGCTGGTTGCTAAAGTGAATCAGAAGATTGCGAAGTTGACAATTGGACCACCAGAGGAGGACTGTGATATCACACCTGTCGTCAGTGAGTCGTCTGCGAATTTCATTGAAGGACTCGTGAAGGATGCTAGGGAGAAAGGTGCAAAGTTCCACCAGGTAAAGATCCTTACTTCCATAGAATGCACGCGCCTACCGTGAATCTATTTACCCATTGCGATCAATTTTACTTTAAAAGATGGATAGAGTCGTTAATTCAATTCCAAATCTTATCATGCTCTGTTTTAAATTAGATGGTAATTGGTGCCTTGATATTGTTATGACTGATCTCAACCCTTCTATGTGATACAGGAATGGAAGAGAGACGGCAACTTGATATGGCCTGTCCTTATTGACCACGTGAGACCTGACATGAGAATTGCATGGGAAGAGCCTTTCGGTCCAGTACTGCCAGTCATCAGGATAAAGACGGTCGAGGAGGGTATCCACCATTGCAACGCAAACAACTTCGGCCTCCAGGTAAAGAAAACATGACAGACCAACAAACTTCTGTTACTGAAGGTTAGATTGTACAGTTGATCAGTATCTGAAGCGTAGGTGGTGAGCTTTTCTTTGTCTCCTTGAATTCCTCTATTTCACGTTGTTTGAGTTAATTTTCTGAACTGGTTGAATGATGGTGAGGAACTCTTGTAATGCTCTAGAAGTCCGGGACGCTGTAGAACCATCAAGAGTCCTTAATTCTGGCCGTACATCGTGGGACTGATTCCTGTTCTACTTCAACGCGTGTTTTCAGGGATGTGTCTTCACTAAAGATATCAACAAGGCCATCATGATTGCGGACGCTATGGAGACCGGAACAGTTCAAATCAATTCTGCCCCCGCTCGTGGCCCCGATCACTTCCCCTTCCAGGTAATAATTTGTTCCATCTTCAATCTTCGGCACTGTTGCTGTTGTAAGATACAGTTCTCGTCCCTGAGCTGTAACTCATGACGTTCTTTACAAAGCTGGATAGCCTATGCAATATTGGTTCTGAATCTGACTAGTGATATATTTCCTGTATTTTGCAGGGTCTTCGTGACAGTGGAATTGGCTCACAAGGTATCACCAACAGCATCAACATGATGACGAAGACCAAGAGCACCGTAATTAACTTGCCCGGATCATCTTACCAAATGGGATAGACGAAGAAGAAGAGCAATGCAATGTGAGTTCAGTTCAGCATAATTCAAAGTCTTTAGCAATCCTGAGACTGCTGAAGGTGCGGCTGAGGAGCTATGGCAGGAGTCCTTGCAAAGATAAAGTCATGGTCATAAGTGCTATGCAGCCAGTCTCCTACCTTGAGCCATCATCAGTTAGCCCGCAATAGTGTACATGAATTTAGCGGCAGCCTATTGGATGAGCAAGAAATAACTCTTGTTACATCCAGTATGTATACAAAAGAGATCAGGTGGATAAAAGCAGAGGGAGTACTGCACTCATGCATAATGTTTAGTCAATGCAATGAAAAATGTGTTACGTATCCTGTTAACCTTTTCTTTGTGCCAAAACTTAGTTCGCAGTGTCATTTGTGCAATTGATTCGAGTGCGGTTTACAAATGATTGAACATTTAACAATTGCATGTAGTGGAGAAAAAATGATAAGCCATAGAATTGCGCTCAATTGTTATCAAACATACTCCCCATGGTGCGATTATATCATATTGTAGGCTCCTTCTACGGAAACAGAAATGCATGTGGGGTACGATTGTGTTCCTCTCTTTCCATACGAGCCGAGAGAAGCGCAAGGATTGCTGGATCTGATGGGGGATCGACCGTGGGTGAAGAAGAATCCCCATGTTGCCCCGAAACTCGCAGGCAAAAGCCCTCTGAAGAAAAGGGAGGCTTCAAGGAAAAGTCCTCTCAAGCTCAATTCTGGATCAGAAAGAACTACCCGTGCAACGGGAGGTGGGGCCTCTTGCTCCACTCTGCGGAGTTTGTCTCGAACTGTCGATGCTCTTCTTCAGACGCGATCAAAACAGCAGCAAGATCCATACCTCAACCTGAGTGAACTTGACAGCAGAGACTCCGGGTGTAACATATCCCTGAGACAACTCCTCGATGCCGTCGAGAAAAGCATGGAAAAGCACTTGCCTCATCCTCCCGTGCTGACTACGTGTCCATCCCCGTCTTGTGTCAGGTCACCTACTAGTCCCACTGAAAGAACTTTCGAAAGGATAACATTGGAAGATATACAAGAATGATACTTCCTCCTCGATATCAGCATAAAGTATTCTTCAATGAAGTTAGAACAACTCCTTGTGATCTAGCAACACGTCGACTCGTAAATGTTAGATTCCAAAAATCAGACAGACTGTATGCACTAAGCATTTACAGTAAAATTAATCAAATTCGTGTGCCTGCCTTTGTTTCATGCCAGGTCCGTGAGATCATGGTTCATGAACGTATCCCACAGATAGACAATATTGTTCCTGTCAGGGAGTGCTGAAGACAAAATTGGTTTCAATGTGTGATTCCTTCTCACATCTAATATCATATGCATATGACGTTTCATGACGCCTATGCTCTTTACATTGTCCTTTGTTGTTATCAGCACCAAGAGCAAATGCTCTCTTCTTCTTCTGTGGGGCACACTTCCCTCATCACATGATTCCATCATCTCTGTGCATATACTGATGTGGTTTTGTTTCTCACGTGATGAGGAAAGTACTCTCCACGTTCTTCACCATCACTACGGAGTGTACATAGTCTCTTCTCCTCTCTTTCTCTCTCTCTCTCTCCTTGCAGAACAAGGATACAAGTCTGCATTGACTATCTATGAAGCGACATTCTCTTGTGTTTCACAAGAGGAAACATCCTTCAGAGTTGGAAATTGGAACCTCCCATTCTCAACGGAAGCCATGCCAACAGATTTGTCATTTGGTTATGGGGTCCCCCCACCACGTTGGAGTACCTCCAGCCACGCCAAACAGTTAGTTGCTCCGCTGTTGACCTCTCTCACATGCGTCCGTCAGACATGGTCCCAATCTTTGAAACGGGCAGTTCAGCAGTTCACGCAAAAGCCTCCAAGCTGACATTAGACTGGAAACTCAGACATGTCCCCCAGACTGTCTCTGTGCCCCATCGCACGAGTGGCCCGTCCGACCATTGTCCCATCTCTTCATTTCATCAGTACTATCGTACTGTTTATCCCATTCCAGTCTGATGCGTGTTCAAGTGTTTGCTATTACAGTACAGCAGTCAATGTTTTCTCTATTCGCATGATTTGTTGAGTCTGAGTCCTAAAGTATGGTTGATACATTTCAGCTGACTGTCCTCCCTTTAACGAAAGCAGACTGTGACAAAAGTCTTTTGAGTGATGTAGCATCTTTTGTTGTCATCCAGAATTTCTAGCTCCGAATGCTAACCCACATTCCCAAAAAAATCACGAGGAAAGTGTAGAAGAAGGTTGAAACTGTTTTAACCATAAATCAATCACTACTTGTACAGAACATTCACGAGAGTTTAATAGCTTTTTACACAGGACAAAGACAGGAGCACAGCCCCATGACTCTGGCCACTCCAAAGTTAGCAAAAATGTGATATAATATAAAGACGTCCTAGATTGTGGATGTTATGAACAGATTGAGGGTGGAAGTCCCACTCACTTTGCTGTGACGGAGAGATTCACCATAAGGCTAGTCGATTCTTGATCTGTTCTGTGTTACTACTCGGATCTATTACCATTTACCGTTGCCATTTATAATATACGAGAGGGATGTTTCGGATCACTCTAACTTGTAGTAAAAATTTGAGCAGATAAATGCTCGACTTCTTAAAAGCCTTGAATAGTCTAGTAGAGCATATGTGAAGGGCACTAACAATCACTGCTGCTTATATGGCATAGCCCAAGATGGATATAGTTAACTGTAGTAGATTACTTAAGCATTCTAAGACTGTCCGTGAATATTTTTTCACCTTACACCAGAAATGTATATTCCACATGTGATAGTTGACCCATTCTACTTCTATGTTGTTGTTGCTTGAGAATTTACCTAATTTCTTTGCACTATTCATGATGGAATTGCATTCATTTCAAAAAGAACATATGTATGGTGAGATCATTATGCTCTAAATCTTTGAGTTTTTGACATGAGATTTGACTTTAAATTTTGTGTCTGGAGTAGAAGTAAAGATTTAAAGGTCCAAGATAAAATTAACAAAAAGATAATATATCCACACATCCATCTAATTGAAAATTTTGATCGATATATTTTTACTTGCAATCCATCTAAGAAGATAGACGACCATGCCTTTCAAAAATTAGTCATGCGTAGATTAGAAATCAACACGTTTGCAAAAGTAATTTGTTTCTCTATATAGATGTAATATAAGTGAAGTGAATACAATTATCAAATTTCATCAATGTAATGATATCTGACTATAATGTGTATCATGCGTCAAAACAAAAACCCCAATCCCAATGCGTTTAAAAGTAACTTTACTCGTATTTCCAACATTATATGATCATATGACAGTTGATGTAATCATATTTTACAAGTAATGATAGAAAAACATATATGAACAAATCAAGGAAAAATAAAATAAGAATCTTAGTGGAATAAATACTGCATGCTACAACCTAAAGCATCATTGAGCCAAGATTCACAAGCTTGGAATTTAATCTAAACCAAAGAAAAAAGATAATTATGCAAATATGTCATTTTATGGAATGTAGAATAAATTAGTTATAATTGTATAGCAAAAAAGATAAAAAGATGCTATCAAAAGTTGCAAGGAAAAAAACCAACGAGATTGTAGGAACTAGCATATGATGTTATCGTGATGAGAATATATTTACAGCAATCATAACATCCAATTTATCTAGGTTAGATAATATACAAACAACGTAAAACTTTAATGTTGCATCATATAAGAAGTCTTGTAAGCACAGTTAACCAATTTTTTTTGTTACAATAGAATCATGCTGCCTAAAATGAATCAGAATATAGGTTGGAAAGAGTGATATACATGTTTACTAGTGTGATAAACTTCCGTCCATCCAAAACAAACATTTCAAAATCTGCAACCATACCTCTTTGTAAGATTTCAATAATAAGTTGACAAAAAGATTACTTTTCTATGTATCCCCATGTTGATAAATCCTTACTATTGCCACCGCACTAGTCTTAGATCCAAGAAGATGTATGTGATGATTCAAAAACCCTCACGTTTATCAACATTACATTTTCTAGCATAATTTCCTCTTGTGGAACCAAGGATAGAACTATCCTAGCCTTAATTAACTACATCCGAAAAACCAACATTCCTTCAATGAGAGACATTCACTTTCGATGTGAGATATTCATTTTCACCTGACACACAGTAAACATAACATCTCTAGCTACAGCAAGGATGACTATACTCTAACTTTCAAATTAATATAAAAATGAAACCATATAATCCTTTTTTTATCTACAATAGTACCAAACATTCACAAAGACAGACTAAAAAGAATCTCATCGTTGACAAAAAATTAATAACTACACATGTTATTTATGAACAACGAGTACTAAAACAACAAACACATCTCAAATAACAAAAAAATCTTCTCTCATCTAAAAAATCTAAAAAAATCTTTGTAAAAAAAATGATAGCTTATATACTTGATATATGATAATCTACATATAGGCTAAAATTTCGTACAAACAGAAAAAAAGTTAAGAAATTAAAATGCTATGAACTTACTTTTATCTGAATATAAAATAAAATAAAGTAAGATTGTTTATTTCTATGACGATTACTTTGTCAAATGCACTCGAAGGCAAATCAAACGTAAAATGAATGTATCGGAGGTAATGGTAAAATCAAAATTCATAGTATTACTAGAATAGATTTGTATCTATAAGTATAGTACTATCGAACGCCAATTGAAAAACTAAATAGAAGATATTCTTATATAGCTATACACAACTCGAACTTTGCAGTACGCTAAAAAATTGAGCATATTGAAACTCATGAACTTTATTCTCTTTTGGCGATAACATGGAAAGTGAAGTTAATGAAAAGTGAGAAGAACACCATGCCATACATTTTCAACCTCCCCTCGTCAGTTTGGGAGTGAAGATGTATTTTAACGTTTGCGGGAGATACACATCATTATCACAACACTTGTTTCGCGGACATACCTGTATTTACCTTTAGTGTCAAACATCCTTCACCACAGCTAAGTGAGGACATTAACCTTCACTCGCGGGAGCTAAGTTAAAACTTTAACCTTCTGAAATTTAGGACATACACCTGTTCCGGTTTATTAATAGATTAGCTTAGTATTTGGTTTAGTGTGCATGGTAAGGTCATTTGTCTGGCAATATCGTGACCATGTCACAAGCCCTGCGGGGCCGTATCACCTCTTCAGGTCACAAATAACACTGACATATTACTTCTTTGTTTAGTAGTCTGTGCTACAATTTGACAGTCCTCTATGTTCCGGTTTACGGCCACGATAACTGTGAATGAAAATTTTCGATGCAGCTTAAGGGTAATGGCTCTCCACTTACGCTCTAGACCTCATGAGGGAGAACGCAGCTTAACTGTTCCCTGAAGTTCATTAAAGTTTTGTGTGCATTTGTGAAATCACACTCGTATGTGTCTTGTGTCGCGAAAATGGCCAAAGCTTGTAATAAAAGCGAAAGAGAATCTGTGGTTCAACACATCACGGTTTCCTAAGCGGGCGATGCGTGCAGCCGATCCGACAGGTTCCTTCCTAAATAGGAGTAGGGAAGCAAAAGAGAGGTCTATTTGTCTATTTGACGCTAGCCCACTACTGTTGACAAGAGTAGCCAGTACGGAGAAAATCCGATGTAAGGTATGAAACACCGTGAAGTATGTAAGATCCATTCAGCTGTGACATTTGAAACCCTCCCATATAGATACCTTGTAGTGCAATTACCAACATGGAAGAGATGGCGGACATCGAGCGACATACAGAATTCATCCATGCACAAAGCACTCGCCAATACTGGAGATTACGTTTATTCTTACTCAATATAGGGAATCAATCTTGACAATTGAACTTCACGGAGAAGGACACGAGTAAAAAATCCTGTCTCTTCAGGATTTGCAACCCACCTGAATCACGACAAAGCAACCAGTTAAAACCCGCTTTCGGTCCTCTTAGGACTACAGCTCAGTCTTCCCCGTATACAGAGAAATTTGACACTATCATAAATTGCGAAATACCACTTGAGTACAGAACGGTAAATCGTTGGTGTTCTTATCAGATTGTTGAACCCAGTCATGTTATCCGATGTCAGGTTGTTAGATTTAAGTTTACTGCTGGAAAAAGGTGTAATCGGAAGCTCGATGGGAGCAGGTACAAACTTACAAAATGGAGCATTTCGAGCGGGTTGCTGAGTCGTTTCCACTGAGAGTGAATCTATCTCCAACATGCAAAGTTTCTTTCGGACCTTTTCTCAAAAATTTCATAAGGGCTTCAAGCCCGACGGACTTATTTCCTGCAGAGACCAATTCAATGCACTCTTGTTAGGTGTACTCAGGTCTTTGACAATCTATTTGGGTTCACCAATATCGAAGTACACTAGGACATCTAATCCAAACATGTATGGCAGCTGAAAAAAACGAGTATAAAAAACCTGACGCTTGTAACGAACGACTGATCAATTACATAGATTCAATCAAGTCAAGATTGGAACAAGGATGCTATGGATGATACGTACCCACATCCACGAATACGTCTGTAAGTTCACAAAGAAACGTCAAAAAAACAGAAATGAATAGTTAGAAAATCCGTGAATGGAAAATGTAGAGAATTCACGCTTTTAATTTGGTCTAAAACATATCCGGCTGTTTATTAACGCTCATCTGAAATGATCATAACTAAAGAAAGCACAATGAACTGATTTTACTTTGTAGGACTCCCAGGCTTCCTAAACCTTACAAAGAAAGAGCCCACACACAGTGAAGGTTGCACTAAAGATGGACCAGAAGTTTAGCCAGGTGACAGCCATTCGATACTGAAGAAATGTTATTGACTCCTTCACCATGTTTAGCTTACCATTTCCACCATTGAAAGCACAATAAGGTAATTTTGAATCTATGAGCTGCATCTGGACTGTGAGTGCCATCTCTTCCAAAACCTGCTGATGGACATCAAAGATCAGTGTGAAGGTCGACCACGAATGAAATATGCAATGCCTTAATCGAAAAGGACAGCCAAGAAAAGCAGAGGATTCCGTGAACTCCATTTCCTCAGTCGAAACTTCGCTCTAGAAGAATCATCCATTATGTTCATGAAGCACTCGTCTTGCAAGGCATATCACTTAGATTTACCTCGTAGATTGTTGGCTCTTTGGGGATTGCACCAACAGCTTTCGGCTTCCGAATGAGTTCAACAGGCAACCGTAAACGAGCTGCAGCAGATACTAGCGAAGCTTCGGCCTCATCAAGCAGCTTCTGTACATCACTCTGAGACCATTCTTGCATGTCACGAGTCTGCCATAGCTCGTCCGGAACAAAGTCAAGCCTGTAATCCTTCGTTACGCGAAGAAGATAGTTACACTCGCCGCCCATGACGTGGAAAAGTTGAGTAATCCGAGGTGGCAGCTCTAAATCCTTAAAAGCGGCCAGTAACCCAGCCAATCTATCTTCGTATCGGCAAGAATCTCCAGGATACCCTGCAACGCAGCATATGTTCCCGATCAAATACAATGCAAAATTCAACTGATGATTTTCCTATCGAAGAGAATTTTGATCACTTGAATAAGTACAGTCGACAAAGTATACTCCCTACAGGGTTCCCATCACAGTGGTCAATGGAGGTGCGAGATACAAATAGCTACGGAGTGAATATCTTGCCTGCCGCAGTAACTATGGCAACATGGCACCCCTCCTGCATCAGTTTTATAATATGATCTATCATTTTGTTGTCCCGTTGAATGTGATGCCCATCAGCATAAAGTGTTCCATCTGCATCAAAAGTTATCAAAGAAAGTTGTCCCGCAATAGCATGTACCTACAATCACAAAATTGCTCTGATGAAACTCTTTGCGAGTAAGTAAGGAAACTTCACAACTAGGTACTTGTAACTTCATGACAACATTGTCTGAGGGCTGTTTAACAATAAGACCATCAACTCTTTGACAATAGCACATTAGAGCCATATATTGATGCACTCTTATGAAAAATGCAACCTCTGCGCAGATTTTTCAAGGCTAATGCGTACAAGGGTGAACCTTTCCTACAGAAATCAGAATCACTAGGACATTCTCATGATCGTGTTGTGGCACAAAAGCACACCTGAGCGATGTTTAAGACATGACGAATTTCTGCAAAATTTGGTGGTACATATCTCCGCCTTGAGAGCGAAGCGAATTCGTCATACTCTTGCAGAGCTCGAACAAGCGGTAACGGTGTATAAAAACGGCCAACTGAGGGCACAAGCCTTGCGAGAGTGCTGCGCTTGGGGTCCTCCAAGTGCTCCCGGATCCACCTTTCCACCTTCTCCATAACCTGATTCATATGAATAAAGCCATACGCAAGAAAAGAAGGATTGTCATAAAGAGGAAAATCTTTGGTTCATTCAAAGCTTCTCTATAGACACGATACTGACGATCGAACATAACAAGATTAAATTCGATCGAAACGGTTGAATTTCAAAAGAACGATGGAAAGACAAATCAATTCGATTTTTCGACATATGTCACTACTTCTTATAGCAACAACGCAACATCCAGAAACCTAAATGCATGAAAACGATATCTTGCTTGTAGCCAGATGCTCCTTGTTGGACCTTTGTTGCAATTTTAAGGTATGTTGGGACAATAACTTGTCAAAGGACTGAACCAAGCGATTCACAAGCTTTAGGCATACAAGATGGGAAGCTGTTACTGTTCCCTGATAGATGCAGCTGTTGTGAGCATATGCACTTCTAGGTTGAATGATGGAGGACAACCGACACCTTAATGAGTTATTTTTTCATTTTGCTTCGGGTGTAATACATTCATTCAAAAGCTTAACGTCTGAGGACTCAAGCTAGGTGATGTATCAGTATTCTACGATGGCCTAAAAAAAATATAAGTAACATAGGTCACAGAAACAGACGCAGTGTAGAAATTGACAACCTTGCAAATATAGAAACAACCGTCAATTATGTCAAATAAGGTCAAGATAGGGACTACAAATGTGCTGGAACAGTACAAACTCTGGGTTCCAAGAGCATACCTCCCACTTCACCTTTTGGTGAACCGAAAAATCCAACATCCAAGAATTTAGGTTGAAAAATATTCCGAAAGAACACAGATTGAGTATTGAACTCCTTACCTCAAAAGAAACATAGCGTACACTATCCCAATTCCACAGTGCAGAAAATTACTAGGGGTTTAAAAGGAACTCTCTCCAATCACTTATGTTCAGGTCATAGATGCATTTTTGGAACTCCATAACAGTCGAATTATTGATAAAACAAGTTATTCTTAAACCCAAGATCATACCGAACCAAAACAATGAAGAGTGTTTTGAATCTGGCTTGAAAAATGTAAAGACCTCCTTGACTATCTGCGCTTCACACGTTAATAGGAGGAAAAACTTTCTAAAATGTGGATGAGACTGAACGGGGATTGTTCCCGAGACTATCAGCCAATGTGTGACATCGCGGTGACAGACAAAGGCCGCCTACAGAGCTCAGAGTAAAAAATTGACATAGCTGAGATCAAATTACCAACCTGAAAGGGAGAATGAGTGTTGTGCATTGATATAATGAACTCGATAAGACCATCCTGTTCTTTTAGTCTGCCTTTGCGTCGTAACACATGAGCGTCGGTCACGCTGCTAGCTCGTGACAAATGGGCATCCTCTAGTGCAGCTGTGCTCAACAGCATGCTCCACCTCATCCCACTCTTACTCGAGCTCGGCGTACCATTCCCCGTCCTATTCTTTTCCTCTCCAGTCTCTACCACACTTTCTCTGGACTCCAGCTGTGGATCCAATTCCTTCCCAGAGTTGAGCTCTTCTGCGACCTCGACCTCCACATCTGCAGTCACAGATCCATTGCTGCTGACCGCAGGAGGTGCCGCATGCTCTCTGCAAGGACCTCCCACCGCCCCATCCCTCTCTTGATGCTGCACCTCTCCCTCAGTTTCGAAAATCCCGGAACCACAAGACTGATTTCCCTCCAAAGTAGAAACGCCCGTCCTGCTCACAACATTCGCGACAATTGCACACCTCTCGCCTCGTCTCTGCTCTCCTCGACCGCACCGCAATTCACCAAAACTCCCGAAAGACTCCTCGGGTTTAAGAGCCAGAAGCCCAAGCAGCGACTCCGAACCCACAGCTCGAGAACCCGACTCCTCACAATTCCTCCCACCGCGAAGGCTTCCCCGAAAAACAGGCAACAGAGCAGAATGTGCAGAGTGCAGACGACAAGGCGAAATCCTCACCGAGGACCCGACGGCAAATTCCAACCGCCGCTTGCCAAAATCCCCAGCGCAGCTCGACACGAGAGGGGGGCACCCGCACGAGCTCGCGGCAGCCATGGCTCCCAACAGCCCCGCAGCCTCCTAGACCCAGCTCGCGCCCTCAGCCCGACATTCCCATGCTCATCCTCCCCGCTCGATCTCCCCTCGCCTCTTCGAGAGCCGCCAACCCAAACAAACCTCCAGCAGCTGCAGCAGCAGCAGCAGCAGCGCTCGATGCCACTTCTCGTCGCCTGCTCGCAGATTGAGAGCACCGGCGCTGGACCGAGAAAGGATATCCCAAGAGAGCGACGACGGGGAGGGGGAGAGGGAGAGGGAGCGGTCCTCTGTCGCTTCCCTCGCGCAGGCACATTTAACTCTTCGGCTGTTGCGCCTCCCCCAGCCCCTTCCCTTGCCCCGGCCTCCGACTTCAGCTGAGCTCGAACCGAACCGAACCGACCCGAACCGCCATTCGTATCGGTGCTCCTCCGTCCGTCACCCATGGCCCCATGTGGTCCCACCGACTTATCGATTGATAATGAAAGCAGGAGCGCACGCTCGAGTATCGGATGGCGATGGGTACGATATCTGCGATGAGATGCCATGTCATGCATGCATGCAGCATGCAAGTCTCTCCGTTACTCGTCCGGTGAGAGAGGCGCGCGGTGGGGACGGAGAGCGGAGGGCGGATCCGCCACGCTGGACGTTTCGGAGGTTTGTTTCGGTGACGATCCTATTTTCTTTTCGGCCTGGGGCTCCTCCTCCTCCCGCGGTGGGGCCCACGCCCTGGCTTTTCTCTCCATGTGTGCAACGAGAGCTCGCTTCCGTCGTTCGCAGCTCGCTCGGTCCCTCCCTCATCATTACGAATTGGATCCATCTGCGACTGCGTTCCGATGTGATTCTTTTGATTTTTTTTGGATCCGCATCGTACAAGAAATTCTCCTAGCACTGGTCGATGACTGTTGCTGGATCCGAGGAATAATTATTGACTCGTGGTGGGGGGCGGACTTCGGGTCTCCATAGATCGATTGAATCAGAGTAGCTGCTGTCATTCTCGGGTCCTGCTGAGGGCCTGATGTGATGGAATTGCGGATGGAGAGCTTCGAAAGCGTGTTCTCAGACTAGTAGAATTGTCCAAATAATGCACCAGACTAAAATAATGCGTCCAAGCTATAAGCACTGTGCGTCTGCTAGAGGTGGGTTGTCCAACGAGCTTAATGTGGTTGTTATCTTGATTGCGAGGATGGTGTATCATCCGGTGTTATAGGATTAGATATGACTACGAAGGGAATATCCCCCAGGTCCCTTCGTTCGTTTCTTGACGAGGTTGAAGGTCAACGGTTTGCAATGAGATTCCCAAATCAGGATTAGATCCATTCTACATAGTGTATTGTATGGTCGGTAGTGTTATACTGTACTGTACATAGTGGGACCGTTTGTGAACTGAATCTGACTGGAGGTTGTAGCTGGTTGGGCCCCATCCATGTGGATGTCAACTATTTAAACTGGAAGCCAAAACTTGGCACAATGAGTTCTGACTACCAGACCAGGCCCACATTTCATCATTACTGCTTATCCACTCATTGTTTTTTCCCGATTCTGTCCATTTGAAGTTCAAAATCTGTCCGGGACGTGGGTTTTAGTACTGCACCTGGATACAATAATGAATTTTAGTGGAAAATCTGTTATATCGTTGGAATCAGTATATGTATGGAGACATACATGCAGATACTTGACATGATTTACTAAAATATGCGCCAAGTCTAAATTTCAGCATTAGTTGCAAAGAATTTGTAAGCTCGGATCATGAGCCATTGTAGATAATGCAGAGTCGTGAGAATCAGGCAATTCGGCTGAAGGAGTTGCATTTACTCCTTCAGCGGAATCGTCTTTCCTCAATTCTCAGAAGGCTCATCGTGGATAGCTTCTAACTTATTATGCATTACCTTCTAAGATTCCCATGCATTTTGCTATTATTCAGTACTTTGAAGTTGAGATCCGTCTGTTTTCTTTGATTTTCTATCAAATTTCCTTCGCCTATCTGATTCGGACGAATGACAAAGGTGATGTGTTAGAAGATTCTGTGTATAACGTGCATAACTTGTACTTGAGGGTGGAATACTGTGGTACTTGCTGGTACATCTTGGGTAAGCGAATAACGTCATAAATTCTCATCTTATTTTCTGTATTTTTCCAGTAACCTGATGAGGAGAAAACAAAAAATAAAAGACCCTACATGCGAATGAACATTTAAAAAACTGCTGTTTAATACTCACTGCTCATAGATAGGGTCTTCGATACCTCCTACATTAACTGAAGATCGAATGGTCAAATTACTACCAAATGAATATGCAAGTACACATTAAGGATTTTATTATATTTTCACTGATTTGGTTCAATTTGGGTCAAGTTTCCAAAAATCAACCATAATCTTCAAGTGCGTTCACAGGAAAGGAACATTGTGCGCAGCTATTTTCACAGTTATCCAAATCTTTTTTTACATGTGTAATACAATGCCAATTATTTTTAGCAATAGCAATGAATTTTACATGTATAAACCTAGCCGAGTCTATTTATGCACTTCTTAGAATCTCGATAATTATTACCTGAAATAGAATAAATCTAGTGATGCTTGCGATATGTTTGTATTGGCCAAGTGTGGTGTGTACTTCAAAAATTTTATGAATATTTCGAGGGTCTCGTGATGCTGATGATGGTTGCCCATTTCCATGTGTATGTGGTCGGGCGCATGTCAAAGACTTGGGATGCTTGTAGTCAGACGCCTCCTCCTCATCAGAATGGACGAGAACTGTCTTCCTTATCCCTGGAGCGTATGGATTCAATTTATCTTAGCTTTGCTAGTAAACAAAAGCAGAGTGAAAATTGAAGAGTGGTGGAAGGAAAAGAGAACAACTTCAGCACGAAGATATTAAATGTGAAACTTTGACACACGTGAAGAGAACAAGAAAAAACCGATAGTCGAGTACTACCTCGATTTATCATATTAATCATGTGAACAGAAATAGAAATCGTTTTCTTCGGTGCTCCAAAAACATTAGCCTTCATCCATGGCCTTTGATGTGTGGGCGTCGCCTCTATGCGCTATTTTGAGACCAGATACCCACTCCAACTCTTAATTGGGAACGTGGAAGATGGCGCTCCTTGTTTGATGCAATAATTTAATATCTCCACATGCAAACATTCAGAACCGGGAAAGTCCAACGTTCGGATGCCGGAGTTTTCCCCTCCCGCCTTTTTCGTCCGGATGAAGTCGCCAGTCGGTCCACTGCGGTCATGGGACAGCTCCTGTGCGGGACATGTCGTTGCGCAAAAGACAGTGAATGACAGGTTCCACTTCAGCAGCTTCAAGCAGTGTCCGGAAATAACTTCTGATATCGCTGAGTTGCCGGCGGAAAGAAATTTTGGCTGACATTTGCCGCATAGCCTGCAAACTGCGAACAAAAACGTGTTTTACTAGCATGTCCGGTTTGGGGATTTTTTTGAATGCTGGGATATCGGACTTGGAACACATGCAGCTCCCGATCATTGGGTTGCGATCTGGTTGAGGAGATTCGTGTCTCTCGTGCAGAAGAGGCGTTCGACAAGATTCGATTATCGAACTCCCTCTGTTCAGCTCAGATCGATCGAACGAGGTAAATCCCAATGTGGTCACTAATCTTTGGTTTGAACTATTTGATCGTGCTGCGTGGTGCAATGCAACGCGTTTTGAGGGGGAATTGCATATGTCAATTTGAATTCTACTGCTGATGAAGCTGGAAAAGAAAAAGTTGCTTGTTGGAGTAAAAGTCATGACTTGGTGGTAGTTTCTTGGTGCGTTGGAGATGCAACTGACCGTTTGGCCGGACATTCGCAGGTTTAGGGTTTAAGCAGCTGAGCTCGAAACGCGTTTCTTCAGAGGTTTTATGAACATCTGCAGTTTCTGAGTATTTTGCTAGTTTACAACTCCGTTGCCAGTGTACATGGGCAATTCGCCAATGTCACCCTCCAACCTGGACAAGAGAGGTGAGCTGATTTGAGAAATGCTGATATCATCTAGACAGTACAGGAAGAAAACGCTGAGGGCACAGTGTTTTGATTTTAAGGTGTGTTCCTAGGTTTCTACGGTTTTTAAAATTTTTCTAAACTCAGAGAGTTTGCAGATTGAGATGTACACAATGCAATGCATCGGTCGTTATCATCCTCGGGCATGTGTATGAACAAGCAATTTTTTATGGGCAGGCACGTGTATAGGCCCTAAGGTGATGTTTTATGAACTGGAAAGTGTGAATAGCCCTCGGAATCTGGGCACGAAAGTGAACTTTGAGTTCTATGGTCCTCTTATGCTTAAATCTTATCTCACTAAGGAACAATTCATCTTATTGTACTTCGTATCGAGAGTGGAAGTCAGCAAATTTTAATTTATCCTGTAGCCCACAACTGTAAGTTAGCAATGCGTTATCACCCAAATGTGGAAACTAAAATTGCCCTGGTGATCGACCAGCTGAGAATTTTCGTCTTCAAATGTTAAACGTTAGGGAGGTGATGATTAACATGTTCTTTTCTTGTTTCAGATGGGTAATGTTTCGAAGCTTGAAACTGCCCTGCATCAAGCTTGACTGGGATATAAGAGGAACAAGGGGTAAGACCTGCGCACGGAACAATGATGGGAACGAGGCTAATCTTGACACCAAAGGTTCCCTCTCCTTTTGGAACTGTGAAATGGGCTCCCGGGGCTCTTTCAAGACTGGATCCGGATCCCGACTGGGGTTTGGAAGATCTTACAAAGGAGCTCGATGACATCTCTTCCAAGCTACCTGCTGCTGGCCTACCGCACAATACCTCCACCCCCTTGCGCCCTACTGAGTAAGTCTAAACTGGTTTTATCCGGGAAAGGGAATCTTGAAGGTTTTAAATTAATCATGTAGACAGAAGGTTGTCTGAAAATTCTTTCAAGTTGTCCTCAGTGATTCTCCGTTCCCATAGCCCACGTTGAGCTCTTAGTTCGTTTGAGCAAACATTTTAGATATTTCCTTGAGGATTAAGATATTCCGAATGCTAGTGAATGATCATCACCGAAAGATTATAACTGTACAGTGGGTTGACCACGTTGAATGATACATTCCTCTGGTCGATTGTTGTTGATAATATCCTTGAACAACCATTGCAGTGTCTCGTGGCGGAACTTATCCAAAGTAGCAGATTTTGGGAGGAAAAGTAAATCATTTGTCATGAAAGCGTTCGATTCAAGTGATGACAGTGATTCAAGTGATGATGAAGAAACCATATCTACACCCTTGCCTTTGAAGTCGGAAGTTGTCCAACAAAAGGATCCTTCTCCTTCAAGAGAAAGCAATGCTGATAGGTAAAGTAGTACTCTGTAACCGAGCATGTGTTTGTCTTCTTTTTTTCATTTACTAATAGCATCTATAGTTACAGTTTGGTAAGAAGTCCTAGTATTCATCGATCAGATACTTGAGTATACTTCACATGAAAGAGCGTGGTTTCACTTTCCTCTGATTTTTGACACCAGTTTCTTGATGAGTTTCTTCACATTTTGTAGGTCTCTGGGTTGCCGTCTCATGTTTTCAAATTTCTTGTCTCGGCTTGCTGCTCAGTCGCATGTCGTTGTTTCAGTATCTTGGTTCCGTAAGAGGTCCTTTAGGAACCATTCAAAACATGTGCTTTGCATTTTTATTTTTTCTACGGAGGGCATCTTTAATTCTACGATGTTGACATTTAATATATTCACGGCTGGAATTCGTTCTCGGTAGCTGATGACAGTAAACCTGGTTTGCTACGGGTACAGGTCTCCTCTTCTGCCTCAAACAGAACGGATTGAGGCTGCACTGTTGGAGCTAGAACGCGAGCGTATTCTGAGGGTGCAGGTACGTTTTTGCAGTGTTCATCAATACATGGCCTTGCACTCTCACCCTCTTCAGACGTTGATAGTCTAATGGTGTTAAAATGATTCTAACAGGAAGAGATCAGAACCAGAGTTTCTTCTCTTGACGATTTACTGAGGGAGGAAAAAGACCGAATTACAGCTAAATTCTCTCAGTTAGAGAAGGAAGTAGCTGCAAAGTGCGAAATGGCACGTCGCAATGACAAGCAAGATCAAAGATTGATGTACGTATCTTCGCTTAAAAGTTCGTGTTGTTAATCTTTTATGTGGCCCACTAAGAGTACTATAGTTGAAAACCGGTTTATCGCATACAGGCGATGACTGGCACATAAATATGAACGGTACTGCTTAGAGTGACAACGACTGGTGTCTCTCTACTTCTGCTATTTATCTTTGTGCTTTCATCATCTTACATTCATGGTCGCAGTTCTGGAATTCTTGGGAACCTGACCCTCGAAATATGTAGTTGGTCTGACTGGAGGGATGTGTGTTGACTCTATGTTCAAAACTTCTCGTTTGATAAACTGTGGACCAAATAATTTTGGCAGTGCAGAGGCTCGTGATATGCACTTGTCAGCTTTACAACGCGACCATGAGCAGCGATATCAAGTCGAAGAGAAGCGCATTAGGAAAGAAGCAGCGGCTGCTGAAGAGGCTCGAAGGAGAGAATTTGCTCGACTGAAGGAACAGCAGGAGAGAGCACAAGCAGAGGCAGAAGAAAAAGTAAGTTTCTACCGGCCTAATTTATGTTCTCCCTATTTCCAAGGGATAGATTGGTGTGCCTCCTAGCCACTGATCATATCAGAGGAGAGGAGATGTGAAAAGTGAGAAATTTATGATCTTTTACTCTTACTCAACTTCAGCAGCCACTAGTTGGATAACGGAGTGTTGCCATATGGGCGCTTTTCCAGACGTGTTGTCACTTTAAACTAAAATTGGAGCCACGGCCAGACTATGCACTTTTCTTTTTCAGGTTTATTTGCAATGTGGTCTCCCTAATCGAACGCTTGAGCACTGCTAGCAATTGTCCTTGTAGAAAGAGAGGGATTAGTTTCAGTCAACTCCAGCTCTCGTACAACCTTCCATGAACCTTGTTTGGACGTGAATTTGATGGATAGATCTATATTCTGTACTGCGTTGGTGGTCGTGTGTCAAGCCTAAACCAAATGCTTTTTGAGTCAAGACTTGTTTCTTTCATGTGTTGTTACTCTGGTTGTGTTTGATACAATGTGTTGCACTGAGATGAGTTATATTTGAGAAAGATCTACACAAGTAAAGTTGGGAGTGGGTGGTAATTCAGTGTAGTTAAATTTTTGGATTACAGGCCAGAAGATTGGCAGAGGAAGAGAAGAAGAAGGCGGCAGCAGAGGCTGCGAATAGGAAAGCGCAAGCAGATGCTGCTGCAGCGGCAGCATTGCAGCGAGCACAACAAGAGACTAAAGCGAAGCAAGAGGCTGAACAAAAGGCGCAGATTCGTTCTAACCAAGAGGCGGCTAGAGTAAAAGCATCTTCAGGTTAATGCTGATATTATTTCCCTTCCTCACGTTGTCTCGATTATAGGTCTTTCATCTGTGGTCTGTCTTCAAAGTTCTCTTCCTCATGTTTGGTCTAATTCACAAGCCTTCTGCTGCGTGCTTAGTTTCATTCAGGTTGTGCATGGTCTGCAAGCTTTATAGGTATTACAAAAAAAATTGCTTGAACTTTCCTTTCTGTGTAGAAAATACGTATTGCGTGTCGTATTTTGTGCAGGAGGTCTGTATGGAATGATTCAAACCTTGGCCTGCAAGAGTAATTTAACGGAAGATTTTTATGTGGCAGTGCCGAAACCTCGAGTTGCAGACAACGCTGCAAAGCTAGAGGAGCAGAGATTGAATAAACTTATGGAGCTTCAAGATTCATATAAGAGTCTGGCTAATGATCCAGCTTTGCAGAAGGTTGCTTTCTTCTTCGAACATCTTAGAACTACTCTTCGCCCTTCAGTTAAATGTTCATTAAGTCGGGGTCACAGAGCTGTATTTAACCCTCACACTTTTGCGTGCCAGCTAGAATTTAGACTCTTGCAGGAGTGAAGTTACTGCTTGCACGAAATTGTCGTGTTCGTTACTTGTGGGTGTTCGCCACGTCTATGTAACCTTGTGTTCGTCGATGCATAGCGACTACCGTAAGTCATGATGTCCTTGTCTATTCAATTTAATAACTGAAACAAAGTTAGCATGGCTCTTGTGAAACAGGAATTGAAGGTGTACGAAAGAAAGATCATCAAGCATCTTCAGCAAGTGTCTGCCACTCAAGAACAAGTTAGGTTAGTAAAGAGGGTCTAAATACTTTTGGAGAGCAAAATTGAAGACGAGCATCAATTTGGAAAATCTCGTGTTGAGTGTTGGTTACATATCGTTATCTTATGAGTCCGCTTCCTAGATCTCCGGGAATGTGATAATCCTTTATGCGATGTATTTGCAGAAAAAAATCAGCGGAATTGATTCAGACTATGAAGGACCCCCGTGGGCCCCCAATCCAATTTATGATGGTTACACTAGGAAAGAAGGTGAAAGTCGTGCCCACTTGATTCCCATCATTCTGCACATGATTTACGTAAGCAGTTATATAATGTAAAAAAAAAAAGGGGTGTCAACATTCCTGCTGGTTTTCATTCCTATGAACAACATTTGCTGCAAATGTTGTTTATAGGAATGAAAACCAGTCCTTTGCACTGTTTGACTGCTACATGTAATTTCGATTGTCATGTCTTCTGTAATTTATGTGATGAGAGATTAAGAAGCTTAAGCTTTATTTATTTGTACGTCTGTGGATGTTGAGCGCAGATTCTGTCTCAGTGCGAATCACAAGTGCAAAAATTACCATCGTTTTCGTTTGCACTCGCCCAAGTGGTAGTGAATGTTGCATCTCAGGTGACTTTCTCGTCATCTCATGCGAAGTTTGATCATGTTTATTGTCCAAAGTTTGGAGTCCTCGCTTGATGAAGAATAATTTTTATCTGTCTCGGTTGTAAAATAGGCAGGACAAAAGAACTCCTACCTTTCTATCAACAGAGGACTAAAGAACGGCTAGTCTGTGTATGTATTGCGCTGTGTCTTACAAGAAGAAGCTACTGTATTTTGGTTCTTCTTAGCTTACTAGCATGTATCTTAACCCTGATGGTTGGTGCAGATTCCTTTTGTGATGGAGTCAGTGCTTGCGCAACTCCATCAAGTCTGTGTATTTACCGTGCCAAAGTACTACGTATTTAACAAGGTAATTAGGCTTCTTTGACTTGGAGTGTACGATTCTTCATTTGCTCTGAGATGTGTCATTCATATCAAGTAAACCGTGCAGCTTTTTGAGAATCTCCTGACATCTGAACCCGAGGGTTTTTTACTTACCGTTGAATCTTCTGTGCAGACCCAGTATCAGAGTGATGAAGCATATTATAAAATAATGGGATACAAGGAGGAAGATGGTAAATTAGAGTCCACAGACGATTATGTTGCAAGAATGAACGCATACATAGCCTTCTATGCTGCACTCACACAGGTATGGGATATGCTACTCCTTGTTCTTAAGTCCAGCAATATCCGGTAGCTTGCAGGAGGCTAAGATGAATATTTGCCTTGACAACGACTGACACTGTCGTTGTGAAGTAATGATTTGATGCCAGACAGGTTTCAATAAAGTTTCTGTTTCTGTTCCTTTTGAATACATCCTTCACGAGCATTTTGTTTTGAAATCAACATTCTAGACAGTTCAGCCGTGTTTGGACAATATTGTTGGGCTGTAATGTCTGTTATAAAGGCTGGTAGGTAGGAACTTTAGCTTGTACTAATTTAAACTTCTTAAAATGTTCCCACAGACTGAGGTACTTGGGGGTGGTATTAATCCTCATGGCATGGCTGAAGCTTGGGCTTGGTGCTCACGATTGTTGAACCGGATACCAGCAAATCGGTATTCTGCTTCGGCTCTTGAATCTTTTCTGAAGGTAAGGCTATGTTTTTCTTGCCAAAGTTTGAACTAATAAGCGATGTCAGATAAGTAGATGTTGCTGGACGGATGGAGTTTGAGTAAGTTTTGTTTCGTAAGTCATGGAGTTTGAGTTATATCACTGTGTTGATTTTTGACCATAGGAGAAGAGAGTGTCTTTCTTTTCCAGAGATATTCATGTATGTCAAGACGATTTTAGCGGTTCGAAAGATTGCTGAACCGGTAGTCATGATTTACTATTTGTCAGGAATATTCACTACTTTGCGTGTTGAAGAAATGCTCAGTAATCTGCTGCCCTTGTTTGCAGATAGCAGGGTTTAGAATCTATAAGGCATATCCAAAGCCATTTATGAAGCTTATGCAAGTTGTTGTCTCAGAGTATCTTGTAAGCCTCAAGAGTCATGACGATGTCGATGCAAGGGCAGTCGTCAACAGGTTAGAGACATACTTGCATACACAGCAATATATGGTAGAACCGGAAGGCAGAAATATGCCTTACACGGACATTTCTTCAACTCTGAGAGCATAGATTCGGCTTACGCCCCTTATACCCATGTACATTAACTTCCGAAGTCCATATTATACGTAGAGAAAGGAACCTACTTCAGAACTTCACGTGGACATTGTACGCAAATCATTATCACAAGTGTGTGAAAAGTATGCAATCAACATAGTCTCGAAAGAAGAATATCGAGTACAGTACAAGTTTCAGCTTCAGTCGTTGTCATGATGGTTTATAAGTGTGCAGTCAAACATGTAATGAAAAACTCCGTCCACTGTCATAAGCTGAGGCCCAATAGAAAATACAGCTTCTTGCCTTGTCAGAGTGAAATTTCAGGCACCAACCCTCACATCAACCTTCCCATTTATGAAGAAAAATGATATTCGCTAATTTATTTGAGCGTGAAAGAAGGAAATGCTGCTGCAAGCAGCTACACGCCAAAATCCCAAATACAATGCCCGAGAAAAGACTCTTCCACGGTTTCATCGCACGAAGTTCTAAGCCACGCTACCGAGATGGCGTGGCTGTGCTGCAAGTGACGCACGAACCGGCTGGCTCACCTGAAACTTCAAAATGCAGATAACGATTTATCCGCAAGCCTGATTTTAGGGTTTTTTCCCCGACGCGAAACAGGCACGAAGGCTGACGAATTTCATCAAAATGCTCCACGTCAAAGATGGAATCGCAAGCGGAAGAAAGGAACACTATACACAAGAGGAAAAGCCGGTACTGCGTGTCCAATATCCTACTGCGTGACCACGGTGACGAACGACGAATCCAGATCCCGCGCCTTCTCTTCGGCAAGGACCGAAATTATGTTTCAGGCATATAATGTGTGGGATGACATGGAAGGCGATATCCAAAACTGCCGGTTACAAACTGATGAAATCGGAGGGCGATGGAATCCCAAAGATGGAACGTCCTGTCGGCCTGAGGCCTGGAATCAGTATTATTAGGAGAGGAGTTTTATTACAGATGTTCTTGACGAGTGGTGGCAGGACAAGGCACCCGTAATCATGTTTGTCTGTTCACATTCACTCGAGCGGGCAGCTAATTATATCGTCCATCATCCACCCTAAAGATAATTCAGCGCCTGATTGGTGCATGTTCCAACCAGACGGCATTGGACAGAAACCCTCGCCTCTTGCATAAATGTCGACGATGTTGCCCTTAATGTTGTCAATGACCGACGAGGTCCGAAGGATTCTCGATGCAATAACGGCTGAAACAGATCCAGCAGCCTCCACCGAGAATTCAGGCGGTTACTGCTCCCCATGGCCAACTACGTACTACAATGTACGCACAAGTTATTGCCAAAGTCCAACTTACCTTTAAAAAGAGAAACCCAAAGTCATGCAGGCGATGGATATAGTACGTGTTGCGTATACTCGGTTGGTCCAAACATGTACTATGGTGCAACTTTGTCAGCTCCTTTTATCTTTGGTGCTTTTGCTGATTCGTGGCTTTGTTCTTTTTTGTTGGTTTTGACGAATACGTTGGCTGAGGTATGCCGCTGCCTGATGTTGAGCTGAAAAGTCCAATCCATTTGACCTTTGGTCGACCTACATTTCTAGGACCCTTCGTCTCCGTTTGTTCTTCCTCTTTTAAAATGCTAGCTTTTTCATTAATGTCTTGTGCTTTGGGTTTTATTGGCTCGTTACTATCAAAGAAGGTACAATTTTATCTGCGGGAAATGAGGAGAAGGAAGATCGTCACGTTAGAGGAGCCGTGAGGATAAACTTCACATAACAAGCTGCTCGGCGAGCAATTTCATTTCGGAGCTATGGATTTGAAACTCTCTTCTAATGGAGTTAGTGATTCATAATAGTCTCCATAAGTCGTTTTATCATCATATGGGATGAATGTGTGACTCACGGGCAGGAAATAATATGGGAAAGAAGAAATTACAATTCTAAAATATCTTTCGCTGAACTCTCAAGCCCATGAATGCCTTTAAAGTAAATAACAAAAAATAAATGTAAACCCTAAACCCTAAACAAAATTTATTTAAGTAAAGTAAACTTTCAAGAAAATAAACCGTAAGAGTAAAGTTAAAGAAATTATGGCAGCAAGTTTATTTAAACAATAATCCCATATAAAGAGTTAGTACCTCAGTAACATGTACATAGAAATATGTAGATAAGTAGATAGATCAAAAATAAAAAAATAAAAAATCCTAGTTGATTCAAGTCGGATAGTGTTGATATATGGTCGAGTGAGGATGCATGAAAATCCATCATGGATAAATCGTAGATAGATTGTAAATCTACTATAAAAATAAATGTATGCTCGTAAAAAAATATAGTAATATGAGGAAAGACAATACATTGAGAATTAAAGAGCATACTTGGAACAAGCCTCAAGAAAGATCAATTTGAATCTCGATCATTTGTATTCTATGATGAAGAGATACTCGTTTATATACAAGAAAATTATTTCTGTAGTTTTATTCTTTTAACAACACTAAATTTTGTATAAAAAATTCGAAGTACTCAATACAACAAAATTCTGCAGAGATCCTATTAGAAAGAAAATCCTTCCATATATTTCTCCAAGAATTGATAATTGCGCAACATGCGGGCACGTCCATCGTGATTGTTTTCTGATAAATAAAAGCTCCGCGCAAGGCAGCCAACGGATGTGAACATTCTCATACATACATAAAGAGTGGACGATTCTGCAAAACTCGGATCCGTTGAATCATCCCCAGAACTTGGATCCCTAATATTTCCATGGACACCGGGGAAGAAATAAAAAAACCTTGGCACGAAAATCTCACGAACTGACAAACCTAGTTTTCGTCTGTCTGTACCAAATCACACATGCACGCAAAATTGTCTCGAATCATGGCAGATGGTTTAACCGGAAACCCAAAAACGATCAAGAGTGCGGCATGCAGTCAAAACATTGCTTTTGTGGGATGGGAAGTACGAATTTGTTCTTATCTCAGGGTTGGATTCCCCAGGAAATCCGTCCCATAAAGAAAAGAGATAAAGCGTCGGCGCAGGAAAAAGAGTCGCCCGATGATATCAAATGTTGTTGTGGAAGTTTGTCAACAGATATGTTGTGACCAGCAACGAAGGTACGGGACTGGGCCTGTGTACTGCACAACCCACAGCAGCACCTCGAGCAGCTGCCGGTGGCAAAGAACATCACCAACGGACAAACCCTGGACGTGGCGCGGATCTGCACTGCGCTACGCGAGCACGCCACACCGCAGTACCGGTGGCCTGGCCTCGACTCACTGGACTACGAAGACAGACCGCATGAATCCCATTGCAATTGCCACCAGCGCAGTCCGACGTGGTAACGTAGACCAGAGGACCAATCCAGCGCAGGGAAGCCGACAGCTAGAACGAACTAGCGAGGACTGTGCTGGCTTCCAGGAGGGAGACCGCAGTCGGTATCGTCCGTAGTAGTAGGAGGCGAAATCGACTGTAGTGGGCCGAGGAGGAAGGAGAAGTAGAGGCGCCATCGCAAGGTCCGGGGCGTGGTCGAGGTCGAGACTCGAGGCTCGTGCTCGTGCTCGTGCTCGTGGTGCATGCCTTGGTCCTTGTCGTTGTCCGGGTTGCGACTTTTAGTCCACGGCGCTCGGCCTCCGCCTCGGCCACTTGCTCTCTCTCTCTCTTCCTTCCCGAAGGTCCCGAGGGAGCAGGAGCAGGAGGACGAAGGCAGAGAGAGGAGAGTGGGCAGAGATCCCAGAACGGGAGAAGAAGCTGGAACCTCGGCAAAGACCCAGACACGACGGGAAGAAGCAGCAGCAGCAGCATCAGGGACAAGCGGAGGGGAGGGAGGGAGGGGGCAGGGGAAGGGAAGTGAGCGGAGAGTGGGGCTGGAGGAGAGGGAGGGATCTGTTGAGGCTCTTCGGTAAAACATCGACCGAGCGAAGAGCAGGGCAGGCAGGCAGGCAGGCAGGCAGGAAGGAAAGAAGGACGGTGCTATGCGTGCAGGGCTCCTCGGTCGCTGAACTCGAGGACGAGGAGGACGAGGACGAGGGCAGGACGGCGATTTGAGCGAAGTACATTGGGAGGTCGAGGGCCCGGAGACGAGGGACGACGGAAACAAGGCAGGTCGTCAGAGAGGACGGGATCGAGGGGGCAATCTGTGCGCGGGGCGGGAGTGGAGCGGCGAGAGGTGTGTGTGCGGGGAGGGGAGGCGTGTGTGGGTACGAGGTTTTGCAACGTCTAGCGCGGGGGGTTTGAATTTGATGTGATCTGGAGAGGCTTGGGGATTAGATTGTGTTGCCGTCGCGCCGCGGGATGAGATTGGGGTCTTTGGTGTGTGAGTGCAGGCGCCGGAGGTGAGGTTTCTGTAAAGGTGGGATGGTTTGTTGAGGTAGAGCGAGGCGGACGAGGACGAGGTGGAGAGGGCGCGGGAGATAGGGGTGTGGAGGAGGAGGAGGAGGAGGAGGAGCGAGCGAGGGAGGGATCTATGCGGCGAAGGAAGGACTGATTTGCAGAGTGGAGAAAAATGCCGGTTCCTAGAGTAGGAGATGATATGTCGGTGGATGGGCCGGACAATGCTGTACTCACCGCGGCCCAAGAAAAAGAGATTGTCAGGGAGCTCACTGAAGCTGCGGAAGGACAAGTGCGAGAAGGAGATACTTTCTATCTCATTTCATACAGGTGGTTACTATCTCTCGGGCTTCAGCCTCGTTTCGGAGGTGTGACTTCTTATTTTTGAAGTGGAATTGTCGTGAGAAACTGTGTTCGTATTTCTGTAGACGCCGATCGTGCTTTGGAAGTTTTCGAACCAGTATCGAAGACCTCCAATCAGTGACTTAGGGTTCTTTCTGTTCCTCTGTTCCCTCATGCGAGTTGGATCTTCACTGCGTCTCGGTAGCTTCAACTCGGGCGATGTATTTTCAAGCTCATTGTGAGCCTGAAGCAGGCATCCATGCGCATGGGAGCAGCTATTCTTGGCGGATGAGGATAGATCATCCAGCTGTCTCGTTTATAACTACGTCTTTGATCACTCATTTGATGGTGGTTTGCTGATTCTCAGGCTCATTCCCAAAACTAAGCAAGATCCTTTTTAGCCTCTGGAGAATTGCACTCATCAAGCATGGGAATTAGTTCGCCAGAAGCTCGCAGCAATTTAAGCTGGTTTTAATCTTCTTTGTCGTGTTAAATCCTATTCTCAGTCGGTTTTTTCCCGTACCTATCGTGTCTGGGTCATAAAGAAAGAGTGTACGCGAAATGGAAGTGTATTTGCAACTGACCTGATGTCCAGATCAGCGCCAGTGTTTTTTTTCTGTCCAGTTAAAGAAGAGGGGTCAGACAGGCTGACTACCATATCACGATCTATGAAGTCCTCACTCAACGCAATTTAATCTGGTTATATTCTTCTCTAGCGTGTCAAATCTCATTTTCGAGCCTTTCTTTATTATCGTGGCCACGGCTTGTAGGAAGACTGGCCACTGACTTCAAACAAACTCGCAACTGACGTAATATCGAGATCAGTTCGAGTGCAGATGTTCTATTTGTCTAAACCAAAGCAGTTTACGTGTCGGTCGGATGACTAACGAAGATGTGTGATGCTCAAGTTCTGTCCATCGGATGGCTCTGTTCATCTAGTTACTAGTCATAGTGCCTTGGTAGGCATCAGTTTCGGTTTATTGAACAAATTACGAAGAGACAAAGCTTAATATTCGCGAAGTGCTATAAGTCAATGAGGGCTTTCTATATGATCCGTTCTGGCTTTGGCTTCCGCTTCTTCCCACTTCTAGTGATAAATTTTTGAGAATATAATGTGGGGGGCCAGCGATTTCTTAGTTCCCACAGGTGGCTCTAGCTTCGATAGATTGTTAACATCGGGAACAAAGGTTCCAAGCAGGCAGATATCATGTTGTCTTCGGGATGCTTTCTGCATTATCTGTTCACATAGGCTATTCATTGAATTCAATGTCCTCCAGATGTTTATTTGTTTGGTTTGACGAAATGAAGGTTTTCACTATTTAAAGATTGTTTTCTAAAGCATCATATGTGACGATTCAGGCCTTTTACTTAAGTCTTTTTGGAGGTCGATATGGAGTCTGAGGCTGTTTCTTATTGCCTAATTTAATTTCCCTTCAACGTGATGGATTGATAAGACACTCCAGCGTAGTCCATACGTTTGACCTGAGTCGTAGTACAATGTTTTGAGGAGAAACGATCGCAGCTGTTGGAATTTGTGACAGAGTGAGGGACTTAAAGCTTTGGGGAAATTCGAAGATTGACCTTTGTTTTAATATTTGTATTCTCATAGAAAAGCGGTGGAAAGTCAGAGTCACCCGTCAGAGTTCCTTTTCCTGGTTTGCTGCCACTATTTTCACTCAATTTTCTTTCGTTTCTTCTTTCCCCTGACTCCTTTCTTGTCCTTCAAGAAGCAAAGCGCGGGAAGAGTACAGTTTCCTTCCAGATGGGTTAGCATTCTCAGAGTGCATATCAATCTAATCAATTCCCTGTTTGTGTGGCCACCTACCACGAGTTCCTCCTGTCGATTCTACCTATTACTAGAGCCGATTGTGAACATACCGTCAAGTGCAGTGGATCTCATTCAGCTATTTATTCATTGTTAACATTGAAGCTTTACACATACTACAAGTATACCCTCATCATCCGAGGTTTCTTCTCGCCTCGTTTTCACTTTTCTTTGTGTGTTCTTGTTTTCGAGCAGATGGTGGAGGTTATGGCTAGACTATGTGGATCCGACAGACCTATCAAGTAGCGAGGGTGGTGAGGCCCTGACTACGTTCACACCCGGGTCTTTTGGACCATTCTCTAAGAGGCCCTCTAGTATTGAAAATTCAGATTTGGTTCTTGATGCTCCTTCCTCTGAGGATAAAAAATCTGAGCCTGATCTCAAAGAAAATTTGATAGAAGATCGTGACTATATTCTCTTACCAGAGCAAGTGTGGATGGCCTTTCATAAGTGGTGAGTATTTGATCTTCGTTTTGAAGTAGATGTTCCCCCGCTATTGCGTCTGCGTTTTGGTGTTCATCTGGTGTTCTTTCGCTTCTGAATCAATGGTAGGGCTACCAAGATTCACTAAATACAGATGAGGTATTGTCACGACTCAAGTTGTGTATAACTCTATATTTCAGGTATGGAGGTGGGCCTGCCTTACCGAGGAAGGTGATAACGATGGGTTATGGCTCACATGAAGATTTGGCAGTCGAGGTGTACCCATTACAAGTGAATCTAATTGTCCAGCCGCCCGGGACCAAAGCTGTTCTGAGATTCAGCAAGAAGGTCTGATATTTCTCAATAGCATCTATCTTGCTATATCGATCTTTAATGGTAGATTTAATTGAACCTCAGGAGTGAATCGTTCATAGTGTGTAGAATATCAGGATTGCCAGAGATGAGGGAGAGGAGTTCATGGACATCTGGGTCAGAGTTTGGCAAACCTAATTTCTGTGACCTTTGACCATCTCAGGATACCATTGGGAAGCTACAGCAAACCGTCTGCGAGCACTTCAAGTTAGAACTTGAAAATGTGAGGCTTTTCAGCAAATTTAGAACAGGTTTCTCTTTCTTTTTCTCAGTAGCCCTTGAGCTTGACTTCGTGTACGCCCTAACTTTTACACTCTGGGACTGCAGGTTCGCATCTGGGACTATTTCAACAAACAGAAGAATAAGCAACTTACTGAACCCTCGAAGAGCCTCCAAGAAGCATATATTCACATGAACCAGGAAGTAAGTTTGTAAACTGCGTACCAGGGTGTGAAACGAGCTCGGTTCTACGTAAACAGACTCAAAAGTCGTGTTACTAAAATTAAAGTCTTTGTTTAGTGTTCGACTGTGTACATCGTGCTTTATGTTTTGTTATTCTGTGACTGCCTTGCATAGGAATGTTTGTCGAACTCTCATCACGCGATGATTTAAAGAATGAAGGTGGGCTATCAATCGAATGCCTCTACTCTGCATGTCATCTTTTAATGGCGATGTGGCCTGACACGATGAATTGTTTCTCTCTTCGCCTCACGCTGGATTGTCTCTTACATCCGCACAGATACTCGTAGAAGTACGGAGAAATGGAAAGTGGCCAGATAGCAGCATCTCTTCTACAGGAAAGAGCACTGTATCCAGCTCCAGTTCCATCTCTAATGGAAGTAATGGTTCGTCAGCGGGAAGAGAAATGACTGTTCTTTCAGAAAGTCGCAGCATTGCAAATGGTCCACCAGCAAGCAAACCAGGAACAAGAAATGGTACCAATTCAGGATATCCGACGTATTCCATGGACAAAGAAAAAGAATCTGACGGTTGGCTAGGGAGCTCCAGTGGTGCAGCTAGAGCAGGACCAAAGGGTGTCACTGGTCTACAAAATCTTGGCAACACCTGTTTTATGAACAGTGCTCTTCAGTGCCTTGTCCATACACCACCTTTGGCTACATATTTCCTACAGGATTACACTCCCGAAATAAATCGCCACAACCCCCTTGGCATGGAGGTAATTGTTGAATCGGAAGCCCGGTCGACACGTTTGTTCATGTTGTCCACCGTTTGCTCAGGAGTTCGATGTTCCTGCCTTCAGTAGTGTAAATCCTGATGATCATCTAATTGGCATTTTTTTGGGCAGAAGACCTTTTGCTAACATCTGTGTACATCTCCAGGGCGAGCTTGCTATAGCCTTCGGTGAACTCTTGAGAAAGCTATGGGCACCCGGAAAACAGCCCGTCCCTCCTCGACAGTTCAAGACCAAGCTGGCTCGATTCGCACCTCAGTTTAGTGGTTACAATCAGCATGACTCACAAGTAAGCCTCCCTACTGCTATTATGGCATTTAAGTTTTCCATGGAAAGGTCCCAACTTTATCACTTATTTCATCCGTTAAACTCAACCTCGGGGGAAGATCAAAATAATGAAACTGGCCTCTTCTTCAGAGAAAACTAAGCGTGTTGTTTTTGTTGCCAGGAACTGCTAGCATTTCTCCTCGACGGCTTACATGAGGACTTGAATCGAGTTAAGAACAAACCATATGTAGAAGCAAAAGATGCGGACGGTCGACCAGATAAAGAAGTTGCTACTGAGTACTGGGCAAACCACCGGTCTCGTAACGATTCTATTATCGTTGATGTGTGTCAGGTAACGAATTTACATAAAGCTAGAACGACTCTGGAAAAAATCCTGCCAACAAGTAACCACTTGAAGGAGAAAATAATGTTCATCTCTGTGGCAACACATTATCGAAAGTCCTTGTATTATTTTCAGGTCATATTCGAGACTTTAATTTTTGCCGCTGACTGTTACCAGTGGGTTCCACGCTCTAACTCCGTCTTTCTTACAAATTTTGTAGGGACAATACAAGTCCACACTGGTTTGTCCAACTTGCAGCAAGGTCTCTGTGACGTTCGATCCTTTTATGTACTTATCTTTACCTTTACCTGCTAAGACGACTCGAACCATGACAGTCACGGTCTTTAGCGGGGATGGGTCTGCACCTCCCACTTCCTACACAGTGACTGTATCAAGGCAAGGGAGGTACAAAGACCTAATCCAGGCGATTGGCATTGCCTGCAACTTAGGAAGTGAAGAGCGATTGATTCTTGCGGAGGTATAATATTCCCTGAAGGTTATTTGTCAGTAGAATTCTGTCACTGTTAATTACTGAATAGAGTTGTTTATGGTTATCGAATCTCGTTTTTAGGGGATCATCTCTTCTTTGTTTCAAAACTGAACGTCTGTTGTGTCTGCTAATGCAGCTCTACAATCATCGAATTTTTCGTGTTTTGGACGAGCCTCTTGAGTGGCTAACTGCCATCCGGGACGACGACCGCATAGGAGCTTACAGGCTGCCAAAAACTTCCGAAAAAGGGACTCTTTTATGTTTGCTGCATCGTCGACTAGAATCGTAAGTTGACAACCGACTCTAGAGTTTATATGTATCCCGCTATTTCTGGGTTGGTGCTCTTCCGGTTGTTTCAGATCAAGGTGATGTTTGATGGTGTAGCTTTCTTGTAACTCGATATGTTTCTGTTCTGCAGGGATACGTACACTCCTAAAAATGCCCCCCAGTGGAAGCTCTTTTCGGCACCTCTTGTAACAAGTCTGCCAGAGGAAGCTCCTACCGGCGCAGATGTAGTTAAGATTGTGAAGAAATTGCTCACACCTATGGAAAGATCGGACAGACCGTTGCCCGCCGAGTCCATGGATTTGGAGGGAGAGAGGACGGTTGACAATGCGCCAGAGGAGGACGTAGACATGGTAGAAGGAGGTGATTTCGCTAGGAGCGAGACTTCCGCTCTTTGTGGAAAGAATGGAAATGGTGAACAAGTTCAGTCTGACTCTCTTGATGTTACACAGAAACAGCCAGAGTCCTCCTTTCAACTGTGGATAACAGACGATAAAGGTACCACAAGGGAAGGGTCCATCCTTATGGATAAACAGATGCCTCCTGCTGCTAATTCAGCTCGCGCGACGGCAAAAGTGCGCTATGTGGCTGTGGACTGGTCTGCAGCTGCTCTGGAACAAGAATATGACATGAGCAAAGTAGATATGCCACCGGAGGTGCTGAGGACTGGGTTACCAGCTACTTCGAAAAAGGCTCGTCAGGAAGCTGTCTCGTTGTATACGTGCTTGGAAGCGTTTTTGAAGGAAGAGCCTTTGGGACCGGAAGACATGTGGTAAGTACGGCCGTTTATTTTCAATAAAGTTCTACACGAGAAGATCTTTACAGAGTATGACCATCCACCCTGTTACCGTGACAACTCATATAGCAAGTCAAGTTGCGGACAGTAGTCCTGTGGTACAGGGCTTAACTTGCTCCTGTGGTACAGGGCTTTCTTTTCCTTCTCAGGTTATGTACTGTCGAAGTCTGAACCCTATAAAAGAATTGAAACATTGAATAATTGAAAACGTACTTGGGCAAGTCTGCCCGTCTTCAAGTCAGAGTTGTCTAGGACTGCAACTTGGAGCTACTTGTTCTGCTCAGAACCAGTGATCGCCAAGGCAATTTCTGTGCACGCTCGAAAGTGGCTCGGGGCATAGTGCTGTTTCTTATCACCCTAAAGATGCTGCAAACATAGTTTTCAAAATGCTGAAGTCTGGAATCAATTTCTGTTGTGCGTTTTCCGCAGGTACTGTCCTCGCTGTAAAGAGCATCGGCAAGCAAGCAAGAAATTAGATTTATGGCGGCTTCCAGAAATCCTTGTTGTACATTTAAAAAGGTTTTCTTATAGTCGATACTTGAAAAACAAGCTGGAGACTTTTGTTAACTTCCCGGTTGACGACTTAGATCTCTCAAAGTATGTGGCAAGTACTAGTGAGTCACAAGGGCATGTTTACGAGCTCTACGCAGTTAGCAATCACTACGGCAGTATGGGTGGTGGCCACTACACTGCATATGTGAAGGTGAGTACAATTTCTAAAAAACGCAACGTTAGTGTCTTGTATCTAGGAGTTTCTTGCCGTGATTTGAGAAAATGGCTGCATTCGCTCTGAGATTGTTCCTTTTTATTTCACCGTTGTGCTTTTCTGATTCACCCTTTGGACTGGCACCGAAGCTACTTGCAGCTCATTACATTTCTTGTTGTGCGCAATGCAGCTGGTAGACGAGAACAAATGGTACAATTTTGATGATAGTCACGTGTCTCCAGTGAATGAGAGTGACATCAAGACGTCAGCTGCATATGTATTATTTTACAGACGGATACGAAGTGAAGAGTCCTCTCTACGGACTGCTGAGGCGCATTCAGTTGTCACGTCCGTGGGTTCAAATCAAAAAGACGTAGCTGATGTAGTAGATGCAGATATGACAGGCGCTTCCTCACACTTCCTTCCTCCTTGATTTACTTCAACTTTGTAATTCGTGAATTTGTGCAAGTAGAGGTGAGGGTTGAGTATGTGATGAGGTCAGAGGACCTCACATTCTTGTTACTTACAAACTAATTCTTGATATGCACTGGAAATCTTAATAAAATTGGGACCATTTCTCAGAATCTGTGGATCTTGTGTGGATCTTCCTTATTGTCGTTCATGTCTAGAGCGTGATTCAATCCAGTGTCAGCTACATATGGGAGAGATACTTAAGTGGATAGTATTTGTCTATTGTTCCATTGCTACGTATTGAATGCCTTCAGCGCACTCGTATGATGTATGGTTTCAAAACTTGCAAAACGCAAATTGCGAGGGCAATGCATTAAGAAAGACGGATTTGATCTTCATGTACAATTTATGTTGCTTGGCGTGTGTAGATGACTAGTTGATGGTTTGTTCTATACAGGAAAGATTGTCAGGTCACTAGGATTTTACGATCATACGGAGTCTATCGCTACAAGTATGAGATAGACGTGTTGGAATCTACCAAATTGAAGAAATAGCTCGCGTGTGTGTGCAAATGCACATCTTCAGTTACAAGCCTACAGAGTTTTGCTGTAAGTGTGATATAATTTTGCTCAAGAAATTGTTGTCATAATTCCAGTGCGCCTGAACTGTCTCTTGCATCAAGCGATTGCTGCAGTTTTGTTCACCGGACTGGAGTGGTGGCCATGCATCTCACTTCTAAGTCGTCGAGTCAGTAGGTAAAAGTATGTAGCGATAGGGGTGCTTCTTATAGGAGCATTTCTCGGGATTGTCCATTCTAAAAGCTTAGACGGATCATGCCTTCTAGTTTCCTCTTGCCGGAGCCTGCTATTTCAATTTTTTTTGTAGTGACCCTAGCCTCTTCATACTGATGGTGGTGTATGTCGTTGTGCCCGGCATCGAAACTTACAGTTGGATGAGGTATTCTCCTACACGCATATATTTTCAAGAATATAAAGTTCATGCAAAGCTGATTAGTATCTCAAGTATCAGGATTGGAGGTTGCAGCAAGTTCTCCAGCTGTCACAAGAAGCTTTGAAACGAGAATGAAATCCCCTTGGTAGACAGGCCTTGAGACACTTATATGTGCAAGTACTTCCTCCCGAAGTCTCGTTTCCACGACTTTGAGATTGTAAATCATAAGCTCTGAACGGACAAGGTTTCTTGAATCTTTGTAATTCGCGCATCGTTGGTTATAGCATTGGGCAACTGTGTTGTCGTCTGTATATTGTCGCATTGTTATGTCATGCACCTCGGATTGAATACCTGTATATACAGTGAAACTGGTTCTGAATTTACTTCCTGTATGCCCACCAAGCAACGAAGTGCATAATCCTTTGCAGCAGTACAGGACACATTTAGTATCAAATGCCGAAAGTTGACAGTCTCAAAGAATCGCGTCACTTAGAGCTTGCGACCGATTAGCTTGGAAACATTTGGTGAGTGAAAATGACTGGCCAAGTTTTACCCGATGAATATATTTTGTATTGATGGCAGGGTCTAGTAATGTGTGTGACTATCTGTGTATCGGGGGTATAGCGTTAAATATGAGATCTTAATGCCTAAGCATAAACCCAAACCTCAAACCTGGCGATTCATGCCTGTACGGTCTTGGCTTGCGCTACATGTACGATAGGTTTTTCATGCACCATCTCTATGTGTTTGTTCATAGTTGTGAGTGGACGCAAATTCTGTTCGTAAGCTCGGATCTTTTATACGCATGAAGTACGATTTCTCCTGTGCCTACTTCGGTGGCGTTTATTTATGCGTGAGGTGCCAATGTTGTTCCTGGTTCAGAGTTTTCGAATCGGTATTTTGGCTTTTACAAGTTAGTAGACATTGTCTTTACCAGAAGGCCTTCCTGTTTACCAGATCATCGAGCTTCGTCTTAACCAGGTTTCAAGGTGTTACTTGAGCCGGTCAGTTGAACGGAGGTTGAGTTTCCAATTCCTCGATGATGGCAATTTTTTGTCATGTCAGAATAAACTTTTCGGCCCCAAACTCTTTACTTAAATTGGTAAAAGTTGAAGCAAAGTACCTATGAAGGGGACAAAATGTAGAATGGTGGAAAATCAGACCGTTAAGGATAGGTTTATCACATCAAATCGAGCGCTAGAAGACTAGAAGTAGGATGCAGCTCGAAAATGGTTAGCTTTGAATGAGTTACACTATGAGGGAGCAGTGTCGGATCACTTATTAAGATTTTATGTATATATCAGACCCTAAATTGTTTGATGTGAATTATCAAGTTTTGTTATAACTCCATCTAACACACACTACGTTCTAAAATATATTTTTGTACTCAAGATCAAAACCTAAATTGTTTGATGTGAATTATCAAGTTTCATTATAACACTATCTACAACACACTAAGTTCTAAAATATATACTCCCGATCAAAACCTAAATTGTTTGATGTGAATTATCAAGTTTCGTTATAACACCATCTACGACACACTAAGTTCTAAAATATATTTTGTACACATATGACGCAAACTTGGTACTTTCGTTTTAGCCTATGGGATCCATCCAGTAAACACCTTCGTTTTAGCCCTGTCTTGTCCAAGTTTCAAATACAACTCTTGATTTGAATTGAAGCAACAATTTTTGATCAAATCAATCATACCACCAACATTCTCAGTGAAGCTCTCAATACAGAAATCTCTCTCCCATGCTCCCAGCAATCCATATCTACTTGCTGCCCTAACGGAACTTTCACTTATTTTATATCTCTTGAGTCATTTCACAAAATCAACCTAAAGTGAAGCTCAAGTCGGTGTACCTTCATCGCTGAATTACCCAAGCCCATCCCCTTGACTGTGGTTTCGCTAGATAGTAGACAGGCACAAAGGAGATCTTGAGAAATTATTTGTGTGCTCACTCATCAGATGACAATGCATTTGGCTATTTTACTCAGCCATTTAAACAAACAGCTTAAGTTCTGAAGAAGATTTCCACATGTAATGCATGTACAATTTTCTCCCTTTTTCAAGCTTCAAGATTATGTAAAGTAGGATGGATTCTTCAAGCAATAATTGTATTGAAATGTTTACGATGATGTGACATTTGTTTCTCATGAGGTTCATAAGTTTACGTCGCTTCATATATATTTCACTACAACTGCAAATAACTTGTATGATGCTACGCGCAGTATGTAGATAATTTTATTCTGGTTATATTCCAAAAATAGAAAGTGTTGAATAATCACATTATATCTAGCTTAAAGCTTGCGGAGGTAACGGCTAGTACGATAAATTTCGTATTTAATACCTTTTCTAGAGCTCGTGCAAATGAGCCTTTTGAGTCCATTGGCGCTTGATTTGATGCAACTTGGAACATCAGGCTGCGGCAAAGCGGAGCAACTTTCATAGATTGAGACAGAATGTTTAATATTTCTACATATAGACTTTCATTCTTTTAGGCTCGGACGAACGTTGGACATTTTTGTGCATGGAAGCTTTTTGAAATGTCCTATGTGTCTACTGTACTTATTTAATGCCATCGTGCATACTATCCTTATACATGATCACAATATCAAAAGAGACAAGTTTTATCTTTTATGCCATTCCGGATTTTACCATTGACATCAATATGTTTGCGATTGATTGGAAATTTGTGACTTTGATACTATTTATGTTTTATTTATTACTTTTATTTTCATTTATATATTTTTATCAAATCTTTGATGTGTGATTCATACAAATGAAGATTAAACAATTATAGATATGATACATATGATTTTATCATTAGACTATAGATTTTATAAAATACATGCATATCGAATAATGACCAGTTTAAGTTGCAAGGTGATTAAATTATTATTATTAACTTAAGAATATAAATCTAGAAAAAATTGCAGCTATTTTTTGACATTAAGCTTTCATTTTATACTTATTTCTTAAAACTGATTCAAAAACATTTTGTCCCAAGCAATTTTTTCACAAAAATTCAATTTTCATTATAATTCATAATCTGTTTTTGATCAACATTATAAAAAATTATATGTTATAAATTTTTTAAACTAAAATTTATTTATTATTATGTTTAATTGCATGAAATTATATATAACAATATGGAATGTTATTATTCATAACACAATATTAAGAGTAGATAAACTTTACATTTTTCAGCTTTTAATGATACAATTTGTGATTTGAATTATCATATATATTATTATGAATCACATTTTATTTTGATGCTAATATATTATATTACTGTACTCAATTCACTTTTTTCAAATTTGAGACATAATTGTGATTGATTGATGATTGATTGATACTTCTCTAGTGTACAATATGACTAGTAATACAAAATATAATAGTGAAGTGGGGATTTTAAAGAACCTTCAAACTTGTACTATAGTTTGTCAAAATTCACATGGACGAAAGGCAAGTTATTTTTCAATAATATGGCTCGATCGAAATAGAAGTTGAGTCAGAATTATCACCTAAATGATTATTTAATCATATAAAAGTTCTCAAGTATGTGCACAAACTAGCAAAACCAAGGAGTGGAGTGTATCAAGTAGCAAGACTTCTAGTTGAAACGAACGGAATGTCAGAACCGAGACTTTATAACCGCCAATAATATCCACTGACCGCGTTGCCGATAAATTTTTCATAGGATGAAATTTACCCAGAATAATAGAAGCACTTTGCTAGGTTGGCCAGATAGGGCACCGACTGACAAGCTGAAAGCCTGAAAAGGGAAAACGTCGAGAGGGCAGAGAGTTGAAAACAGAATGTGTTTCATGCTCGCCTGATACACCCAGCACCCGCTCCGATGAGAACACTCTATTCATCCAAATATTTGTATCCGGAGTACTTTAACTTTCGAGCCATCAAGGCCACGTGAGATTATATGGACTATTGTAACCCATCTACTGGAGATTTATGATAAATTTAAGCTCCAAGAGACCACCTGTATCAAGAATCAGCTCATACCCTTTTCATCAGTAACAGCAGATCTCAATCATGATACCGGTAGGAATGTGCAGTTCCATGGGCTTATAACTTTGTCAGCGACTGGATCATGCGATTCCTACTCGGTTGTTGCGAAAAGGAGCGCCATGATAGCATCTTTGCTTAAAAGTCTACAAACCCGTATAGTATCCATAATATCAGATTTCGTTAGACCCTATCAGTACAGTTTCTTCGTTATATGATCATCCCTAGTGACAAACTTTGGAAAAGCAGCCCTAGAAGCCCTGAGCTCTTGGAAGAGGTAAAGCAGAAACATTGATCTATTATTTGTTTCTTATTCAAAGATATTATCTATGATAAACAAAAGAAATGGTGCTGCAGAACGGGGGGACGTGTCGAAGCAGAGTGTCAACGGTAAACAGGTTTTGACGTAAACATGCGCTCGAATTATAGTAGTGGCTTTATTTTGGTACATTTTTCCCTAAACTGTTTGAAAATAATTCAGAAGACATGTGACTTTTAGCTTTCCTATGAAATATTAATCACCCTTGTTCTCTCTGCTTTAGAACCCGTCAAGTCTTCTCATTCCCTTGAGACTATATGGTGATGCCCGCCACCCTGCACCCGTACCTATGAAATTCCACTAATTGTGATCGGTGTCAGGATTCAGAGGATGCTCTTTGCGCAAACTCTCATATGTCAGTACCTTGTTCTTCTTGTGCAAGATTATCAGAACCTTACACGTTGCTGTTGGACGAGGAGGGCTGTCTAATGCAAACATGTTTTTATATGCTTTCTCCACACGACTTTCACACACCTCCTTATGTCAAAAAGCCTTTTCCGATATCCAAACAAATAATTCATCCATGCAAAGATTGATGGTCGAATTTCGAGATTACGTCTGCTGGTGGCCCGGTTTTCCAGGCACTGGAAAAATCCAGCGTTTTTAATATGTCTATATGGTCAAAGATGCGGAGTTGGAGATAAACTCATTTTCTTCACTTTATCCCATCCCGGTTTTTGCTATATTTTCAATACATTTCTCGATTGAAATTGGTAAACATTAATATTTATTACTCAATGATATCCTTAGACTTATTGTGTATATTTATTACTGCACCCTTGCTTCCGGATCTGAATGTTTATGTATGGTTTCAGCCTTCGCATCGGTTTCTAGAAATGCAATGTAATTTACTAGTAAAGAAAATTTGACATCTTTGAACAAGTTGCTATGCCATGCTAGGTTACCTTCTGTTGAAGAAAATAAATAGATATGTATATATCATGAAACTCTCTGTAACCCTAAGACTGTCTAAGAGATATACATTTTTAAAACCTCGGTCGGGTTTCTTCTTAGACCCCATTCCAAATGCACACTTTTCTTGCATTTTTCCATGTATTTCTTTGTCGACCAGGTCTCTCCATGCAGCTCGCTGTTCCAAGCTCAGTGCTTCACTACTGGGCGCACTGGACTCGGTCCACAACTCGCTTTCTTCAACTACAATAGGACAGTTCGCAACTTGCCCGGAAAGAGATGGTGGACCTTCCCTCTGTCGCGACACCGCGACGAGTCTGACCACCCGGAAGTCACCAGCTCCACCAGCCCCTATTCTTGGCCGTGCCTTTGTCTCCCATCCTTGAACATCCGGTATCTGCAAATTTGTGTTGTATGGAGCACGTTTTGGATCATTGAGGTAAACTCTAGTACAAGGAAACAGTTCTATTTTGTCAACATCGTCAATAGATAATATATTATTTCGATTTGGGTTCCATGTCTTGACATATATTGCAGTAACATAATATTGTTTTATCGTGTGAAAATCAGAACTCTAGGAAAAAAATATCATTCAACCCAAGCCAAACACTAACAACAACAATGTAACTAGTGGAAAAATCTGAACCTAGGCACAATGTTGTACAAGCTAGTAGCCAACTGAAGTTAATTAAAGATAAAGCAAATCAAAGCATTATATATATAAATAAGATTGAATGTACAAGCAAGAAGACCGCTGGATTGCACTTGCCGAGCGGGAGTCAATCACGCTGACAAACATTGGGCGGGAGCGGCTATGTAATGTTGACATGACTTTAGAAAAACTAACTATTAGTAGTCCAAGGAACTGCCCTCAACATCTCACAACTGTTCCCTATCATATGTATAAGTCCCAAAAACTAACATACAATAAACAATAGAAGACACACTAATTGCGGTTGAACTAGTGTTACTAGCATCAATTGGACGACCTGAATGATCTCTCGAATCAACAAAACATGGCGGACATCACTAGGACCTACCGACATGCTATGGAGGTAGAGCACCGGTGCATAACATCCATCCATAAATAAATTGATCAATATGGAGAGTACTACGGTCAGATTTAATAAATTTATTATGAACTTCTTGAATCTTATATATATATATATATATACATATTTCTCTAGCTCTTTCTTTTTATATTTTCTATTTATGGAGATCTAGTTTGAAATCTATGAATATCATAATAAAAGAATTGATGTCTTTTTATAAAAAGTTGAAATTTTTATTTTATTTTTATTCTATCATGAACCTAATTTAAAGTGTGTACGATCCAAAATATTAATTTTTGAAGAGTTCAAAATATCTAGAATCTATAATATTGATTTTTCATGCAGTTTTATCTGTCTACAGTAAATAGATTTTTGTTCTCACACTACAAAATTATTTTTATATCAATGAATCAAAATATGATTCATTTCATATTCTCTTATCATAGTAGCCGTGTAACAATATGAATAATGGAACTTTCAAAATAATAGAAAAAAGAATTTGGAAACAAGATATAATAATGAATTAATATGTTGTCTTAAAAAATGCACTTAACGTCATGAAAAATGTTGTACGCTGCAAGTATCTTTATGATGGCAGAAGAATAAATCATAATGTGATAAATTCGGATATTTTTTCTCTTTGTAAATTATATGTACTGAATTTCTACAGATTTAATTGATAAATCAATCTTCTTAATGATTATAATAAAGATATAAAAATAATTATGTCAATTTTATTCTCAAACTGTACATTTAATAGTAATACATAGGCTTTCCGAGAAAGAGATATGTAAATCTTATATTGATCATGCATTAGAGCTTTCTTTATTGCATCGACTATTCGTCTTACTACAACAATTGACACATCTTTTTTGTTCACATGTGATTGCTAAGCTCCAAACAAGTTGCAATATAAAATTGATAATAATCAGAAAAAAAAACATCATGAAGTTATAGTTCATAAAGATATATAGAATTCAGATGTCTTGCAGTCATCCCATCAAGAGTTTTGTTAACTTTGTGAATTATGAGGATTTGGAGTTGGCAGCGATGAGCTTGTATGATTTAGTGATCCGAGCACTTCATGAATTCAGTGAAACTGGATATTGTGTCGTGGAATGATGACCAAGAGTACAATGTGACTCGGGATGTGATTCTTTCTTGTATAATATCTTCATGTATAATGCGGGTTGGAATATTGAGAAGGCTGAGAGTTGTTGGTTTAACCTATATGCTGATAACAATGCCCATAATAGGATATGGGTAGGAAAACCAGTGAGCATCCTTCTTGTTGGCTGGAAATAATTAATGGACCCCGAGCACACAGTCTTGGTTCGGAGATGATGCATAAGATTGGAACAGTTCACAGCGAGGGGAGGTAACTGTAAGTCACTCAATGTTAAAGTGATATTATGCAGTTCTGAAGCGGCCTTGTGTAAACTGTATAATCAAATTTGACACTGATGAAGGGCATTTCGCGTTTAGGAAGAAGCCACAAATCTGAGCAAAGCATTTTGGCCGGTTCATTTGAACTGCTTACTGCCGCTTCCAGAAATCTATGCACCACTGTCGCCATCCATGAAACAGCCAGGAATACGTGGGGATGGTGTGATGCCAGTGGATCAAATTGACGGTCCCAATTGTGCTCGACAAGTTGCGCTGGGCGGTTCATTCCATGCGAAGCCGCTGCCGTCGATCAAGTACTACTTATAAAACTAATCCTCGTACAGTCCGTTCACTCTGTCCTGGCTTCTTACTCATCACAATTTTTGGTATCACCCCTCTTCACTTCACCTTCTTGCGCAGGGACCCCAAATTCCCTTTTCAGATCAGATTTCCAGGGCGGTGTCCAAAGTCAGCATCCCATAATTGTACGACTTCTCAGCCTCATAATGCAACAGTAACAGCGACACTGTGATTATCCGTCTTCCATTACAGTACCCTAACAATCAATTGTAGCAGTCATGCGGATACGCATCCCAGAGGTCTTGCCGTAGACGACAACGAGAGGAGTCACGCCAAAAGAATCGCGAACTTCGCGATGTACAGCACATGATTGTACCGAAACCGAAATCATTAGCCACCGGAAAGTGTTCAGAACAGTCCTCGCCGTCGATCTCCGTAAATCGGAACAGAAAGAAGCGGACATTACACTAACTCTCTGTCGGCAGGGCAGCGCAATCCTGAATGGGGACTGTCGAGGGGAACGGAGGTCGATCACGGCGGTGGGTTAGTGGATGGATAGATGGATGTATGGATGGATGGAGGCATTGTTTCCAGACTTCCAGTACAGTACAGCAGTAGTAGCTGGAGGCGGAGCGCGAGTTCAGACAGTACGGGAGGGAGTTGGTGGGGCCCGCTGCTGGCGCGGGAGCTTGGCGGCATGGGGAGCGCTGTCACCGCTGGGTCGGGACGGCCGGGACGAGGCGCGCTGCACTGTCCGAACAAGAGACAGCTTCTTGATTTCTTGACGTCCTCGCAGTCCGAATTTCAAACTCGCCCCGTCACTCGCCTCAACTGTCCTCAAATGGATGAAGGCCAGACGCTCCCTCCGCGGCTTGTCTGGAGCGGATCGGTCCGGGCGCGGGTGGTGCTCGGTCGGAGTTCCGAAGTCGCACTGGGAGCTGGACAAAGCCGCTGCTGCTGCTGCTGCTGCTACGAGGGCTACCGACGACGACGACTTCGACCTGTACCCTGTGACCGAACGACCGGGCGCGTTTCTTGCTGGGGGGCGCACTTGTCCTGCACTGAACTGACTGCGATCGCGCATGTGGGACGCGACAGGGACCGATAGAGTGACGTGATGACGAAGGAAAGAGGCACAAGAATTCGAGCGATGGTGGGACGAAGTCTATGAGCTGAGAGCCCGAGGCCGAGGTTGAGGCCGGTGTCGGTCGTGGAAGTGCGTCGAGGAGCGCTCCGGGGTCGTGGTCGAGTTCGTTGTGTAGAGTTCGGAGGAGAGGAGAGGCGAGTAGCGATGGGGCAGGAGACTTTGGTTTGCGTTTCGGCGTGGCCTCCTGTCGTGGAGGGGTTTCTCGAGCGAGAGATTTCTGATGGTGTGGTGGTCGATGGAGCTGCCGAAGAGCGCCCGGGAAGCTGTTAGGCGGAGGCGGAAGCTTGGGTCGGGATGAAGCCCGCGGGGCAGCGAGCCTTTCGGAGCCGCACGGGCCGGCGTGGCAGTAGCCCTGAGCAATCCGGCGATGCCGCTCTGCGCTCGGCCTCCTCTGTCTTTCGATTGATTCTGCACTTTTCCTTTTGCATTGCCAGCCTTGTTCTTGGTTTTCGTCTTTCTCGAGAATCGTTGTTGATCGTCGTCAACCTGAGGAGCTCGGAAGCCTACGCCAATCGAGCCAATTATTTGCCTTCAGCTAGCGTTCAATTCGCTGAAGCCCTCGCCGAGGTGAACCGTACGGGCGTCAAATCATCGCAGGAACTTTTGCCCTTCGCGGACCTGAAACCGAGCGGACTTTATCACGAAGATGGTGTAAAAAGTAGCCGAGTTCATGTTGGCCGGCACGGAATATTGATTCGACCATGGCCTCATCCGGACCCAGAGGAAATCATCACGGCGCATATCCTTATTTCTAGAGTGCAGCAAGAGCAAAGAAAACTTTACGGCTCCATCCAGAGAAGAAAACCTCTCATTGTAGTTACGCCAACCTTCCGCCGGACGTTCCAGAAGATCCATCTGGCGAGTCTCAAGAACACTCTCATGCTCGTGCCAGGGCAGGTTTCTTGGATTGTGGTTGAGGCGGGTGGAAGGTCCACGGAGACAGCTGATATACTGTCAAATTCTGGTCTGAATGTCCACCATCTCCATCTAACGCAACCCATGCCACCAGCTTGGCCAAAACGCCGCAACATGGAGACACTGTTGCGCCTCAGAGGTTTAAGGTATTGTCTCAAAGTGCTCTCTCTGCAGGACCTTTCTTAAGCAAAATTCGCAGATGAACACGGCGAAGCACGGAATGAGAAACTGCAACGTCCTCATGAGCGCCGAGTTTGCTGTCATAAGAATGATGTCATGAGGCTATGCAGTTTCACATTCCTAACACAATTGGCCGACATCTCCGTCTAATTATCTTTCCTAATGTGCAGGTTTATAAAGGAGAGGCAGTTAGAGGGAGTTGTGGTTTTTGCGGATGAAAGCAATTCTCACAGGCTCGAGCTCTTCGATGAAGCGCAACGTGTAAACTGGTTTGGTGCGCTGTCAGTGGGGCTTCTCATGCCTCCCAAATCTTACGAAACAGGGGACTCACCGTTGAGGTGGAGTGCAATGGATGCCACTCAGGCGAGCTCACCGTTTCTTCCCGTGCAAGGTCCTGCCTGTAACGCATCGGGGTTCTTGATTGGTTGGCATTCTGAGTACGGGACGTTACCCTCTGTAGATGGCAAAAGCAGAACCTCGTGGAATTTCGAATGGTCAGGATTCGTGTTTGATTCTGCAGTCTTGTTCGAACTGGGCAATAAACCGAGCTGGATCAAGGACTGGGATGAATGGGCTAATGAAAGCGATAACGTAGGTAGTCCAACAGTCATGGTGTCTGACGAAGCATTTATTGAACCACTTGGTGACTGTGGACGCGATATTCTGGTTTGGTGGGCGCGCTCCGAAGCTCGTGCCGATAGCAAATATCCTGAAGGGTTAGATTTCCAACCCTTTTCTCCGTTGTGCCGGCTGTCTGTGTATGCTATCATCTTTACTCTACATGGAAGCGAGCAATCTTATGAATATGCAAATCATTGTGAAACCCAGTCTTTTTCACTGAGAATCTGTGGTTAACAACACGAACATACTGAGGACTATCCTCGTGAGTTTGTAGTGAGCGGACGTCTTGCATTTGCTCGTGTGATTGATCGCAAAGGTTTAGGGAAGGTTTTCCGTTGGCCACCATATCTCATACCAGTTTGAGGGTTGAAGTGCTAATATTGAAGTTCTGTTTGAACGAATTTTGCAGGTGGGTATTAGATCCGAAGTTGGAAATCATTGTACCATCCAAGCACACCCCTTGGCCAGAGCCATCTCCTCCTCCACCTCCAGTTATCAAGACATCTGTGGAAGAGTCCCATGAGAAGAAACGACAGGGGAGACATAGAAATCAGGGGAAAAAAAATGCGAAGAAGCAAGAGTCTTGACGTCGAGCTCAGAGGTTTTTGTAAATTTTGAAAGACGGTAACTCGCGGAGTGGCCAGCCTTCATTTGATGACGGCAAAGTTATCATCGTCCAGAAGGCTCATGCTCTTCGACATATAACAGCTAGGCAGATGCCCCGATCCCAACTTTTTCTTTCCGAAAACCAAAGAAAACACAAGGACGACGAAACCATAAATATGTTTCCCTGGCCACGAAAGCCCCAGAAATTTGTAGTGATTACTGTAGAGTATCACACCGACAGTGGAATGTTTGGTTAGTGGTAAAGAGGTTCAGCGTCACCTTGTCGAGAATTCCATGTTAGTTCCTTGTCTACATAAAAATATTCCAATTCGAAACAACTCGGTTCTCATGGCTGCTCCATCGTAGAGGAAATTATTGTCTCTGCTCTATGTGTGGCTGTCATGGGCCTAATTAGAGTAGACGACATGAATTACCTCGCACGACTTTGTGAACCGAATTGACTAGATGAAAAAATCATATTTTGGAATTTCGTGTTTTGGAATTTGTCGGTGGAACACGTGCATTAGTCACTGGTTGCCTCACGCCTGCGATCGAGGTTGGGCTGTGAGATTCTTAGTCATTCTTTCTCCGACAGGTCAGGCTCGTAAAGTAACTGGTTGAACGCCGAACGATTGCAGACACCGAATTCCTTGACTTCAATTCGTACACACGCACTGTGAGACGCATCGGCTTGAAGGTCTAGATTATTTAGTAACCGAAGCTTTTAGGATCAAAACTCCACTGATGCCTATTCGTGAAACCCGTTGAAGAATTCTTGCACATACAGGAGGTGTTGGAAGAAGACTGCTTCTAACTAAGATTTGGTAGGCGTTATAAACAGGACTTTGTCACGTGTAGCACTCAACTGAAATACTGTTTCTAAGTGATCGGATAATTTCGGACTGCAACTTGAGTCACGACATCAAATGGGATGACTCGAATCAAATGAAACAACTTGAGATCTGTTCATAGTCCTGATCCAAGCAGCTTAGAGGTTTACTTTACATTAGATGTATTTATCTTTTGCGTGTGTCTTCTGTCAATTGAGAAACAAAATCACAGATGAAAACACACTGCATGTTGAAATTGTAGTGAAGGTCAAATGAGCGATTGAGACTAAATGAGGGATGAGTAACAAACGGATCGTCTAGCCAACAACCTTTGCTTGAGCGAGAGAGGAAATCAATCATCCACGTTTATTGAAATGGCTGAGTTTAAATAGATTGTGGGTCATGGAGCTGCCATAGATTGAGATAGATCATTCCATCAACAGTTAGATATATACAAGTGAGGTGCTCACTTCAAGCTGAAGAGGACAGATTCTTGCGAATGTTGCAACATGGTGAGCTCTAATAAAAGCAGAACATATCTAAGACGCTTAGTGGCGAGGCATTTAACTTGAGGAACACCAATCCGGGATTTGAAACTGAATGACCAGTCAGTGTTGCTGCTACGACTGATGTTGGAAAGCATTTGCTTATCGATCATACACGTGATGTCCTTTCCTTCACTCATGGTAAATTACACCAGAAAGCTGCATACACCGGTGATCGTCAAGGGAATTCAATGTTTCACACTGACAAGTTCTGAACGATTGATTTATGGTGGGATACACATCCATAACGTCAAGCGCATCACACGCTTCTTGCCCACATCAATTATATTCTTCATACAGTCCAAAAAAGGCTGATACGCAGTATAGAATACTTCAACATGATAAGCGATGACTGTCATATTCCAAATCCATCTACATCCATCTTGAGCTGGTTGCGTAACTGATTCTATTATATACGATGATTCTTGGGAATGTTTGTGAAATAGTGTCATTCACGCTGGTTGAATGACCAGAGACTTAATGAGCTCATGTAGCTAGACACATGAGCTCATATGTCAAGCATCCTAGGAGTCTTTTGCTCCAAAGATATAATAGAAGAACTAAGCCATAATCATTACCACTATGTTTTCATGGCTTATTGCATGAAATTTCCACACTGGAGTAGATGTGTGTTAGAATCATCAATTTGTTTGGAGAGATCATCATTGATTTGCAATATATCATACAATTATATCGTAGATGAAGAGACATGAAATTGTGTATAGTGATACATTACATGATAAAATAGCATACAAATCAGGGGTGAAATGTAAAGGAAAACAAAAAGGTGCATTAATCGTGTCGTTGTTGAGTACAAATCAAATTCCTGAATTGGTATGGATGAAATCAAACAGTAAAGAGAAAAAGTTGAGCTACAAATATTTTTTATTGATAAAATCACAATAATTACATTGTCAAGGACAATGCAATTATTAAGGATATCATTTTGTTGATTTAGGAGCGATGGCGAATGTACATGAATACAATAAAAAATATCATCACTCTTGTAATTTACATACAATGCTTGAAATTTAATTGCTATTTGTAAATTCATGTACCACAGGTATATTTGACTTTCATAAAAAGTTCAAAATTCATTCTCAGAACTGCATGTATGTACATGTCAAATATGGGTAATTTTTTTTACAGTAACATGATTAATGTATAGAATTATTATACAACTCACAAAATTACAATTGATCAAATCAGAAAGAAATAATAAATTCACATATATGTTACTACCATATTTTATTTTTATTTAAGATAATTTAAATGATATTTTAATTATATATATATAATGAATGATATAATGATATACGCATAATTTTTTCAAAAAATTAATTTTAGTTATCAATATATATAGTTATACATATGAGATGAACATCATATAATTGAAACCTTCAAGTAATGTTGTGTTGTATTGAAGAAAAATGCTATCGTCTAGTTGGATAGATTTAATTAATAAATTTCAGAAGAATAGTTTGTTAGCCAGTTTGTTATTTGATTGAAATTGAATCTATATTGATGAATTTTGAAAATATTTTGAGGTAAATTTTTTTTTTTAAGAAAAAAAAATTTGAATCAGTTGGAAGAAGAAATTTATATGAATTTTAAAATTAAATTAAATTTCTAATCATGAATATGTTTAATTTCAGTGGCATCAATTTAAATTGAATGTTAATGCAAATCATAAAGTTATAAAAGTGAATTATATTAATTTTCTAAAATTTTGATATGAGAGATTAATGATGATTTATTTGGAAATGTATACTGAGTAATTGTGTATGCAATTAGACATCTAAATTTTGATGATTGATTCTGAACAAGAATGAAAGTTTTGGAAGTTGATTTGATATATATGTTATGTGGATGGTATAGTGATTGATTTGTGATTTTTGTTGGTTTGAGTTTATTGCATGATATGTTATGTTTGGTATATATGTTTGCAAGTGACTCGAACCGACATTCTGATAAGGACTTACTGTTGCTCAAAAAGATATTCGCACTCGGTCTATTCATACATCTGCCTGCATGGGCTTCGAAAACAGAGAGTGTGACGGTGGTTCCACAACAATCACACCGTATACCGTCCTAGGTCACATAGCCTTCTAACATGCGTTATCCTTTCTATTCAAGTAACGCACTTTTTCATTCTCTTCTACCATCCCATTATCGATGAGCCATGAAAGTGAAGTCCATTTATGTTTGATATCTACTAAAATTTAATTAATGAGAGGATGGTGAAAATTTACATGTTGCACTTTAAAATGATTATTGTAATATCCAGTCACCTGATATTTGCACCATAAACTAGATGTTTTCGAGATGTTTTTGGAATTAAATATAGTTTGTAACACAGGTGGATTTGGTTCAATCTCAGTATATTATTTTATGCAATGCTTATGAGTAGAATGTATTTGTTTTTGTTATTATTGGTAGAATGATAAATGTGATATACTTATTAATGTATATAGTAATGAAATGAAATTGCATTATATACGTCTTATTTATAATGCACAAGGGTTAAAGTATCCAGTAACTATTCTAATCTTAACGTCTATTTTATCAAGGTCAAAATCATCCTGTCTGTTAGGCCTGAAGTTTATTTCCTTCATATTTACACCATTTGAATACGCGTGTAATTCCATTTCATAAGATTCATCAAGGCACACGATGGTATTGGATTGACATCTCCTGATGCACCAAGGGCGAGAGAGTATGCTTTCAAGTTTAACAACAGATATACACATGGAAACCCTGGGGGAAGACATTGCATTGTGCTGCATCTCAGGTAGCGCTGCTTGTATAAGAAGATAGAGAATCCCATGACGAGGCTACTTGATCTCATAACGAAAAGTTAGATCTAGATAGTCACGTGGAACAAAAGAAGCATCTATTCTAAAGCTTTCCAAAGAGCTGGGTCTTCAAAATCCTCGATCGTGAACGCTGCTCCTGTTTGCAAAAGAACACCAGCAGGAGTAGCACCAACAATGCCTACTACAGCTAGTTGGGCATCCACAGCTGCTTGCAGCCCTGATTGCGAATCCTGGTAGGATGAACAAAATTTCAAAATCAGATTCGAAATTTTCCGAAATGATGAGCTTAATCATATTGACAGAACATCTTTGCTCCCTGCACTTACAAATCTCCTAAGCAGTTCAGTATTCGAATGAAGCATATTAAACATAGGAATTGCTTGCTAGTTTTCCTCAGGCAGTAGTTTCCATTCTTCTTATTTACCACTCAGTGAATTGCAGAGACCAAAATTAGGTCACAATATAGCTCGTCATAATCTAAATCACGACACCGCGAAAACTCCGACCAGGCCCGAGTGGAATGTACGTCAAGGTTACCAACATTCTCTCCAATGGTGTGATCGTAATGGAACACTTGCACTTCCGGATAGAGTAATTTTTTTGGTTCTGGCATTATGGGGATTTCCTGCAGAGAAGCGACCATTGGCACGACGAAAGAGACCATTACCTCAACTGCGAAAGCCTTGTCTGCTGGTACTCCAAGAAGTTTGAGAGCCATCAAGTAAGGATCTGGAAATGGTTTGGCTCGCTCACACTCGTATCCTATGACTATGTGTTCGAAAAAATCACCCAATCCAACAGCCTTGATCATTTGCTCGGCATTGATACGGGGAGCATTCGTCACTGCTGCTCTTCGGATGTTGTTCTTTTTCAGCCAGTCGCAAAATTTGTTCAAGCCTCTCTTGGTTATCAACTGCGTTTCAGCCAGCCTGGAACAATTGGACATAAAGCAAATATTCGCGACGGATATCAGAAGTAATTCATCCAACAAAAATAAACAAATGTACCTACAGCACTTCTATCAGTAGCTATTAGCAGGCGATGAAGGCTAGTGATAAAATCTTCAAGTCCTTGAGTATCCTGTAGTTACGAGCTAATAATTTGCTGATCGAATTGTCTCTAGTCTGCTCATACTCTGTAGTCGAGGATCAAGCAGATGTGACTTTCTATTTGCGGCCTGATTTGATCATGTGCTAGTGATATTGCACTTTCTGTATATTCTACTTACTGCCTTCTATATAATTTAATAACCCTTTCATAGTTTATATAGAAAGCCATAAATTCATTTTTCACATTACCTTCACAAAAGGGAAGTCCATTAATTCTCAGCACAGATATTTCTCTCCGATGGCGAAGCAGTATTGTTCCCAAGTCATAAGACAACAGGGCTTAGCACGGGGCTCATAAATAGCGGCCGTCCATTTGTTCGTTGAAGAGAGATTTTTTGATATGTAACAAGAATATACGAACCATCTAAAGAATTAAAATAATTCGGAAAAAAAAAGCAAGAATCCGACGAGCCATTTTGGTTCTGAGACAATTCGAATGTTCTGCTTCCAAGATAAATTGGTGTGGGGTCTCGGGCTGTGCACATTGCAGCAGAAGGCCCTCGTGGATGATGTACTCGGGACTCTATTGTGTCCCCCGCAGAGCAATGCAGGGGATGAAGTGACTGTCCTAGCACAAAGGTCCAAGCTGAGATATCCCCCACAAAAGAACGAGGAAAAGAAATCAGATCAATCATGGTCCGGAGATATAACCTTCTGAATCTTGTTTCTTTGTCATCAGTGAATTTTCTTTGAGCCACTGGATCCCAGTCTGGCCACAGAAACTCGCCAACTTCTGTATTAAACTTTCCGGTAATGTGCTCCTTGAAGAATTCCTCACTTATAGGTACACCACCATTGTACCCCGCCTGTCAAAGCAAAATTTGTAAGAGGAGCTGCCAGTTGGATCCTTCAGGAATGTTTTAAGTGTGGATAGAATAGACTAAACATTTGTGTTCTTTCACGAATTTACTGGAAGAAAATCCTTCATCTTATACTTTCATACATCAAGCGCTAGATTTCGAAGGAACGAACCACTCGTAAAGATAGAAGGGTCATGTACCTCTTGCAGCATGTCCACATACACTTTAAAATGCAGAGCGTCAGATTCGCACAGAGTTCCATCTACGTCAAATAGCACAGCTTGTAAGGAGCCGGATTTCGGTATAGCTCTTCTACCCATTGCTTTTCCTGCAGGCAGAGTAAAGAGCCATCCGTTTCATGCAATCAGAAAACTTCGAGGTTGGCAGCAGAACTTAGTCACATTCTAGTGAATCATGATATGAAAACTTCCAATAATCTGCTCCCAAACTGATGGATAGGCAAAACAACCTTTAAATGATGGTAATCAAAATTTGCTTGCCTTGACTCCAACTGGAACTGTATTGCCGATAGCCGAAACGATTTGTCACTTCCTGCTGGCTGCTCTTACAAGATATTCGGCCTCTGTGATCAAGTGAGAAGACAATCCGCTTTAGGTACTAGAGTTCATGATATCAGTAATCAAGCGCTGGGTAGGAGTATTCGACTGTATCACACGACTGTATTCGACTGTATTATGAGATTTGAAGCTACTGCCTCAACATGAATGTCCAAATGTACGCGACACAAAAAACATATCAGGGACACCTCTAGATATCATATCATGCTATTCGGTCTTTCAAATGTGTTTTTTCCAGTCCTCACTTGGCTGACTGATGAATCTAGGCCAATATATACCTGTACATTTGTTACGTGATAGCGAAACTACATGTCAAACTATGAAACTGTCAGCAGCAGACATTGAATTTGTACTAGATCTAGACATCGGATTCAAGGAGTCCGTCGAGAAGAGTTACTCACAAGCAGTGGTATCATGCAGCAGACGTCGTAAATTATTTTGAACTGCAGACTTCTTTCTAAATGCTTGCAGATCTAGAAGCTTGTGGACTCTTTGATGTCTTATAGACTTTGTCGACAAGCGCTGGATCCGAATTGTCTTGACGGCACTTGTAGATTTGATTCGACGTTAAACTTACTACAGCATCTTGCTCCAGCGTGCTCTTTGGCATGTGAAGCTGCAACTAGCCTGAGGCTCTTATTAAGGTGAGAAGTCAAATCTTGGATGCTGCGCCATCACCGATGGATTCTCCTTTGTATTCGGTATAAATATCCCCAGAATAAATTATGGAAGATGGAACATGCAATAGACCAATCACATTTTTTCTTCACCATTTAATACATCACATGACTTGTTCATATCCATCTCAGATAGATGGTAAGTGTGCCATCAATATATTTGTCAATCCTTAGAGTTAGATCTTAAATTGATTTATATTTGTATACGTATGTCTCTCGTATCAATGTATGAAAAATTGAATACATCGAAATATATTTATATTATAAACATTTCCGTATTTGAACTATTGAATGAGTTGGCGCTTCCTCTTGCTGGGATTATGCTGAAACTGCGACTATGTCCACCCAACACGTCAGGAGTAACTTCCCTTGCTTCACTTACACAGGGTCTTCAGTAATGTAAGAACTCTATGAATGCAACTGTCTTACAAATCGAGAGCTTGTATTTTCTTGGAAAGTAGTTAAATGCAATTACATCTTCAGCTGTACTTACGTTATCACATAGACTATTATTCAATATATCATATTTTTACAAGTGCATAACAAGTAAATCCGCACTCTGTTGACCTCTGGAATGGAAGGTAAAGAACAAGTAGCAAAAAGACTCAAGTTGCAGTCAGAATTATACAATGTTCGCAGAGTGTTGCTCTGAGAAATAGAGAGTGGACAGTAGAACCACTCCAGGTATCAAACCAGGCACCTCAACTGTCCCGAATGATGATTACTCGCAGCATGTGGAGCGCCCATAGCGAAGGTATGAATTGTATATATTGAGTTGAACTACTTTTAAGGTTGGAGTTATATTGAGTTATTGACTCAATATAACTCCATAAGAATAATAGTGGTTACTTTCAAGGACACAGAGGCCACTTGAGCACATTCAGACATATGTGATATGATGTCAGATCGTTATATAATATCCTCACTATAGATAAAAACAAAATCAATATATATGTACTTTCTGAAATTAAAAATTGCTATGCTTAAAAGTTCAACGGTATTGTTACAATGGTCGTAGCTCTTGGATGAAAGTGAAATTGGACTTCAGATCTAGAATTACAATGAAAGATATCGAGCAACCTCGACTTGAGGGGGAGTCTTGGTGCTGCTATCTTAAATATCGAAGTCCCACAAATGACAGTAAGCTACACCCATATACTTAGAACTTGATCTTTTGGAGATGTGATAACATGAGAGTTTTATTCAATGCGCCAATAGTTAATTCCAGAGTTTTAAGCTGGTAACATTGGTTCTGTATCAGCTTGCTTTTCAGAGTCAGGTTGTGAATGTGCAAGGAATACAAATTTGTAATGATACTAGGAGAGAATAATTCAAGGCGCCAAATCATATACTGAGAGTTTTGAACTCTTTAATTTTGTTCAGTATCTACTCAAGTTTTCAGATCCAAATTTGTATTGAAATTGTCATCACCACATGACAGACGAAAAAGGTAGAAGATTCGAAGAACGTACATAGACTACTTACAGTTGTCTATGTACAATTGTCCGGGAACTTAATTTCCCATAATTTAGATTTGTGAACCAAGTTCCTATAATCTCGAAGTGAATAACCGTAATCATTTAAAAATTTTCCTAGAATTGAGATCCGGTCCTTCTATCAAGCTCAAAAAATGTGTTTGTTTGACCCTCTATTCGTCTTGTTGCATGAAGGCATATGACCACCAAGGGATCGCCGTTATATTGAGAAGAAATTGTCAGACAAAATCCGGTTCTTGTGCTCATGACCCTTCGGGCCTAGCAACGTGCTATAACTTTCTACATCCCCTAAAGATCCTTCACGACCCAGTGGAAGGTTAATCAAAGACAATGGCACTGACTGATGTACCCAGTGGACCTTAAGCTGAAGAGGATAAATTAGTACGATCCTCTGAAGGCGTGCCATCTCTGCTGGAGTTGCATCCACAAAGGTGAGACACCACAGACCCCACTGTTGAGCTTTGAATCAAACACGTTGAAGTTGCATTTCTCCAAGGACTGCAAGAGTAAGCCGGCTGGAACCTAGGTCGAAGAAAGCATGCCAATTAGATAAGATCCTTCGATAGACTTTGTCACATATAAACATAATTACAAGAAATCTGGTATCCTAAGCAATTATTATTACTATTATTACATTTAATATTATATTACTAGGCAAAAACGCTGGAAGAAATACAAGTTTTGTCTGCATAAGCTTAACAAACTTATCACCAAAAGAAGAAAAGACCTCCTTCACTTACCGCAGGAAGAAGTACAGTCACTGCTCCTTTTGGCACCGTGCTAGCAAGACCCCGGGCATGAACTAGATGTGCATTGGCAAAAGATGCAACCTGCCAAGTTCATCAAATCTATAAGTAGTCCGATTGATTCAAATGTTTTGGAACTCTTATGTGGTGAAACGTTCAGGAAAGATAGGTTAAGAGATTCGAAGTTCAGTTCAGTACTAGTCACCCCATTAGATAAGGAAAAGTTTTGAAGAATTTGGGTGGACACAGTATGTAAACCCCTATACATTACTTTCAGGATATCTCACCTCATGTACTGCATCCGCAAGAGCTTCTCGATTTTGTCCTCTATATATATCCTCTTGAGACAAACCATGCTGCTCAGATAAACAAGTTTGTTTCAGGAAAATGATAGTATTCAGCTCATGGTTGGTCAAAACGAAGAAGCATCAATCTATCCGACTAGTACAGCGTAAAGGAGCAACTCAATTAAAGAACAGCTCTGCATATGGTTCCTTCCTCAGGCTAATTTTATTCATGCTTCAGAGATGTATATTCATATGATTGAGAAAATCATTAGAAGGCCAGCAACTGTAGAACATAATCGCATTTACCATATACTATCTTAAACTGGAAACTGCATGATCCTTACTCTACTGAGGTTCGCTCACGGAGCTTTACATGTGATTCAAATAGCTTCTTGTCACTGGTTTCGAAGTAGTCAATATAAGGTATTCAAGAGGTCTCTGAGACTAAATCTCCAAATATATGTAATCGCGTTTCTAATACTTGTATGATGTTTTTTCCCACTCTGAAATAGTATCTTACTTCTACGCTCCTAGCAACTTCATATAACTTGTGGAGCTGTGTCAGCTGAAACGATGTGTATCAAAAGAGCATGATCTATCACTAACCTTCGCAGCTATGTCGATTGGAATGTATGTTCGGCGTCGTGAGCCATGGACTGGAGTGCCTCGAAGCAGTAGTCCGATGCCTGCGGCCTTCCCTGCGCAGCCAGGAAATAATTTGATTGAGAGTTAGAGTACATTGAATTAAACAGCAAGATAAAAATCTTGTGTGAGAAACTTAGATAATTTCTTGGACCTTAGCTTAGAATGTGAAAGCAATATCAATTCTTTTCAGTATTTTCTTGTGCGTCTACCGAAGATGGCATTGATACAGAACTTCTTATGCTCACATCTACTGCCTGAACACCAAAAAATAGCAGACATCAGCAAGTTCGGTGTTTGGAAGTTGTTTAAATCGAAATCAAAATTCCCGTGTTCACAAACCATGACCTACCAATGTGCGAAGCAGCATGATCTGCGGCTGTGCTGCGAATCCCGGCTGCCTCTAGAGTAAGATACAGAATCACAGATGCTGTGTTCTCAGCGTATCTGTCCAACAGCAATCAATACCACCCAGCCATGTCACGAAGAGCTCATAGTTACATGCATGTTTAAACACTCTAGGAGAACAAGAAGAAAACCCTAATTCGTGATTTCAAACGCTTTGGTAGTAAGCACAAGCAATGTATGTGGAAGGCATGGAATTGCAAAGCAGACTTGAGAATTTTAGAGATTACCCATGAGTGAAGACGAAAAATTACCGTTCAACCTCCGCCATACTAACAGGTGGAGCAGTTGCTTCCAAATCAGTTACCTGCCCATATGCCAGCACCCAGAATCTATCAAGAGAAAATTACTCAGACCGATAACATTGACACCTGCAACTCACATTAAGAATTGAAACTCATCCTATCCATGAGCTCGAAGTGTGTGTCGTGAGTAGAAAAAGCTGCAAGCACTGCCGAGAAGAGTATATGTTTGCAGAGTGCAAAGGTAAAGGTCATGACATACCCGAGCCTCGATGAGGCGTGAAAACCACTGCTTGCTTAATCTATGTTCAGCTAAGACGGAGCTGAGCGCCTGAGCTACTGGATGCTCGACAGGTGTTTTCTGAGTCCAGAATATGACGATGATTCAGCGAAGCACTTTGTACATTCTGACTATCGAAACTTACAAAATGAGAAGCTGGAAGCCGAATACGCTTAGCTAAATATTGACCTTATAAATTCCATCTATAGTATCCTTCCACCAGAAAAGCCGCATCACTCCAAGCTGGATCTCGCGGGTATTATCACCGACCTGCAGAAAAAAAACCGTGTTATAGGAGTTAGCTTACAAAGGCGGTAGTCCAACACACGACAATGCGTATTGGCATAATGCTCAGTGACGAAATAATATAATAATGTGACGAAACTCACTCTTGCGGTCTCCACGTTGAATGCTCGAATAGCGAAGGCGGCTTTCCGTACTTCCGGAGGTAAATGCAACAGACACAGATAGTTTGCGTAGTCATACCTCCTGTACAGTAAGTTCGAACATTTAGCCTGCGTTGGGTTTATAGATGTGACCGATGCAAGAACTCTGCGAAAGATTGATAGGTTCCCCGTCCTTCCCACATTTTCCATTCGTTCAGGAGTCCACCAAAACCTCCAGCATTTGCTATTTACTTTATTAGCAGGTACATGGCCTTGGCAATCTGAGGTAAGTGATCGGAGAAAAGAACACAGACGCAAAGTAATAACCCCTAGAAAAGCCTCAGTATTCCAACTTGTAATCTAACACTCCATGTTGTTATGTTTTATATGCTCCAAATGGTCCTTATGAGATGTAAGGAAGAACTCAGAAGCTGAAATGCCCAATTCCCTATGCCAGCTTTCAAGTCACCATGTGTGCAGCATATACATCTCAGGATGCCATGTGGAATCTGACCTTACTTGCTGGACACAATACGAAAACGCCTGTCTTGCAGCTGCTGAATTGGTCATGGAACTCGGAGTCAGCTGCACTGATCGTCACAGGCAGCCACAAACTGCTGTAGGAATCAGCACAAGCACGAGAATCAATGACGGGCCTGCTCAAATCAACAGTGGTACAATGGGTTCCAACTTGAATCCCCTTTCTTCTCCGCGCTTCAGAAGCTCGCTACTGCAATCATTACTGTCTTACTTCACTTCAAATCCAGACGCAGGTCTACGATAACTTTAACTCTCCAACTCTACTCTTTCATGAAAACTCGATTTTGTCACAAATTCCGAATCTGAATTTGGAGTGCAGACGACGAGCTCGAATGCTCGGCCACGGAATCTGATCTATTTTCCAGGAGAAGCTAAGAGAAGAGAAGAGACGAGAAGAGAGCAGAAGAGCAACTGAGTGCAGAGAAACGAAATGTGAGCTTCGAACCTCTGGAAGAACAAGAGGAAAATTGGCCGATCTCGGCGCGAATGGACAGTGGATCATAAATCCACGTTAACAAATTCTGAAAAGCCAGGACAGCGAACTACCCGTCATCTACCCGGGACCCAAAAAGCTCTCGTCCAGGCTCGGACTCTGGCACGGAACGGAGCGGGGCGGATGTAGTCAGCGAACATCCAAAGCTCCGACGTGTGCTGTGCACACGCCGTCTCTCCATTCCCGTCCAGCTGCTTCTTCCCCGGATCCTCCTGCACTCGGAGTCTTCGGCGATGACACGTGTTCATGCAAGTCGAAGAGGAGTCATGTCTGATACTTTACCGGCCGGCTCCTCAATTTTCTGCCCTCAGCATTCAGCAGTCAGCAATTTGATGGAGATCAGGTTCAATTTGGTTGATGTATCTTCCCCACCATCTTGGACTGTGATGTTACCCTAAATGCAGCGAATATCTATACAATTTGTTGCCAATCGAAAATATAATATTAGCTGCTCTTTACTTCATTAAGCATGCGATATTCTCTATGGCATGAGATGGAGCGACTTGGCACGATCTCCAGTAAATTGGCCATCTTACGATAACTTCTAGTTATATTTACGTCTGCCAAGTTTTTTTTTCTCTAGTCTTGGACATGTATAGAGCTATGGATGTTGACTTTGATAGCAATGTGTATGATAATCCTAATTGTAGCATAAATGAGGTGACACTGTCTTCTTGGTAAAAATGAGCATTCTATTTAATTCAACATTCATCTATTACATTTGCAGATGCAATGAAAAGCAATCACGTCATGTATCCAGATATGCACCTCGTTTAACAAGTTGTTCTCCCATGAAGCTTCCCAATTGGGAGAATAAGCCGAAATGGGCATGGTTTCGACCGCCGAGGATCGAAATTAGGAAACAGCGTTCGTGGATCCCACCAGTAAAACCCCAGTCGACAGAAGATTCAGGCTATATGGCCTAGTGCACTCCGAAATCAATGTCGGCCGAAGTTATAGTGGTTTCGGCCGAAAAATCGAAAGCAGATGCAAACTCTTCTTACTTTCCAGATCTGGTGGAAAGTTGAACCTAGTTTCGGAGCAACGGAGACTCTGCTCCTTCTCCGTTTAGGGTTTTGTCAACCCTAAACGGAGACTCTGTTTCAGAGTCGAGAAATCGAAGATTCGATTATTGCTCTTCCGCTCCGGTCACGGAGCTTGAAGAGGAATTCGAATTTGGGTTCATCGGCGAGCTCGGGTAGAGTGATCGTGAGATCCCTTTTTCGAGAGTTTTATCAGATGGAGCAGATTCAAAGAATCGGGGATCCCGTTCCCCGTGATTTGGAAATCGTTTGATCCGTCCGAACAAATTGAGGCTTCTTGTGATCTACAAGTGTACCCCCGGGAAAAAAGATCTTTTCCTCCGAGCTCAGATCAAGTCTGGATTTGGCATTTTCGGTCCTGTACTGCGACGAGATCGTGGATCGGAGCAGGAATTTATTATTCATGAGAAATCTGCCTACCGAGATTTTGATTCCGATATTACTGGAGAAGCAAAGGAGCTTCCTGGAGTCGTACCTCCGGTCAGCGTTTCTGTGGGATTAGGCTGTCCAAAATGGGTGGTGGAATTTGAATTGAGGAAGGAAAATTGCGTGCATTGAGAAAATGTCACGCTCCCAAGGGAGGGCCACTTGGTCCGCAATTTCCAAAATTGCCTTCTCGGGAGAACGTCCTTGGTTATTGAGGCCGTTGACACAGAGGCCATCAGGCTCCCGTTTTCAATTACGGAGGAGATTTTCAGTGGTGGCACCTGAAATTGACCAGAATGATACAGGTTCAGTTGTATCCCCTTCTAAAATCCGCAATGTGGCTGTGATTGCCCATGTCGATCACGGGAAGACGACTCTTATGGACCGAATATTGCGTCAGTGTGGAGCAGCTGTTCCCCACGAGCGTGCTTTGGATTCAATTTCACTGGAAAAGGAGCGAGGAATTACGATCGCGTCCAAGGTTTTAATCCCACCCAAATACTTGTACTTTTACTGAATTTTCCACGGAACACCCTCGATCTCAATAATTGACTGAGAACGTAGATAAGGCATTATTGTGCTGCAGTATACAAGTAATTTGGTCACTGGACCCGATCTTAAGCTACCTCTGTTGTCACTGAGCTTTTTCCTTTTTAATTGAGGGCAGCTTCGTTCTTCTCGTCTCGATCGAACTTGGGCATGGGACTGAACGTAATTGGGTATGCAGGGAGCTGAATACACACTTCAATCTGATCACTGGTCGTTGTCTTTTATCAATGACTCGTTTATTTTTGTTAATTTGACCCATTTTTCGTGCTTCGTCCTCCATTCGTAAGTTCAACGCATCAGAGTGGAGAGAGTGACAAGTTTGCTGTTATATTCCCACCCGCAACTAGAACTACAGTTCCACGTTTGAGCATGTGGAGTTAAACAAGTTACGTCATAGTGCAGTATACATCGATGTCGTACGGTGGAGTGGAGCTGAACATGTTGGATACACCAGGCCATGCTGATTTCGGTGGAGAGGTAAACCTGCTGCTTTTGTCGACGTTCATCTGCTAGATTCTCCAATTCGAGTTTAGTTCATCTCAGTGGACTTGCTCTCATGATTATAGACTTGCTTCTGTATAATGGTTATATTTGAGATGCAAGTCTCTGTTTTTTTACGAAATTGCTGAGTACGTGTCAATCTGAGTATGGTGCTATTAAACTTTATGGTTATGAAAGGGTTTATGAGGATAAGATTTTTAATCATGAAGCAATTGAGAACAGGTGGAAAGGGTGGTAGGGATGGTGGAGGGCGCAGTCTTGGTGGTAGATGCTGGAGAAGGTCCCCTCGCTCAGACAAGATTTGTCGTAGCCAAGGCTTTGGCTCGTGGAATTCGCCCTATTCTTCTGTTGAACAAGGTGGATCGCCCATCAGGTAAGCTTGACAGAATTTACGGCGACCGCTTGTTTCTTAATTCCCCGTCCTCGCCGAGTCTTTCAAGTCACTCAATTTTGGTCTAAAGTATTGCTGTGCATCTGTAGATAAGTTGTTGCCTTTTCCGGCACAGGGTCTTTTCTGCTGAAGGCAGTGTACGTTGAAATGTATGAGTTACTTACGCAGATTTTCTACGCAGTCACACAAAAAAGATGCGGAGAGGTGGAGAGCATGATTTTCGACCTCTTTGCAAACATGGGCGCGTCAGGTATGCAGGGAATGTTCTTTGAGCCCTAGCACATACTTATACACATATTATTCGCACGAATATAACGTCTCGGTGTGCCTATTTCTTTGGTTAACAGCTTCATTTGTTCGAGACCAATATTCAGTTACGGTTTGTTTTGTAAAACAGCTAATCACGGACGTTGCACGTTTCACTTTTTATCCGCAATATTGTAGATGAACAGCTTGACTTCCCAGTGCTTTATGCATCCGCGAAGGAAGGATGGGCATCAAAGGAATTTACGAAGGGAGGTACTGTGGAGGAGAACAAGATGGGAATGGGACCCTTACTTGATGCTATTGTGGAGCATGTTCAGCCTCCTTCAGGAGATTTGAAGGCACCCTTTCAAATGCTGGTACGGTTATTGCTAGAAGACTCTTGCTTTGCCATACTTGTTACTTGCTGTGCATGTATGTGTATTGCTGGTTTCTGATTTCGACGCTATTAGTTGAAACTGCTTTGTTCTATTTTCTTACTCGTATGTTCTTTACAGGTGTCAATGATGGAGCGTGACCCTTATCTGGGTCGTCTGGTGACGGGAAGAATTGCTTCAGGTATCGTACGGGTTGGAGATAGAGTGCATGGACTGCGGTGGCATGACAACGTCTGTAAGCCTGTAGAGGAAGGAAAGGTAAGATACTCACTTGTGCTTGTAATATTTGTCACATCGAGAGATATAGAGCTAATAATGAATCTGTATGTATATCAAAGATTGTCATACCTCTTTGTCTATAGAAGTTGATCAGTGTACACACTTACGTACGTTAGGGGTTTAAATGCTCTGGATCTAATATGAATCTCAACAATATCTCTGATTCGTTTCGGAGGACTGAGAACTGCTAAGTCGCTCTAGCATACAAGTAGATAGCTTTGTTGACCACCAGGGCCTGAAATATTCTCTGAAGCACTTTTCGAGATAAGGTTTTTAAAGTAAAGCAGTTCCACATTATCAATTCTTAGGCGTTAGTCTCAAGCGTTCATATTATTGTCTCTGAACAGGTGGTTAAGTTGATGAAAAAGAAAGGGACTACGACTGTTCTAGTGGATTGTGCTGGAGCAGGAGATATCGTGTCCATCGCCGGTCTTAGCCAGCCATCTATCGGGCACACCATTTCAACCATTGAGGTGAGGGTTGAAGGTTTCCTGAAGTTGTGAAGAGAATGGTGTCTTGGATACTGGTCGTATCTGTCTCTTTAGTTCGAGGTCGTTCTAATCAGATTTGAGTTGTCAAATCAGGTCAGCGAGGGCCTTCCTGCAGCTCCTATGGATCCCCCTACTATCTCAATGACTTTCGGCGTGAATGATTCTCCACTGGCAGGTCGAGATGGTCATCTGGTACGTAGTCTATGTCTACTTTTGGGAGTGAGAACTTCTATGGCATGCAGTCTAGGATATGATTTGCTCATGAGATGTGTGCTGGGACCTTTCAGCAACTCTGTCTTTTGTCCGAATAGTGGTGAAGTTGAAAATATTGGACAACGTTAGTATACTAGGTAGTGGAAACCAATGTTATTAAGCAACTTTGTTGCTCGCGACAACCAAATGCTCTTTGGTTGTCGCGAGCAACGTGTGAACTCGAGCTCATTTTCGGAGAACTGAATTTCTGTCACAGCTGACAGGGCCGAAAATTGGAGAGAGGCTTATGCAAGAAGCAGAGAGCAATTTGTCCATCGCTGTGGTACCAACAGCCAGCCAGGATGCCTATGAAGTACAGGGGAGGGGTGAGCTTCAGCTCGGTAAGTGTTCAAGCTATTTTTCCTCCTTATTATGCGAACATAATGAGGACGCTTTTCAACTTCTATATATCCTTCTTACAGATCAGTGTCTAAGAAGCACTTCAGGGACGCATTGTGCACGTTAAACACGGACTTTTGGTAAAATTACCTCTTTTTGTGTAGATGTATCCCAGAAGCTGGGTTGTCATAAGAAATTCACACGCGTTCCCAAGGCTCTAGATTGCTACTGTTTAGAAATCATAATTTGGATTTCTCATATTAAGAAGGTTATCATCATGTGTGAACATCCTGCTGCTTAATCAATAGCGAGTATGTTTAATGTGCAGGTATTCTTATTGAAAATATGCGTCGTGAGGGTTTTGAGCTGTCAGTATCTCCTCCAGCTGTAATGTAAGGCTTGAAATAAACATTGCCCGTATCTTAAGGTTGTTTTTTCGAGTTTTTGAATGTTGTCATGTTTCTCCACACGTATTTCTGGACTGAAATATATTTATCATCCATCAGACGTCAGATATCCACGAGAAAATTCCATCAGATATCTAAGTACTGTTTTTATGTCACTTGTCGGCAAAGGAGTATATCTCTTTGTTGAGCTATAACGCTTCGGTGTCACATCTCCAGGTACAAAACCGAAAATGGGAGAAAACTGGAGCCGATTGAGGAGGTCGTTATTGAGGTAAGGATGCGGTTAAAGTTTAATTTTTTTAAACAAGGATGTATGCTGGCCTAACTAATTTACAGGTCAAAAGGTGGACTCGCACAGACTGAATGTAGACGCTGGTAAACTCACGGACCTGATCATTATCATCTTTTATCAGGTGCAAGACGAGCATGCTGGGGTTGTTATCGAGGCAATGTCGCATCGTCGTGGAACTTTGTTAGATATGGGGCCATGCGCCGAAGCTGTGGGGCGGACTCGCCTCATTTTTAGCTGTCCATCAAGGTACAAGCTAGAACGAAGTGTTTGATTTCTGTCGTAAGATCACAAGATTTTCATAATTTTGTCACTCATCGATGTCAATCTCTCACGTTTGTACCTCTTTTTGAGACTGAAAGTTGCCACTCTTTTTTGGCAGGGGACTAGTCGGATATAGAAGTGTGTTCAGCACGGATACGCACGGCACGGGCTTCATGCACCGAGCGTTCTTACGTAAGCAACCTTTGTTTTGAGTTGTTTGTAGAGCTTTTAGTCTTTCTACATTAGGATCATGACACGAGATCCGTTTCAATTTTCAAATCTTCTTGGGTTACACGTTCAAATCCGTAGAGTTGGAAAGTGATCAATATGTGAAGCAGAAACGCCTAACTTCTTTTCTCGTTGATGCAATTCCAGAATACGGAAAATATCGTGGTGCGCTTGGAAATGTTCGTAAAGGGGCCCTGGTATCTATGGCGACGGGGACGATCACCGCTTATTCTTTGATGAATCTCGAAGCTCGTGGTATCCTATTCGTTCAACCTGGAATGGAGGTTTGCCCTTAAATCACCTTACTATTCCTGGATGTTCAACGTTCTTGACGTGCGAGCTAATTTGTTGATTTTTTCCTGGGGTCCTTCACGTGTGTGCAGCGGTACCTTTATAAAATAGGCAATGTGTGCAATATAGTGTGCGCTGATAATAATATCATTGTTTGCAGACATACGATGGGATGGTTATCGGCGAGCATTCGCGTGACACTGACCTGGAGGTTTGTAGTTTGTCGTCATTATAATGCACTTATATTGTTGATTTTCGTCATATACTAAATGTTTGTTATGATGCAGCGAGCGATACCCAAAAGTTGTATATTGATTTGAGTTTTGGTGTTCGTGATTACCTCCAGCTCAATCCTGTAAAGTCGAAGGAACTTACCAATGTTCGAGCAGCAAGTAAGGATGAAAATGTTCGATTGACACCACCGCGACAGGTATAGCCTTTGTTAAATTCTTCCGAGTCATCTGATATTCACTAATTCCACCTAGGTACGGGTACAACATACCACCTGCCAGTGGTATGTTGTACCCGTACCTTATAATTGCGCAGAGCATCTCCAGCGGGGTCGTTATTACGCTCCCGTCGTTATTAATTGCTCACTGGGTTCAAGCTCTTGATATTTTTCCTGCTTTTGCAGATATCCTTGGAAGAAGCTATCGGCTATGTTGTTGCAGACGAACTCATCGAGGTAGGTTTTAATTCTTAAGGACTTATGGGTTTTAGATAACGACCCACTGCAAGCAATCGCAGGGAAAGGATGCTCTACTTCAGCTTTGGCACTTCTTTAGCAGCTGAAGGACCAACCTTTTTAGCATGTGTTATTGTGAGTGTTCGTCAGAAAGTGGGAAAGAAAGAGCCTGATCAAAGGTGGTGGTCTCCGACTGTGTTTCAAAAGCATGTGTGGAGGTGACATTGCCGGGTGCTGGAAAGTCATCCATCATATCTGTTGTCTAATATTTGTTGTAAATTTTCGTCTGTAATGTTGTACAGGTTACCCCCAAAGCTATTCGGTTAAGGAAGAAAGCTCTGGATTCATCGAAAAGGAAAACTATCCGTCGTGTTTTAAAGGACAAATAGTAGGATGTTTCTGGAAATTGTAGCAGTAGAGGACTAGCACTATTTAGAAACATATTTTCAGATGAGCGTAACGACTTATAGGGTAGTTGGTAGTTTTATATAAGTGGTCAAATGGGCATTTTGGTACTTTAGTCATGGTACTTTGGTTTCTTCAGATCTGTCTGAATGTTTTCAGTTTTCGGATCATGTAGCAGCCAGATGTTTGCCATTCAAGAAGAGGAGGTAACAAGGATTTTACCTAACTTCCTCCCTTAAGATCTTGCTCAAGTAAACCAGCAAATTACTAAATAGGATGATAGTGTACAGAAGCTGACCCAAAGCTGTTCACTTCTTGTATTAAATTATCCTAATTTACAGAGGTTCTTTGGAAGAAAGTTCTGCCGGCTATATTTTGGTTCACATGGAGGCATGCTTAAAGTATGGAGTCGCCGAATTACCTAAAGTAACTTCATTTAGGCGCATCAGGAAAGGTTAGTTTAGGCCGGGGCCAAATGAATGTCTATCCTCTCAAATTCAATGAAGAAATTCTATAAAGGGTGTAGGTTCACACTCATAAAATGAAATAATCTGCTTTCCGTATTCAAAACATCACGGTCACTAATGAGATTCTAACTTCGGCAAAGTTAAAACGTCTAGTAACTTCAAGTGTTCGATAGTATATTTTCTGCAAGACTTGTGACAGATCATGAAGTGAGAGAGGTTTGTATCTACGGTCTCGAAATGACCACTTCGCATCCATGTCAATTTTAGTGCAGCAGTTGCCGAGCTGGGTGACATAGTGAGTCTGTCACAAGTCGTCGACCGGTTGATGATTGGGAATTGGGTGACATAGTGAGTCTGTCACAAGTCGTCGATCGGTTGATGATTGGGAATTAAACGTTCTTCCCCTGCTAATTGTATTTTAATTCCTTTTATATTTCCTATTTTTCCTAATCCAATGACATTTTTCCTTGTTCGCCTAAAAGCAACAGACTTGCTCTCTCCAAGCGCTTGACGGAATCCATGAGGCTTGTGCAGAGATGCATTTGACGTACCTGGCCTTTCCTCTCATCAGTTCCCACTTGACGAAGACACGTCCCATCGTCCTTTTCATCACATATGTAGGATCTTGCCCACAACCTTGTAATCCGACACTTTATCAAAATCTGCGGGTTTTTTCGTAGGGGTTTGCTCAAGGCGGAAGAAAATGTTTGTACTTTTGCCGATCAGTATCTGAAAATGCTGCGATTTCCTCTCGATGATAATCTTCTGCTGGCCGATCTCTTGTGCTGTGAGAAAAAAAGGCACCAGGGAAACATTGCGCATATAGCAAAGTCTGGGATCTCCGAGCGCAGTCATCAGTCCCCATCTAAACTAGAGCCGAATAACGAAGACGAGGGTGGGCACGCATGTCTCAGGCTATGTCCCTCCTTATTAAGCGATCATAATAAGGATGGAAGCCTTTTCAACTTCTATATATCCTTCTTACAGACCAGTGTCTAAGAAGCAATTTAGGGAAGCATTGTGGACGATATACACGGACTTTTGTTAAAACTATCGTCTTCACATCTTACTTTGTAGATGTATCCCAGAAGCTGGGTTGTCAAAAGAAATTCACACGCGTTCGGAAGGCTGTAAATTGCTATTGTTTATAAATCATAATTTGGATTTCTTTTATTCAGAAGTTCATCATCTTGTGCGAACATCCTGCTGCTTAGCCTACAGCGAGCATGTTCAATGTGCAGGTATTCTTATTGATTATATGCGTCGTAAGTATTTTGAGCTGTCAGTATCTCCTCTAGCTTTAATGTAAGGCATGAGATAAACATTGCCATGATCTTAATGTTGTTTTCTTGTGTTTGACGCTGCTGTCATATTTCTCCACACATATTTTTTTTCTGGACTGAAATATACTTTAACATCCATCATATATCAGATATCTAAATTCCTTTCTTTCAGATATCTAAATTGTAATAGATCAAGCCCGGAACCAAAGTGTCAAAAGTCTGAAAAACACAATACAAGCAAAAACCACAAACAAATGAAAAGATCCCAAAGATCAATGTCTAGCTAGTGCCAAGGACACTGTAACTAATAATGTTACTAATATAACAACCTTAATCAAAAGTAAATAAGTGAAATAAAGAATAGAAACTCTCCACATCTATATTATGAGCAAGCCTAATGTCTTCGTATCTAGAACAAGTGAAAAATACATGCTCTTCATCCTCGATGTACCATCTTCACATAACCTACAAATACATTTGCTACTATCAATATTAAACCAATGTCCTTCCTCAATTCCAAGCATATGAGATCCAGTTGTATGCCTAGCAATAATATGACGCAAGGACGTAGAGATTCCTGCAAGTAGGTATTCTGGTTCACAAAAACAAGCATAGGAGTCACATGAAGTTGATAAAACTACATGTCGGTGCCGAATTTGTTCCAAATAATGTTTAGAAAGTCATCCTTTATACGTTCATGGAGTGCCATAGGTTGGAGGTTCCAATTGCGTTCTGCCACATTCCATCTCAAAGATGAAGTTATCACATTCGCTAAACATACTTTGATACATGTGGCACGCAAAGCTTGAAGAGGAAGGCGAGAAACATCAAGAGATCTCACCCTTCTAATGTAGGTGATGATCAATTATAGAGCTTAATCCTTTCCAGTTAAACAAATTGTTTTAGCAAGAAGAATATCATATGAAGTTTGGTTTTTAACATCCAATTCTTTTTTTAAAAAAAATATCTTTTGCACCCTCTCCACACTCTACTTTGTCAAGGATTCTTGTTTAGTCTTCAAAAAAACTTGTTTTTTAGACTTCATCAAGTCTTTGTAAAGCCTTGTCAAGATAAGTTGACTTTGAAGATCCAAAGACTCGTTTGTTTGCAATCAAAATCAAACCATCATTGCAATAAGACCCGTAGCTCTTTAATCCTTGTACTGCAAAAATAACTTAGAAATAGTGTTTTTTGAACAACTCTGTTAGTTGCAACCTTGCTGTATGTGAATTAATGCTCCATGAAGTGTGGATCAAGAGGTCTTGAAAATGTAGCATGTAAAGATCTTTCTTACTAGGATCCAAATGAAACTTGGGGGAAGCTAAAATAGAAGTGCATGTAGAGAAAGATTGTTTTTGACAACAAGATTATAAATAAAAAAATGCATGATTTGATTTTGGCCGAGGTTATAGAATATCAAATTTTGAGATTAGACAGCTACCAATAGCCGAGGATATAAGATATTCAATAATGCTAAGACCTGTAGAAGACAAACACGTATTGGAAAGTAAATTGAAAGAGAAATTGTTCACAACACACTTCACCTCTTCATACTCTCTATCACGTAGATTGTAAATCTTCACATTCTTTCTAAGAGTAAAGTGATTTGACTTTTTAATCTCATACTCTTGAAAGAAAGAGATATGAGCAGACTTGGTAGCTTTAGCATAAGATTTCATTTTCACCTTTAGACTTTTAACCACTTTATGCAATCCAGGAGTAGCAAAAGTTGAGGCTTGATAATCAATCTTCCCTTGAATGTCCTCAATCGATCCAAAAATTTCAAGCATGATCTTTTCAAAAATTTTGTGTGATACTTTAATCTTCCAAATTTTATTATATGCAGTAGTCAAAGCAACATTTTGTACCTTGAATTCTTGGCAGACCACTTGTAATTCTTCAAAAAAAGTTTGTAGAATTTTGAAATTGTTTTCTTAAGAATACATCATGTACCCAACTTTGCAAAGTTTTACACTCTATTGTGATTGAAAATTTGCAAGCTAGTGCGTCTTGTCCAAGTCCAAGCTCTCACAAAGTTTCAAATTCAGTGCATACTAGAGCTTAAAGAAACAGTCCACATAAAAATTAATTATCATTACTTGAACACTTGAAACTTAAACCTCAAAGCTAAAAAATCAATGCACTTTGTTTCCGGAAATATGTTGAAACTGAAAATTTGCAACCTAGTGCGTCCTGCCTAACTCCATGATCTCACAAAATTTCCAAACCTGTTTGTGAGCACAAAAATGCGCTCACATGTCTTTTTAACCTTATGAGAGTTAAAATTTTGAATTTAAGCTCTTGCAAAATTATGCTTGGAGTTTTTTGAAATTTTTGGCAAGATTAGGAGTTGGTGTAATGGCTAGGAGGTATGTTAGCCTAGTTTTTTTTTTCTTTCTCGAAATGAGAAGTTTAAGAAATCTGATAAAGTAAATCCCTTGTAACTTTTTCAATTCGTAACGCCTTGACTTAGTTAGGGTCTTGATAGATAGAACTCAACACGTTCGTTCCAACGAGCCCAAGAAGTCTTGAAACAAATAAGGATCATTGAGTTATGAGTGTTGAAAGTGGCTGATATGGTTAGGCGAAGGGTCTTCGGCGGTACGCGGAAGAAGATTTCTGACGGCGGAAGTCGGCGTGGTCATGAATGTAGAATGTACAAGTGTGGCGGCGGCGGCGGCGTGAAGTCAAGTGTGGGAGGCAGGCCGTTACCCATCATTGTGGGAACGGCATTCAAGCGGCCTGTGGGTTCCTCGGCCCTCGGACTTTGGAGAAGTAATTTCAGCCTTGGAATAGAGATCTTGAGGGGTGCCATTGTGTGTGGACGCAGGTGGGATCGGTCGCAAGGATAGAGTGTGGATGTGAGTGATATTCTCAGGAAAGTGGTGAGAATTAGGAGGAGAGTGTTGAAAATTCTGTAATAACCCACCAAAGGCTAAAACTGCAGTATAGCAGCAAAAAGGTCGAACCCACAGGGACAGAGGCAACACACAGAGTACTAAATGTCACGTTTTAACAGACTATTGAAGAGTTTGAATTCTCAGGCGACTATCACTCCCAGAAATACTGCAAGTGCTCAACTCAGAGGTCACTCGGAGGACGCACAGTGCAACATAGTTCACCCCAACACACACCTGAAACTGGAAAAGCACAACTCAGAGGCCGATTAGGACCTCCACTCAAGGTTCAGGGCGAAAGTTTCTCATGAGTACACTCAGAGGATCTGCAGGTAGTGTTTCCCAACTCCGAACTGTTAACTCTGACTGCTAGTGTAGAGCATCCGGGTTGGACTTCCTACTTCGGATGTGATATCTTCGTCAAAGCGAAGTCACTCACACGCGGTGAACAACACACTCAACTCACAAAACGTGCAGAGAATATAAGAATCCAAACTGAGAAACTCGATTGAGAAAAGTACTCACATCCTCCTCCGAGGCTGGTGAGTTCCTCGCAACTGCAGCTCACCCCGTGTCCGCAGGCAAGATCAACTTGCGAGCCTTCTGTTGCGGTCGGGCCGGCTCGTTGTTTGCCCAACGCTTGACTGGGACAGCGAGCAATTCTCTCTGACTAAGTTCTGCCTCTCCATCCCATTTCCGCTTCCGGGGTGCCCGCGCTTCTCT